GAGATTTAGGATTAGTACCTTCATCGTAAACCTGCCATATCCTGTCTGATACATCTCTACTGCCCTCTGGTGGACAGTCTACAGTTGGAAACAGCCAGTTTTATTTTATTATTACATAATTACCCACTGATTTTTGTTTCACTAACATTAGTTAGTAAACATTTAAGTTTTTTTAACTTTTCATTATTAATAGTATTTATATTATTATTTTATATTGCAGGCATTAAAGGGTTAGTTTCTGATTGTATTGAAAATTTTATTTTTTATTCAAAACTCACAGATAATTTTGTTTTTATTCTTGAAACTGTTTAAGTGAATTATTTGTAAAAAATTTTATGCATTTTTTTCCTCGTAAGTGCTTTCTTCTTTATGAATTCTCAGATCTTTGGTTTGATTTTGACCAACAGTGATAAAACATCTGATTAGAAAGCAAAAGCTGGGCCTTTAGAAACCTGCCACTCTAACTGAAAACCTGATCTTTATTCTGTCAGAGACCTTCATCCTCTAGTTGTCATGCTCAGCTTCTTCCTCAGGATTTTTTCTACAGACTCAAACAAAGCAGCTCTTTGAAGATGACTTTTTGCACTTCGGTCTTTTCACACACGTCACACCAGCAGCCACAATTTGAGTACAATTTTTGTACGTGTTGTAAATACATGTGATGATGATGAAATGGAGCATGTGTGATTTGTGTGTTTTCTGTGTGAAGTTAAGTAAAGTTTTCTGCTGCAACACCAACACAATAAACTTGATCCACTCTTGTTGTTCTGCTTCAAGTTTCACGGTGGAACAAATCTTGATGCTTAAACTTAACAAGCTGCTGCTGACTATAGCTCCATTTAAAGGAAAAATAATATTCCCTCAAAACCCCTCTTAAGTTTAACTCCCTGCTCTCTCTCTCTTTCACCTGCACACAAACACACACACACACACACACACACACACACACCAGCTCTGACACACACACACACCTTCCAATCAACATTCTTCAACTCTTCATGGCAACTAGGCAGCTAGACAGACAGCTGAACAAGCTGATAGAAGACAGGGAGGATTCAAGAACACGGAGAGCAAGAGAATTCACAGAACACCTAAACTTCAAACAAAACTTTAAACAAAAGGGCAGCAGCTCAGGAGGTAGAGCAGGTTGTCCAGCAATTGGAAGGTTTGTTACCGCCAGAGAATGCTGCTGTTGTTTCCTTGGGCAAGACACTTCACCCGTCTTGCCTGATGGTGGTGGTCGGAGGGACAGCTGGTTCCTGCTTGGAAAGCCTCGTAAAGCGCTTTGGAGTCCTCTGACTCTGAAAAGTGCTATACTTGAGCCAATATTCTTTACAAATCCTGTGTATGTCATGAGTCCTCAAGGCTGCAAGACCAGAACTTCTTCTCTATCCTCTCTGAATAAAGTCTATCTTGCCTGGCTCACATAAATGACTTTAAAACCTCCTATAATCGTATTTTGTTGAATGAACAATGTGTTTACGTCCAACGTGTTTGAATAATGTGTCCTGTACTTTACATTGTGACTTAAAATGAATAGTTTTCCTGTAGTGATTTATTTCAGATCTTAATCAAATCAAATCAAAGATACTTTATTAATCCCAGAGGGAAATTAGAGTTTCAGTACACACAATTCAGAGATCAGACATACATGGGCAAGACACATGACAAGAATTGGTGACTGTGGTCATTCGCAACCCTGAGTTACGCTACCTTAATAGAGATAAGAGGGTTACATGAGGATTGGTTCAGGTGGAGGGAAAAAAGGCACTTCAGAGTTACCCTCCCACCAGGAGGGCAGCTTTGCTCTGCAAAAAAACACCTCAGACAGAAATGCAACAGACTTCAGACAGCACAACATAAGTGTCCACTAGGTGGGTTGGGACTATCCCCACTTCAGTTCCTGCAGCCACGATAAGCAGCGCATGTCACCTCAGACACCAGATCAGTGATTGTTGAAATAATAATCAACCAGTAAGTATGAACTCAGTAATATCATAATATTGTTATTAATGTATAACATTCTTGCCCCACATAACTGCTATAACATTTTCACTTCAAACCGAGAATAACCTCTATCTGAGTGAGGGAGTGATTCTCTGGGGGTCTTTGGTAACGCCTTTAAACTTGTCAAATTCTGATTTGTCTAAATTTGTCAACAACAATTGATAAAATCAGAGATAACTTCCAGCGTAGTCTAGTACGGGTCACTCCGCTTGATCCACAACCATCTAGATGCCTTTTCAGTAGCATCTGAGATGCTCTTAACAGCTTTTCTCGTGTGCAGTCCCACCATTCCAAACATCTTGAGGACCCTAATTAGTGACTGACCAGTAAATCCTCTGCACCCGACCTCGACGGGGTCGTACCGGGTCCTCCACCCCCTGCTTCGGCATTCATCTGCAAGCTCTTCGTACTTGGCCCTCTTCCTTTCAAAGGTCTCCTCCATCCGATCTTCCCACGGCAGTCAGTTCCAACAGAACCACTTGCTTAGTTTGCTCTGAGACCAAGACAATAGCTGGCCTGAGGGTAGTCACCGCAATATTTTCTGGGAATCTGAGCTTTCTCCCCAGGTCAGCGTTGAGCTGCCAGTCCCTTGCTGACACGAGTAGCCCCCCTGACTGATTCAGGCAATGTTGAGGCTTCTCCCCTGTTTTCACAAAAGTGATATCTTGCCTCTTTGGTTGCTGGTGTACTACAAGAGATCCCCTTACTGATGGCCTCTGTGATGACTCTCAGCATTTGATCATGGCGCCAACGGTAGCGCCTTCCCCTAGAGCTCTTGGACAGCTGCTCAGTATGTGCGCTTAAGACCCTCGTTTCTGACAGAGTGAGCAACATGGGGTGTCCACCAGCCCCCTTGGGGGGTTGTAGAACCCTGAGAAGGCACTACAAATACTGGCCATTTACCAAAACCTTAAACATGCATAGCATAGCATAGTTTATTTATATAGCACATTTAAAATGCAGCATGGGAGCTGCCCAAAGTGCTACACAGGCTAAAACAAAACACACCCATTACAAGGAGCTAAAACAAAGGATAAAAATCTCAATTAAAAGCAGAGAAAACATGAATAATAAGAACACATTAAAACAATGACACAATAAAACACTAAAACGAGTCACTGTCTAAAAGCCAAAGTGTAAAAGTGGGTTTTTAAACGAGATTTCAAAACCGCCAGAGATGGAGCCTGCCGAACTCCAATGGGCAATGAGTTCCATAGCTTTGGGGCAGCATGGACAAATGCTCATTCACCCCGCGATTTGAGCCTCATCCGCGGCGTGTGCAGCAGCAAAAGGTCAGCCGACCTCAACGAGCGGGTGGGCACATATGGAGTGAGAAGGGCAGAGAGGTAGGAAGGTGCCAGGTCACTGAGTGCTTTAAAAACAAAAGTCAGTAACTTAAACTGCACTCTGAAAATGACAGGGAGCCAGTGAAGATGTTCCAGGACAGGGGTAATGTGGCTACGTCGGTGTGTACCCGTCAAGAACCTGGCAGCAGCGTTCTGAACAACCTGCAGCCGATTCAGGGCAGAGTCCGGAACACCAATGAGGAGGATGCTTTTCATCATTTTCCTCCTTCCTTGATTTTTGTTTGTTTTCGTTTTCTCTTTGGGTGTCTGCAGGGCAAATAATCTGTCTCCATGTAGTCCTGTCTTCTGTATCCTCAAGCCTCACTCACACCAACTACATTCATGTCCTCCTTCCCCACATCAATGAATGTCCTTTTTGGTCTTCCTCTCAGCCTCCTGCCTGGTGGCTCCAACCTCAGCATCCCTGTGCCTATCATCATTGTCTCTCCTCTGGACATGTCCAAACCATCTCAGTCTGTCCTCTCTGACTTTATCTCCGAAACATCTAACATGAGCTGTCCCTCTGATGGACTCATTCCTGAACCCATCCATCCTTGTCACTTCTTAAGAGAACCTCAACATCTTGAGTTCTGCTACCTCCAGTTCTGCCTCCTGTCTTTTCCTCGTGGACACGTCTCTAAACTATACAACATGACTACTCTCACCACTGTCTTCTATGCCTTTTCTTTCATTCTTGCTGAAACTTACCACATTACTGACACTCTTCCCCACACTCTCCATTGCTATGGGCTGAAGACCCTAATTACCTCAAGTCCTCTTTCTTTACTTTTACTCCCTGTCACATCATCTTTTGTATAGTTTTATTCATTCTACAATAGGCTTTTGTATAATTTCTGTATAATACACATGCATATGTGCATGCACAGTTATGCATGCATGTATGCATACACATATGTGTATTTGTAGGTGATGTGTATTTATACATACAGTGCAAGTGTTAAGAAAACAGTTGATTGTTCCTTGTTTCATCTTGCTCCCTCAAAAATCACTTTTTTTCCTTTTTATCTGGTTGTTTAATTGTATAAATGTAATATTTGAGAAGAAAAAATCAAATCAAATGATGTCGTTCTGAGAGGGGAAGATTATTGGGGTGATTTAATTCCCTTTTCCACGCTGATGGTCGTGACTAGGGGAAGATCTTGTGTTTAAAAGCTGTAATGGATTATTAGCTTTTGTTTTTTGTGATTAATACTGATGAGTTCTGTGAACAGAGCCGTCAGCTCAAAACAGACTTTGGTTCCGATGAAGGGGCGTCAGAGGAAGCTTGTGGCCAGCAGGTGGCGGAAGTACGCTCTGAGACTCTGAGAGAAGGAGAAGAAAAACAGGAGGAGGTTTGTTTTGCTTCAGAGAAGCTGCTGGGTTCCGTCAACATATTTCTTTCTGTAAACTGGGAGGCAGGCGGTGGATTTAACGCTTTAATCAGAGAAAACCAGCGAGAAGCAGCCGAACCTGTCTGCTTTGATCCGAACCAGAGCTGCTGAAACTGGCACAGGTTGGCTCATTCAGAATGTTGCTAGGTTTGATAATTATTTTTAGCAGAGAGAAGAACTAGTTGTTCTCACAGTGGAGCCAGTAATAAACTAAAATAGATCCGAAACATGACGAGAAAAATGTAAATAAAGGTTTCTTATTGCTAACTTTTGTGTCCCAATCTACTCGAAACAAGGTCAGTACTGTCACCAGCAGGAGGGTTAAGCTCTTTTATTACTCCTTTTGTAAATGTGGAGGGAAGCTGGTCCATCCCACGGTTGTTCAGAGCAGGAAGGTTTCTTTAAGAGCACATTTATCCCTCCAGGAATTCCATTTCTACCCAGATGACGTGGAAAGTGGGTGAAAACTCTTCATGGGCTAGCTAATCCAGATTGTATATATCAGGTTTGTTTTGTAGATTATCTCATAAACTTAAATATCAAACACCTCACCTTGAGACCTCACCGCCCACCTGAACATACACCTCAAACCTGAGACAGGTGAGGTCCACTACACTCTGGGCTCAAACTGTAACAGAAAGTTTAGAAATAAAATTAATTTAATCTCCAGATGTTATAGACAATATTCAAATTTCTGCTCCTGTTCTTGAGCTTGTGGCATTTATTTCAAACTAGGATTATTTTTAATAAGCTTAGTTTATCTATATTGCAAATATATAATTTAAAATAAAAAAATAATAAAACAGAAAAATATTTCAATTTTGTTTAAAGCAACCTCTCCCACAAACCAACAGAAAAAAATGCTGTATTGTAATAATGCTATTTTAAACATTTTTTATATTGGTGATATACAAACAATATGGCAACAAACAAAAATGTATAATTTATTACAAGAGTGTGCCTGGTTTATACTCCAGCAGCAAAATAAGTCTGAGGTAAACTATACATTTTTATTTAAGAAACAAGGTAATTTAAAACCAATTTATTTTGTTATTATTTAATTTAATTCAAATAATTCACTGCAGCCAGATTGAGAACAAGTCATTCCTGTTCAGTACAACTAAAGCCAGTTACAATCTGGTCTCAGGTTATTCCAGTTCTCTCTACTTTATTCCAGTTTTAATGTTGGGATTCACTGACTGGACCGATGTTTAGGAATATCGGACACTTTTATGCCAAATTGTGTTTTAACTCAAGTCTGTTTATTCTATTATTTTATAATAAGATTGAATGAATATGTGGTTCCGTGGGTCTGGTCTGTTTGCGGTTTAATCACATGTCTGAAGGTTTTAGGTGTTTTTATTATAAACAGCTGGAGTTTAGTCAACATTTACTTCCTGTAGAAGCTGATGATTTAAAGTCTGACCCATCCCAAAAGCTGAGTTCTGTCTCTGCAGGATGACTGCCTATCGTTGGTGGATCGTCCATCTTCTCCTCTTCACCTCCACCTCTGCTCGCAGTGACTTCTTTACCTCCATTGGTGAGTTGGTGTTTTTTTTCTATCCGTCCTCCTCTTCTGCTGTCCTCCTGGTTCACATAGCTTCAGCAGACCGGGTCAATACTGTATGTTTCCCAGGTCAGATGACAGACCTGCTGTTCATGGAGAAGGACCTGGTCATGTCACTGAAGGACTACATCAGAGCAGAGGAGGACAAACTGCAGCAAATCAGAAGGTGAGCCCTCATCCTGTCTGCTGTTGAGTGACAAAACAAGTTTTGAACAAAGCTGGTGCTCTGACTCCAGACTGGTGATGTTTTGATGCAGCTGCAGGAAGCCAGATGTTTTATTTAAATCTGACAGATGTTGTCCATCTGAAAGGAGATTTAGTTTACTTCAAACCTGAGAGTAGCTGACAAGTTTTTACTGCATTCTGATTTATTATATATGAATGATTATTAATTGTGCTATACAGCAGATTTATTCATTCTGCAATATTTCAGCACACATTTGCAAATCTGTACAGTATTAACTTGGCGTTCTGGATCCGAACCTCAGACAGAGATCTGATATGAGAGCGTCATCAGTTTGGTTCAGTCCCAACATTATTATGAATCATTGCTCCGTTCTTGTGTTCACCTCTGGATTATAATCCATGGATTTGGCGTAATCCACCGATAAATTTAAATGATCTCCTCTTCGAGGTAAACTGGTGCCAAGTGATTAAGTTCAGCCAGAAAAAAGGTCTCGAGTCATGAAGCACCAAAGGGATGAAAGTGTGTTTGCACACAAACGTGCATGTGTGTGTGTGTGTGTGTGTGTGTGTGTGTGTGTGTGTGTGTGTGTGTGTGTGTGTGTGTGTGTGTGTGTGTGTGTGTGTGTTTAGGTGGGCGGATAAACTGGAAGCCCTCTCAGCTGCTGCCACTGAGGATCCTGAAGGTTTTCTGGGTCAACCGGTAAATGCCTTCAAACTAATAAAAAGACTCAACACAGAGTGGACGGAGCTAGAGAGCCTTGTCCTGATGGACATGTCTGATGGTAAACACACACACACACACACACACACACACAGGTTTTAAATTTTTTTTGCAGATTTCTTCTAAATCTAAAGAAGCAGATGTGGAATCACATTGAGTTCTGTTGCAAATACGTGTTAAAGGTTGAATATGAAACACAAACACCAAAGTGACATCTAGTGTGTGGAGGTTGTAACTGCAACAATAGAACAAGGTTTCCAGCCGTCGGGATACCAGGTTTGCTGCTGATACGTGAACATTTTTTATCTTTGTCCATCTGTTGTAGGCTTCACCTAAACTCACTCTGGTTTTAGATCTTTTATGGTCGCTCCTCTTCTGAGAAGTATAATGACATCTTCTGGGCTCAGATCAGCTGCTTGACTTGCCGAGTCCACCATTTTCCGCAGTGCCAATGGACTGTTTGACAACCTGCAGCAGTGCCCTCTATTGGCTGGTAGATGTAAACATAAACCCAGCGTCATGCCCATCAAAATGAATATTTGATTATTTTTATTTAGATTCTATCTTTTATGGGAAATACTGTACCTTCTTCTGCACCCGTGAAGGTATTATTTTTAAGAATATATTGCTTTTTATTAAATTGTTCCATATTCAACCTTTTATGAGGAAAGTTTTTCAACAAAATAAACACCTGAATGTAGTTTTTAGGACTTTTATCATCATTATTTCCTTCAGAATTCATACAAACCACTTTAAGAAACTGTGAGGTTATCTGTTGCCATGGTCACGACAAAGACGATGAACTTCTTTTTTCTTTAGTGTTCGTCTCCAACCTGACCATCCAGAGGCAGAACTTTCCCAGTGATGACGACCAGACCGGAGCTGCTAAAGCTCTGATGAGGCTACAGGACACCTACCAGCTGGACACCGACACCATCTCCACTGGTCAGCTAGCGGGTCAGCAGAACCACCAGCCTGATCTCAGATCAGAGAACAATGTTTCTAATCAGGGAGAGACAAACCGGCTCATCACACACACACACACACACACACACACACACACACACACACACACACACACACACACACACACACACACACACACACACACACACACACACACACACACACACACACACACACACACACACACACACACACACACACACACACACACACACACACACACACACACACACACACACACACACACACACACACACACACACACACACACACACACACACACACACACACACACACACACACACACACACACACACACACACACACACACACACACACACACACACACACACACACACACACACACACACACACACACACACACACACACACACACACACACACACACACACACACACACACACACACACACACACACACACACACACACACACACACACACACACACACACACACACACACACACACACACACACACACACACACACACACACACACACACACACACACACACACACACACACACACACACACACACACACACACACACACACACACACACACACACACACACACACACACACACACACACACACACACACACACACACACACACACACACACACACACACACACACACACACACACACACACACACACACACACACACACACACACACACACACACACACACACACACACACACACACACACACACACACACACACACACACACACACACACACACACACACACACACACACACACACACACACACACACACACACACACACACACACACACACACACACACACACACACACACACACACACACACACACACACACACACACACACACACACACACACACACACACACACACACACACACAGAGGGCAGTCAGTGTAATAGTTTTATGTTTCATTTTTTTGTCTTAGTTTATTAAAAAATGATGACCACTAATCAAGTTTTTGCTCTTCACCCTTTTGGAGCTAAATTCCTATTTTCTGTTTGTCAGACTGAGTTCTCTTTGGCAGCTTGATAGATCCTAATGAAACAGACAGGATAACTCAGGTGTTTGCTCTTCTTGGGACATTGCCCTGTGAAACCACTCATCAGATGTTGGTTTTGTTACAGCTCTAACACTAGCTTCCATTAATGGCCTCATCTTCTTATGGATAACAGTTGAAAATGGTTTCCTGGAGACAAACTGCAACTTTAGCTTCTGCTCGTGCCTCCAATGCACCGTTCTCTGTGTTCAGGTTTGTTCTCCGTCACGCCCGCGCACCTCACTCTTACGGTAGATGACTGCTACGACCTTGGGAAGGTGGCGTACTCGGAGGCGGACTACTACCACACGGAGCTGTGGATGGCTCAGGCCCTCAAGCAGCTGGACCAGGGGGAGACGTCCAGCACTGTGGATGCTGTCGCCATCCTGGACTACCTGAGCTACTCTGTGTATCAGCAGGGGGGGCTGCGGAGAGCCCTGGACTTCACTAAGCAGCTGCTAGAACTCGGTCAGTACGGCCAGAGTGCAAACAGCTTTCAGTTTGATGCAGAAACTGAGACAGTAGCACAGATTTATTATTGTTGAGTTAAACTCAAATAATATAAAACAAAAGTTTTCAGGGTTTATATGAAACATGTGTGACCTCAGATGTTCAGTCTGCTCTACAAACACTCAGTAGTCTTTACTTTGAGCAATTTCCCATCCTCAGTGGCTTGCCTGAGTTTTGGGGTTCCGCCGAGGCCTGTCTTCGGGTCCCATCTCTTTTTTAATCTGCTGGTCAGCTCGCTCAGAACCACATCAACGGTTCTATGCTCACCTTCACATTAATGCCCGTCACCCCACAGCAGCAGCTGGGTTTGATGCCAAGACCAAAGTTCCCTGATGTTTACATCCTTCATCCATCATTGCTTTGAAGTCTTTAAAGAGACAGTGACCCCCATATAAACTTTTTTTGCTGATAAATTGGCACATTTTTCAAACAGGAAATGGGAGTGGAATTAGATTCTGGTAGGGGTGACTTGCTCTTTAATGCTCCTCCTGAACACTGAGCTCCACAGATCAAGTCCTGCTAAATGCTCCGGTCCCATTGAATTAAGCTGTTGCACTGAGGCCATGCTCACATGGTCATGTGACCTTGATACTTGTTTTCATTGAAATGGAGGTGAGGGGGCTGAAGCTATATCTTTACTGACATGAAATCCTGGTTCTGCCCAATTAGACCCAACTCACCAAAGAGCCAACGGCAACCTGAAGTACTTTGAGTATCAGCTGTCCAAACAGAAAAAGGTGGAGGGCAGGGAGGATGAGGAGCAGCAGAAACAGAGGAAGGAGAGTCAAGGTCGCCATGACGACTACTTGCCCGAGAGGAACAAGTACGAGAAACTGTGTCGCAGTGAAGGCATCCGGATGGTGAGTGCGCGCACACACACACACGCTTACACACGCCTCTCACGTGACCTCCGTCATGCTTCAGTCTCCGCCTTCTTCCTGTCAGACCCCTCGAAGGCAGAGCCGCCTCTTCTGCCGTTACTACGACAATGGCCGCCACCCAAGGTTTGTAATTGGTCCGGTGAAACAGGAAGATGAGTGGGACCGGCCCCACATTGTCCGCTACCATGATGTTGTATCTGAAAATGAGATGGAGAAGGTGAAGGAGCTGGCCAAACCCAGGGTGAGTGTTTGTTTATTCTCACCAGCTCACCTGAAGGGGATCTGACACAATAAAAGGGCTTTCAGTAATGCACATCATCTACTTTTTGCTGGTTTAGTTTGTGTTAGTTTAAAGGTGTGGAACACTGAAAAGAACATTTAATGATTATTTCTGATTATAATCAGTCACTCTGAGGTTTTCATGCAGGTTGAAAATAGTCTCCTACACCTATCTCCCGCATTAGCTTCTGATAGAAAATAGACGGTGAAACTCTAGGATTTGAAAAGCCTGGCGGATCTACGTCACACTGTCCCTTAACATTCATGTAATCACCCATCATGACTCGTGACGGGGAAGGCTGTTGTTGGTTTAGCGTCCAGGAAACGGCAGAGAACATCTTGACTAGGGGTAAACGGATATATCGGGCTGATATTTACTGTCCGCTCTTTTCATGTTTCGCATCGGCCGATATTTGTCCTTAGTAAAGCCGATTTAAAGCCAGGCACATCCTCGGGCATCCCGGTGCTGTTGCAGAATTTAATTTAAATGTACTATATTTACATTCACTGATGACATCTGCATAATCAATACGCTGAATTAACTTTATTTAGGTGCCTGACTTTAACACTGAGCAGTGCACAAAGTTAAAGCTTAACAGTTAAATTCAGAGTTCAAAAACTGATTCAGCTTCAGATATTTTGTGCATTAACCAACGTTATTAGTGACATTTTAGCATGAAAACAAAGTAGAAAATGTCTAGATATCGGCCATGAAAATCAGCCCATAAAAGTTGGCAGCACATATCAACCATTGGCTGACCATGTCTCCTACATATTGGTATTGGCAATAGAAAAGTCAATATTGGTCGACCTCTAGTTTCGACTAGCAAAACTAGCCATTAGCATTAGCAACTCCACCACATGGCAGAATTCCATCAAACTTATGTTATTTGTGGAGATAAAACGTCAACATCGCAGAGCAAACAGAGTCAGTGGTGGAGTTGTGTTGTTATCCAATCAGAGGTGAGATGTCCAAATATCAGGAAATAATCCTGTCATGTTAAGCTACTTTCTCCTCAGCTTACTTGTACTTCCTGGTTCAGGCGCATCTGAGCTTTTTCCCTTCCAAGTAAGACTAAGGCATTTATTCCCACAAGAGACAACTGCAAATGTATTAAACAAGTTTTTGACACCTTTAATAAAAATACTAAAATGTCACGTTTTATTTGAGATCTTATCGATCTGTTTTGAGACCTGCTGAGAACCAGATGGTCTGTTTTCTGTACAGAAACCCTGTAGGTGTGCGTGCCATCGGGATCGCGATTCTTTAGTCCCTATGCAGCAAGAAAACTCCGCTTCAGTCAGATGGGTTTTTTTATAACTGAGGTATACGGGAGTCAGTGTGTGTCTCCCTGTAACTTTCAGCCAATTGATTTCACAGCTGCGTCGAGCCACCGTCTCCAACCCCATCACCGGAGTTCTGGAGACGGCCCAATATCGCATCAGTAAAAGGTAAGAGCTGCCATGAGGTTGGGGGGGGGGCAGCAGGAGGATCTCCTCCCATCAGTTTCTCTTTCTATGTTAATCATCAACACCAGCTGATATCCTGACAGGAGCGGAAAACTCTCAATTTTATCTTTTCCAAATGCTTTTACTGTTTCAGAGTATCCGACTCCGTCTTTAAAATAACACCAGGCTGACGTCTTGTGATGTATTCTGATCGTATTGGTTTACTTCAGGCTTCAGAAATCACTCAACAGTGAATATCTCGTAACTTTTATAACCCTCCCACTGTCTAATAGGTGTGACCCCGTGAGGAAAGTTGACCATTGAGCAGGGTTGATGGTTTATCCCTTGGGTCCATGTGGCAGGGGTGAGGAGTGAGCACCACCTCACCCCTGCCACGTGGACCTCAAGGGATAAACCATCAATCCTGCTCAATGGTCAACTTTCCTCGCGGGGTCACACCTATTAGACAGTTCAAACTTAATTGATGGTGAGGTTTTTTTAATCTTGATATTTTCAGGTTTTTATTTTAATGGTCAAATTGCAAAATATTTTCGTGTTCAAGCCTCCAGTTGTGCCAAAAATCTGATTTGCTTTCTTCATATTTTCATTAGAAATTTTTATTTATTTATTTTTTTTATTAAGTTTTTGTCTCTGTGATCTTGGTAGGAATGAGGCTGTTTGTGTTTTTCCTTCAGGAGGAAGGAGGGCTGGGACACTAATATCACCTCTTTTATCTCTAACTTGTCACAAGGGCAGCAAGGCGGTCCGACAGCTTCGTGGTTCTGCTGGAGGGTCGGGGGTTAGGTTTCCCACCACACTGAAGATAATGAGATCTCCTCAAACAGGCTTTAATGTTTTTTGACCAAATCAGGATCAAACTCTGCTGTTTAACAGGATTTTTATTTAATTTCTGCCCTAGATCTGCTCAGTCCCAGCTGGGTTTGGAATGGAGGAGTAATAACTGATGTTAGAACCTTCAGTGGTTTGGGTTTGTCTTGCTGCCTTCCTGACTTGTCTGTAATGACCCGCCTCTCTCTGTCTCTGTCTCTGTGTGATGCCATTCGATGGCTGAATTAGCTCAGACGTGCAACAGTTCATGATCCTCAGACAGGAAAATTGACCACAGCTCATTACAGAGTCTCCAAGAGGTAAGAGAAGCTGATCAGCTGCTTGTGATTCAGAACCAGTTGAACAGATTGATCCAGACAGCTCAGATTATTTTAGACCTTCACAGTTCAGAGAAGATATTGTTTCACATTTGGGTCCTGTGTTTCTAAAACCATTGTAATCCGTTTCCATTTGTCAAAATTTTATTTGGATTTCTTGGCTTTTATAGTCCACATCCAGTTCTGATGCTCATTCCTTCATTTGTAGGAGCTGTTTGCTGGACTCAGGTCAGCATGGACACTGGGATCAAAGCTAATGATCCGGGGCCTCATTCATAAAGCTTGCTTATGCACAAACAGCGTGCTCGTTGATGTTTGTTTGATATGAACAATTTTTCTTGCCTAAAGCCTTTTTGGGTTAAACTGAATAAGCAGATTTATTTGCACAATTTTATAACATAGTTTGCATTGTCCATTCGGGTGTGATTTATAAAGCAGAAACTGCATGGAGCTGTGTAAGCAGAGTTTTATAGTTCGAAAAATTTGTTTGCATAACAATTTTTTTCTTTTGCTGAGCTTAAGTAGGGTTTAGTAAGGATTCTATGTAACGTTTAATAAATGAGGCCCCCGGTTAACTGGGTTTTTGATGTATTCTGCTGTACTCTGTTGTATTCTGCATCAGCTCACCCCAGGGCAGCTGTGGCTACACCGTAGCTCATCATCAGTGTGAATGTGTGTGTGTGAATGGATGAATGATACTGTAGTGGATCAATAGTTGCATCTTATGTAGGAAACCATCAAAGCTGAGATTCCACAGAAAATGTGGAATCAATTTTATGTATCTTTGAATACTATCTTTAAACAGAAGATCGGAACTTTTTATTGCAGGGATTAGGTAACATTTCGTAATAACCCAGAGTCAAAAGAGAGAGACAAGTTTTAAAGTTTACGAAGATTTAATTCTAAACAATTTTAAACAAGGCTAACTAACTCTAAACACTATGTGATGAATGGATCTAGTTGTGAATGAGGCAAAATGGATGGTGTAAATATGGAATGTTGTTATCAGAACTCTCGTTTCCGGAGAAGCATTAGTTCTGTGTGGGAGCGAATGTTTTGCTCTAAACTGTAGTCGGCGTTTCAAAAACCACATTCAGACACTATCTTGCCGTTCTACATACCCTTGCGGAGACCTCCTTGTAGATCCAGAATGCCAGGTTCTCTAACCCCCTTTGGTACCGGAGCCGGTGAAACGGCGTACGGCATGACAGACTAGTCTTGGGATTGCCCCCAGGCACGCGGCAGGTGTTTACAGCGTCAGCGGGACCCTGAAGGGTCAGTGAGTTCAGCTTTTACTCTGAAGGAGCGTTGCGTCAGGTGGAGCTAGCAACAGGTTTATTTTCCAGCTTGTCGTTAGGTTCTTTGTGGTTAAAAAGTTACGAGTGGCCGGCTCACAACTCTAAAACGTTTGAACTGACTTAAGGATGGCATGGGAGTTAGTTTTATAAATCAGATGTTTTGATTTATGGTCGAATCAGAATTGGACAACAAATATAAACACCGCACAGATTAGCTACGCATCAGAAAGGAAAGCTCTGATTGGAGAGACAAAGGAATCGGTCATGTGGTTTTTAACATTACGTGTGATCAGTCTAGTGTGTAGTTTAAAATTATATTACTTATTAAAATATTATCATAGGATTATAATATCAAGTAATTAATATTCTCATTTCACAGATTGATTTAACCCTGAGCTTTACACGATTATTTGGACTAACAAGGGTATTTGCTTATTATTTAAAGAGAAGAGAGTCCTTGGTCTTCTTTCTTCTCTTGAGCTGTAGGGGGAGGCAAATAGCTAGTTAAAACAGTTTAGACGCAGGCATCAAAAGGCCCTGAGCATATCAAGGAGATTAGTTCTTCCTGAGGAGAAGGGAGAAAACAGTCCCTTCATGACGCTACAATACACTGTAGTGTAAAGCACTTTGGAGCATGACGCTACAATACACTGTAGTGTAAAGCACTTTGGAGTCCTCTGACTGAAAGGTGCTATACGAGTGCGGGTCATTTATCATAATACTCCATGATAACTATAAAGTTGATGAGATTATTCGTGTAGTGAGCGGATCAGTCCTGTGGTTCTGATTCTGGTTTTCTTCCTTCACACCTTGTGTGCTTCTTTTAGCTGCAGGACAAATAAATCAGAGAGAAGAAAAACATGTTGCAACTTACGTCTCCGATTTAATCCACACGGGTCCTCTTTGTCTCGCTAACACCATTCTATCACTGTGTCAACAGCTTGTTTTCCCACCACTAAGATTCTGACACATGTCCTGTCTCTGCATCCTCTGTTCTCACATCCTGATCCTGTGTTCCTTTTATCCATGTCCTGACTCTTTCTTCTGTTCTGATATCCAAACCCCTGTGTCCTATTTTTTTCTTGTGCAGTGACACTGCATCCTCGGTCACCCTGTTCTGACTCGGTCCTTATGTTCAGACTTGATGTCTTTGTGTCCTGACTCGGTCCTCTGTCTCTTAGTGCTTGGCTCGCAGCATTTGAACATCCAGTCGTGGATACAATCAACCAGAGGATCGAGGACATCACGGGCTTGGATATCAGCACAGCTGAGGACCTGCAGGTAAGCAGCTGCTGATCTATGATGTCTTTGGCACACAGATTCACTGCTGTGTTTGTTGATGTTTGTGTTTGAGGCAGGTGGCGAACTACGGGATTGGAGGACAGTATGAGCCTCACTTTGACTTTGGACGGGTAAACCAGCTTTCACACCTTTGATTGTCACAGAAATGGGTTTAAGAGTGAATGGATGAGTGTAAAACCACCATAAACACAGTTTAAACACGACCACATCAGGAGGCATGAGTGTTTTATGGATCTCAGGAGACATTAGAACTTTACTTGAAAAGCATTTGACTGCATGAACACTGGATTTCTCCAAGCTGTCTTCGGCCCTCTGAAGGAGGAATAAACAAGAAGAGCTTTTTTCCTTTCCGTGTTGCAGAAAGACGAGCCGGATGCATTTGAGGAGCTGGGCACCGGGAACCGGATCGCCACGTGGCTGCTCTATGTCAGTCTGTTGTTGTTGTTGTTTTATAACTTCATGCTGATGGATTCACTCTGAATATCTTCTCCCTCCTGCTGCAGATGAGCGACGTGCAGGCAGGGGGCGCCACCGTCTTCACTGATATCGGTGCCTCTGTGAAGCCCAAAAAGGTGACCCAACCCGCTCGTGAAGCCCCACAGAACCCAAACATTTAGTTGCCTTTAAAAAACAAAATTAGTTTTTTGTTTGATTTAAAATTAACATCACACTATGAATTGTTTATAAAAACTTCTCTTTTTCAAAAATCTTAAAATCAAGTTAAAATCTGTTTCACAAACTAAAATTGTTCCATTTTTAAATTTACGTGCCGTTTTTCCTTTTCTAATACAAGTAGAAGACTAATTAGTTGTGACCCTGTTTGCTGCAGGGCACAGCGGTGTTCTGGTACAATCTGCACCGCAGTGGCGAGGGAGACTATCTGACCCGACACGCCGCTTGTCCGGTTCTGCTGGGAAACAAATGGGGTGAGTTCTTCTCACCTGCAGACACGCCTGAGATCCAGGACCTTCTCAAAGCAACAGAAAATGTTCTGATCGTTTTTGATCAGAGATGTTGGTTCTGATCCATGAATATCTGCAAGATGTGTGGAAAACCTGCAGTCAGTCAGGTGATCTGCTGTTTATAGAGCATCCCACCCTGTTACTTTGATGATGAGACGCTTCACAACAGTTCTGGAGTTTTAGTGATTATCCTAAATAATAATCATCTCTGTGGTCTGAATTACTTCTCTCTCATCTTGACTGAAACTTTCTCCTGCAGTTTCCAACAAATGGATCCATGAACGAGGACAGGAGTTCAGGAGACGCTGTGGTCTCCTGGAGTCCGACTGACCTCTGACTGTGCCACCAACACTCCTTCAGATCCGATTTCTTCCTCTGATTCTCTGCAGCTGCTAAACTTAACCGCTCATCCGATCAGACACTGTTGTTATCTTTGTTGTGTGCGTTGTTGTGTTTCTGATGTGTTTATAAGGCTCCATCTGTTAGCAAACTCTTGGTGTCAAGAACAAAGAACATTAGTGTTTCTTTTCCATCATAAACATTCAGTTTGTTTGAGGAAACACTATAAAAACCCGTCTGAGCTCCGTTCAAAAACGAGTGTCAGAATTAGTTTCACATCCTCACAGCTGCTTGGCTCAGTTGGAATTATTTTAAAACCTGAAAATTTTCACGGTCAATTTAAAATTATGGTGTGTAACGGAGAAATCAGAGTAACCCCTGTGCCAAGCTAGTTCATGTTTAACTGCGATAGAAACAGAAAAGTCCCAGTTTAAAGGTCCAATAAGTAAGCAGACAGTGTCTAAAGTTACCATCATGTTGGAAGGAAGGTTATATTGAAACAGATTTCCTTCTCTGCCGGTTAGGAGGGGGGCTGTCAGTTTTCTCCTCTCCAAAAGGGACATAGGCCCAATCCCAATACTCGCACTTCCACACTTGCGCCCTTCAATTCCCATCCAGGTGTGTGAGTATGTCGGGTGTCCCAATTCTCCAGTGTGGAAGTTGACCACTCCTCTTTTGCACCCTTGATCTCCACCACCCAAATCCGCACTGATGCAGACTTGAGTGGTGTATTACCCACAATACATTGCTGCGGGAGAAAAGGCACAAGTGCCTTTTCTGAAAATATGTATTTTCAAATTAAAGTAGTCCATTTTAGGATGATATTTAGATAAAGCAGCAATGAATGTTATTTTTTTTAATAATTGTTTGGTTGTTTGTTTAAAAGTTGTTAATAAAGTTTTTTTTTTTGAAAAAGTAGCACAGCAGAACCCCAGCATGCGTTGCGGTCGATGACGCAATGCTCCCCGTCCCAATTCAGCAATTATCACACTCTCGAAGTCTTACAGTGCACTTCCTCCAAATGCACTTCACAGAAGACCGTAGGGTGCATTGCTAGTATTGGGATTAGGCCTTACTCATGGTTTACAATATGTACCGCCACCATGTTTCCTGGTTCCAGAGCCAATCATATGTGAGACCACAAAGTTGCCAAGTCTTCAACACAAACACTGCTTCAGTTAATGCTGCTGTGCTGGTATTTGTAATTCAACTATGACAAGCAAAAGTAGCAGAGTTGTAGAAATAAATGGAAGCCAGTGAACAGGAGCGACCCAGAAGTTATTTCTTGTACCCCTAAGAAGACACGACATCCTTTTGTTTTACTCTAATATCGGAGCAAGAATGCTAGAGGCCAACATTGAGCTAACAAAACTAACAGTGAATTAGAAGCAAATGGTCAGCTCAAGCTACTTTTTTCAACCAACAACTCGTTATTACAGTGAAATGTATGTGTGAAGTGAATAATGAGTCAATTGTGGTGTTTTACTCCCTTAAAGCTGCATTCCAGAGTTTTCCCCTTTCATAAATGATATGATTTTTCTGAAATCCGTAAAAGTGATTATCTCATCATGTACTGTGATAAAATGTAAGCAATACGTCTTTTTTTTTGCTAACCACGCCCCCTGCCCCGCAGAGCGCCGTGCAATAGGAAACTGTACTAACCAGACCAGTACTAACCAATAGCGTTGCACTACCGCTTACTTGCTTCAAATTTAAGGAATACCTTGACTGATGCAGAGTTGATGAACTTTTCACAGACAAGAAAGTCTCTAAAATATAAATATATGAGAACACAGCATGACATGAGAATAATACTCGTAAAACAACGTGTTTCAGCTCTGTTTGTCAGCTACAGAAGCACATTTATAAACCGAAGCGTGAAGTCGCCATCTTAAACAGAGGAATAGACTTTTTGTGTGATTTGCTTGTCAGCCACTAGATGGTGCCATCGGATAAGAGAAATACCCCAGAAAGAAGCTTTAAAGCCCCATTCCTGAACTTTGTGGGTATGCGTTCTCTGTTGCCCTGTCCTGGCTTGCTGTGTAACGTCACTGTTGTAAAATCAGATCTCTCTGACAGCATGTTTACTGGCTGTTTTCCAACTCGCATGCCCAAACAAACACATTAAGCGGCGTTTCTGTGTTGAATAAAGTTTTATCAGGACTGTATAACAACTTTATTCCCGACCAAACACAATAACCCCCCGTTGAAATATTACTTACCTATCCATTAGCAGCACGGCTAAGTCAGAGTCTGTACATGCTGTTCTTTCAAGAACAGCTCTCCAGCGAGAAAAAGCCGTCCCAACATTAACTCTGGTCCTTGCTCTATCACATTCTCTTTTTCTATTCCTAGATTTCTCTGATGAGGGATTTCTAGCTTTCTTTGGTGGATCTGCCATTGCTCAAGTCTCTAAACCACGGGTCTACCACAGACATATGTAGACGCCCCGTGGGCTAGCGCTGCCATAGTTGCTGGCCGCCATTTTAAATGGGTCTCCATTCGCCCCCAGTGCATTAGTTTCTGTTAAGGTAGGTGCTACTCAACTAGAAAACACATTTTATCAAGCGTTTTCACAAAATCTGACACAAGTTGCTCACTCTGCATTAATTTTGGACTTTTCTACAATCTGCTTTGGAGAGTGAGACCCATCCGTAAAGCAACACGCAGTCAGTACTTCGACTGCGAGTCAAAAACTACAGTGTGGTAAACATACGTGGGACCCCATCACACTATCACAGCTCAGAAAATGAACATAATAGATGATAGTGTGCCACCAAAACTTCTAAAAAAAAAACATTATTTAAGATGTAAAAGTTGCAGAATGGGGCTTAAACAAGTTGTTCAGAACAATAACAGCAAACAACAACACTTCATCTGATGCTGGAGTTAAACTACCGTAATAAGTGTGGTAAATCCCAGTCCTTGGAGGTGGGGGGAAACTGCCCTTCATGTTTTAGATCAGGAGCATTTAATTCTGGGCCTGGAGAGCTGGTATCTAGAATGTGTTATTTTTAACTGTTTCAACACACCTGCTTTCAATCAGCAGGTGATTAACAGGCTTCTGCAGAGCCTGATGAGCTGCTGCACAAGTGATTCAACCACTGAATCAAGTGTGTTGGAGCAGGGAAACCACTAAAACATGCCAATACCGGCCCTCCAAGCCCGGAATTGAATACCCCTGTTTTAGGTGTTTATTCACTCCAACACAACAGATTTTTTTTATCTTTTGATGCTGTTGTCTCTAACTTGACCACTAGATGGCAGTAAATGTTACAAACATTACCTTTAAACTAGAAACTGTTCTGTGTTGCTTGGGTCAGATCAGTTAATCTTATAAACCAGGCAACCAGTTTTATGCACTCTTACTTTACTTTTATTTCTATTCATTATTATTGGCCTTATTGGTTTCTACAATACTTTATTATGATGCTTGGAAATTGATTAAATCAGCTCAGAAGCTGAGTTCCTGTTTATAAATCAGAAGTCTGCAAAGTTATGTTCTGGGAAAACTTGGCTCAGGATATCAGAGAGTTTTCTCCCATCTCCCTGAGGTCCGCTCAGATTCAGGGACATAATATAATACTAATCTGATAAATGGACAGTTTCATTAGAAAGCTCTGTGTCTTTAGTTCTTGACATTCTACTAAACAGATCTACTACTGCAGAAACAAACACTCCCCCTGCTGTTACACTCCTCCAGCACTTTATTCTGAATTTCACTCATTTCCTTGTGTAAATGAGATTTTAAAACTTGTAGATGTTTCCTGGTTAAATAAAAATAATTCAGAAAACTGGACCAATAACGGTAGCTTTGATGTTCCCTTGAAGCAGCTAGCTGAGCCTTAATGCTGCCTCTGATTGGCTGCAGAGCCTCATAAATGTAATCTGTGGTTTACCACACTGAGAACATGCAGTTTTCTGTCTGGGTTATTGGGTTCTGGTTCATTTCCCAGCGCTCCTGTTTGTGTGTTCATAGAAGAGTTGTGTTAAGAGTCTGATCCGAGTTTATCATGAGGTGATCACTTTTACTGATCCAATTAAACCCAGAATGCTGAAACAAACCAGTTTGTCTTCTTATCTTGTAAATATACAATGTTGTTCACTGTAGACCTTAACACAGATGCAGTAAAGACTTTGTTTGTTTATTCAAACTTGCTAGTTGACAAGTCAACATTTTAGGCACAAAAGTTTACTGGTTGTCATTTTTAGCTTCACCTGCTCTCTAGGAAGGTGAAACCCGTTTTGGGGACTTCTTTCTAACATCACACTGATCAACTAGTGTGCAAATTTGACAGTTACTAGTCAGCTGATAGGATTTGTGATAACTAGTTTACTGTACATGCAAGGGTTCATATACTTACTGGTCCACTATGGCCCTTACCATGATGACTACTTGGGAGTTTGGGGTTTTTGGCAAACATTTGTTACTAGTAAGTGTTTGTTTGTTTGTTTGTTTGTTTCAACCAAAAGTTTGAAAGTAAACTATCCAGTGCTCAGGCATGTTGGCACATTATAGATGGAGTTTGATCAAAACTAATGTCTTGTTGTAAAACACTGGTGTTGTGTGTTGAACCGGCTAGTTGGGCTGAACTCCATTGTTAAAATCTCATTTAAAAACACACTTTTACAATTTTGTATCAAACTTTCTATCCAAAATCAACACTTCACTTAACAGCAGAGGTCACTTCACTCTCCTGAGTTTTCTAAAATATCATTTAGGTAATTCTGATCCACACACATGAGACCTGATTTGTGCAATAAAGTGAAGAACGGACTGAGTTGCTGCTGGAAGACGATTGGCTGATTTTTGGTGTAAGGCGTCCAGCATCAGCGGCGCAGTACCACCCATCACGTGTCTATCAGCACAATCCAACGGGCTGGAGTCGTCACCGCTGCGGTTCTGGCAGGCGATAATCAGACGGGTGGTTGCCTTCACGCACATGCCCAAAACACCCAAGCAGTAGGTCGACAGCGGTGGTAACCGTGGAGAGGACTTCTTCCTCCGTCCGTCCTCTCTTGGGGTTCACCTCCACCAGGTCGACTGCAGACAGCAGACCTAAGGACACAGCAGTGTTTGGTCTCCAGCAGCAGGTAAAGCTTTTGTTGTTTACAGTTTGTGTTTCTATCTGCAGGAAGCAGTAGCCCATAGGCTGGATGCTACCTGAACCATACCTGTCTGACTTAGGTGCTCAGTGATGTAAAGACCCTCTCGGTAGGTGAGGCCTCCCACTACAGGAGTTCCAGTTGCTGGAGTAACAGAGGGGTCGATGGCGTCGATGTCGTAGCTCAGGTGGATGGGTTTCTGAGCACTAAGCAGAAGCAAATAAAACATTCAAAAGAAACACGGAGTGAAAGCAGCTGGGAGGTGAAAGGTGAGGGTTACCTGGCACACAGATAGTCACACGTCTCCTCCATGACTCTGGCCACGCCCAGCTGATCCACCTGAGACATGGAGAACACCTTCACACCCAGCAACTTCAGGATGTAGCTGTGGAAGGAAATCAAACAGGTTTTTTTGTAAAGGTTTCATGTCAGCACCCTAATTAACAGACAGGAGGACTTACTGCTCGGCTGGATCCACATCTCTCAGACCGATGTAGACCAGATCTCTAGCCGACACACATGCCTTCATCCAGGAGAAGCTTGGGAGAGCAGGAATCTGTGGAGATGGTGAAAAGTGAAGGATTCTGAGTGTTTGTGGGACCAACAAGGGGCCTAGAGGTGGAGCTCACCTTTGACTGCAGCTCATACAGGAGGTAGGACATGGGCTGCCCGTGGATGTTTCCAGTGGACGAGGTCAGTGGAGTGTTGACATCAGCGTGGGCATCAACCCACACGACGCTTAGAGGTCCGACAGCCGCCGAGTGGCCATGGACGGAGCCGATGGCCAGACTGGAAACAGAAAAACCTTAAATGCTGTAATAAATATATTTTATCTTACCTACTGTAGCCTTCAGAGTTCTAGAGTACTGGTGTACTAAACGCTGTAAAAGAACTGCTGTTTATAAACATAAATAGTAGCAGTAGCAAAATGCAGAACCTCCTGTACTTCCTGTTGGGTCAACTCAAGCTGCATTTGTGAATATCTGCTGAAATCACTGTGTAATGTGAGAAAATGTAATGTCACGTTGGTTTTTGTGAAATTTAATGGATTAGAGATTTTAAGACGGTGTGAGACTTTTCTCAACTCTGCAGAGACTAGCTGTTAGCTCATCAGTCCTGGAGGACATAAGCAGTATCTCTCTGAACAGAGGCTGTCCAGGAAGCTATCTACAATGAGTTAGACAAAAATGATCTTTTAGACAGGGACACACTTCAAAAGGCCAAACCATTACTTTAGTATTATTCTTTCTTTGCGTTCTCTGACGCTTGCTACTTTCTGTTGACTGACCTGTGGTCTCCTCCCAGCATCACCGCTGTGTGTCCGTCCCGCTTCATCGCCTGCACCGCCTCTGACAACCTCTGGTTGGCACTGCCCACCGCCCGAACACTTTTCGAACCTTGAACTGGCTCATCCAGAGCCACATCCTCAAACGTCAAGTTCCCATAATCCTTCACTGCACAGCCTGTACAGTACACACACAGATTAACAAGATACATCAATCATTTTATACAGTGGAGTGAAAACAGATTAACTTCCTGAGGAGCTCAACTTAATTTTTCTCATGTTTAACATTAACAGCTGCAGAAATGAGTCACCGATTATTTGTTACAACTGTGTTTCTAAGCACAGGCTTGTTCTTCAAAGACGTGTCCATGGCCCAGATCGAGGCCAATTTTAGTTTGACACAAAATAAAAGGAAACATTTGCAGCATCTCAGAACATGATGACCATGAAAAACAAATAAGCCTTCAGTTCGTTTCAGACAAGAACTGGATGAACATTAACAGACACCTGTTGTAATGAAAACAGAGTTCAATTTACTTTAAACATGGGTGTGTTCACTCACTGGTGTGTACCTGTAAACACACACACAGTCTAACCTTACTAATTAAACTGATAACCCAACTAAACACTAATTTTAAGTAACCCAGCATGGACCTTCATCTAACCTAACACTAACCTTACCCAGCGTTAGGCCCTTGATTACATTGCATTGGTTACATCCAGTTGGAAAGTAATTAAGTAAAAGTAATGTAATGGTGCATCCAAAAGCCCTGTTGATCAGAAAATAAGCTGAGATGGAGAAAAGACCGAAAACACGTTTTATCTTTGGACTTCATGAGAGAAATTGGAGTTAATCGATGAAGCAGCGACCCCTGGTGGTCAATCAAATGTAGACCATGTACAACCGGAAGTGAACCAACTCAATATTTCTGTCTGAAAAGAGTTTCTGAGTATTTTAGTTTTAGCAATGGGCAAGACAAGGTTTGGGGACATGCCCTTTGTGTCCTCAGGATGAAAACTTTATGCTGGTATCTTTTGTTTGTCCATAACTGTATAAACAGGTGATGAGTCACTGCTTCCCTCAGCATGGAGGACAGTGAACTCAGTTTGTTTAATGTTGACCTGACCTCATGAGCTCAGCCGGTATTAAAGCTGAACCCAACCTCTGAGAAAGGGGCGTCATAGTCAAAAGGAATAATGAGGTGAAAGCTTAAACATCTGTACAGTCAGATGAATCAGTGACGGTAAAAAAAAAAAATCAGAACTAACCAATAGGAGAGGAGGAGGAGCTCTGGTATCACTGATATAATCTACATAATTCCCGATGCCTCATTCTGGAGAAAATGTTTATAATAAGAACAGAAAATCTGAGGAGGCTACTTTTATTTTTACTATTGCCTGGAAAGGTGAGCAACAGGTGACAGGGTTGCTGTATGTGTGTGTGTGTGAGAGAGACATACAGTGGATGGATTCCAATGAAACTCAAACAGTGATCATTAGATGAACATCTATGACTGGTTAACTGGCCTGATCCATGACCATTACAGCTGATCTACGTTAGCAAACACCACCGCGGCTGCACTCGGCTTGTTTTATGGACATTTAGCTAAAATTGTATGTATTTGTAGCTGAGTGTGTCCTAAAACTACAGCCAGAAAGAAAATTGTCCAAAGGTCAGTCCTTGCTGTGTTGGATTACGGTCAAACTACGTGCATGTGTTTCTTCATTTACTGACAAAAACTAGACTCAGTCTATCATGAAGCTTTGTGTTTTTAAAAACCAACACAGCCTCACACACTCTCTGCAGTCTGCATGCATTTTCATGCTAGATTTCTATAAACCAAAGGGGAAAAAAATCACGTTTACCACAACACATCATCACCTAATTGTGTTTCAAATTCATCACGCTAACATATTAACATTGTGGCACCCAAAGTGCAACCTTGGACTGTTTAGGAGCTGTAGTAATTCCACCCAACACAAAGTGAACGCTGGTGCACATAGAAGCTTTTTTGCTTCCTGTACTGATATGAGGCTGAACAAAGAAAAAAGATCTTGTTTTATATTTAGAAGATTTGGTTCAAAACAAAATGTTTATTACAGCTTCTTGCTTTTAAATGTAAAAAGAACCACAAACACTCACTGACTTTTACTAGGAAGCAGACTTGTGAGCACCATTCATAAATCCATTCTAAAGCAAACATTACGGATGAAAGTGTCTCTGCTGCTGCTAACAGACTCAAAACAAAGAATAAAACCACTGACTAATCAAATCCAGGGAATTAAATGCTTTAGTTAAGGTAAACCTCTTCAATGCCTTGCATCTACACATCATTTTATTCAGGGTTAGGGTTAGGCCCAGAGCAATCACCTGAGTGCCATCAGCTTTTGACACCACTTCCATCACAGTTTAAAGATCTTCCAGACAGGTCTCCTGTTGGTAAGCTCACTTCCTCTGACTAATGCTTCATTTCATTTGATTTTCTGGGTAAACCCTCACCCTGTGTGTGTGTGTGTGTGTGTGTCACAAATCATATGCATCTGCAGCCGTTTTTATTCAGTCATCTTCTACTTTTCCTCATCTTGGTGTGGCAAGGTGGAGAAGCGAGGGCCCGGGCGGGATTCGATTCCCAGACTCCCGGGTGAGAGTCACGCGCGCTAACCAGTCAGCCAAAGGGACATCCCCTTGGCCAAGTAGCCAGGGGCATTATCAATCGGGACACTGTGACAGGACGCTCACACTGCCACATTTGGTATGTTCTTGCTGTGTCTGGTTTCTAACTGCATTTTTGGTTCTTTTTAAAACACAGAAAAAAAATTTTTTAATTATTAATTTAACTCTGAGGAAGTTTTGCAGTCGGCAAACGAAACTGTCAGCAAGGTAAAAAACAAAAACTTTTCTGTGTTTTAAGAACCAAAAATGCATTTCTACGTTTCCTGTCAAAGTTTATAAAGTCAGCAGAAATCAATTAATTCAAACGTGTTTGAAAACAGCAGACTGACAAAAGAGCTGTCCAAATATTATCAGGTCAAAACCAAATGCAAAGGAATAAAAGTGAGTTTTTAAAGTGGGTTTTACAAGTTCCCATGAACTTTTAATGTGAAAGGACAGGCGGATTAACAAAAATGTTCCTTTATCAAAATATTCAGACATTGAAAGTAGGTGCTGGCTGTCCTATGTTCATGCAGGTGTTATTTCCAGACTGAAGCATGATGCAGTCACCAGTTGTTTCAGATTCATAGGACCGTTTAAAAGTTTCACACTTGTTGATTTCTTTTTCTTTTTACAATTTTTGAGTAGCTTCATTTCCAAAAGCAGTATGGCAAACGAACTGAAGCATCTCAGTACTACAGTAGTGTACGGTAAAAGTAATCCGTTACTTTTGGGTCTGGGACAGAATGTCCTCAGGGACAGACGTCCAGCAGGACTCTCACCTTGCTGCTGCAGCCGTTGCAGGAGTCCCGCTGCTCGGATCCGGTCCGGCCCGGTCTCCACTCCGGCTCTGTGCTGAAACACACACACGTTCACTGCGCGTGCACAAGACACCCATCGCACTTGTCCTGCACATGCACTCTCACCTGTCCCTTGGAGAAAGGAGCTCCGATTATCCCGGCGGAGCGCTGAGGAGGAGGAGGATGGATGCTCCGTTTGATGGTGAGTTGCTGCAGTGTTCGCGCACTCCTCATCCTCACACACACACGCACACCCTCTCACACACTCCAGTGATCAAGGATACAGCCACGAGCTGCTCAAAAAGTCCCGGTGACGCCAGAGACAGGGCGGTTCGATCTGGCGCGGCGTGACGTCACACATATTAGTTATTGCGATGTAATGTTTTTATTTAGCTTTTTATTCGTCATTTAGTTGTTTTTACATTTTTGTTTATTCTATAAACGTGTTTAATGAATTGCGGCTGAGATCAGATGGTTCCAGTTCCGCACTCTAATCAGAGTAGTTGTGTGCTGGCCACTCACTCTCACACACACACACACACACACACACACACACCCTGTCCCATGGAGAAAGGAGCTATAGGACCCTGTGCATCACTGAAGGTGAGGGGATGCTGCCTGAAGATGATGTGAAATGGAATCTGTCACCTTTGAACCTAAAGTTCAATCACCTGTAAACTTTTCTTCTGAGAATTTTTGTTATTAAATATTTCAAAGTATTCATTTTTATGAAAGAAAAAAAAAGTGAAACATTAACCTATCATTGTTGAATAAGTGGGCAGGGAGGAAAGTAAAATGTAACTAGAAATGTCCCGTTCCATCATGAACCTGGCATTGGATATTAGAGCACTGCAGAAGCCCACGTCTCCACAAAGGTAGAAATAAATGTTTAACAAAACCAAATGTAACTATTCTGATAGCATAGGATATAAATATGAATTTATTATTAGCTACTAATGGGTGGAAATGGTGTGTAATTAAATTTGTTTATGCTCCCTCTTACTACTTAAAGAACAAGCTCTTTTCTGACAGTTCTATTAATTTCACTTTCTAAAAACAGGTGAGATGGTCACTGGGTGGCGCTGTAGGGAAGAGATGAAGTCTACCGGATTTCAAATCATCACAAATAACCAGCAGGTGTCGCTGTGGAGCAGCAGAACTTGTACTTGACAGTGACCTTTTTTTTAGAGCTTCTGCTGTATGAATGTGATTGTTCAAGTACAACACAGACAGCTGAGTACATGTAAAATGTATTTATTACATTCAAAAACAACTTTTCCTCTTTTAGCGAGACGCTTCATTTTACTGTTGGAAATCGGCTTTCCCTCCATTGCAGCACTGTCTGTTATTTTTGCGTTAACTGCATGTGAGAATGGATATTCTGTTTTTGTTATTTTTATGTGAGGGGATTGTTTTTCTAGGCTGTTTATGATGAAGACAATATGACTGTTCTATACAAATAAAATGTTAATGTTTCATATGTGTGTTTCTGCAGCAACAGTTCAAGTGTGTTTCATGTTGATGGGTTAGAAGTAGCTCTGCAGTGGCTCTCCCAGGATGCTCTCCATCTCCTGGACCACCTTCTGGACCTGCTGCTCCACCTCCTCACACTCATCTAAAAACAGAAAAAACACGAGATTGTCAAAAGGTTTCCACCACAGTGGTTCTGCACCTGTTTCAAACTTGAAAGCGTTGTTTGTTTCCAATCACCAAAGCTTTCACTGGCAGATCGATGGACCAGCAGAGCCGGATCTCTGCTATATCAGACACACTCTGCCATCCTCTGGCCGTATAGGACTAATCTCAGCTGAAACTAACACAGCTGAGTACAACAACAGCTGTGCACTTCAGTCACTTTAGCCACTTTCACATCTGGGTCAGAACGGTCGGGGCTGGGTGGCACTGGTTCGGGATCACACGGACTTCTTGGGAATGTGGAAATGTCCGAGCACGTGGGCAGCGCAAAAGGCGCGAAGAAAAGTCTGCGCTGTCCTCCTTAAGATAAGCAAAGGTGGGAGTGAGCCGTGTTGCTTTTGAAGACTCTAAACCACATTATTTTATTAATTTTCTCCTTGTTCTCTCACTGATACTGCTGCTGTTCTCTGCTGCAGTGGCTGAAGCAAAAACTAAACAAAGATGGCTGTGAGCTGCTCCCTCCCTGCCCTCGTCTGTCTCCCGCCTGAGCTTCAGTCTGCTGCTGTGCTGGAGCGGGAGCTCCGCGCTGCAGACAGCGAGATGTTTACTGGACAGCATCCAGAAGGATATTGAATCAAACATGTGGGAAGCGCCCACTGGCTGATTCTACCCGCCAATCAGAGGCATAAGGCGTGATCAGTCCGTAATGCCACCTTGGTTCCAGTAGGACCGCTGAGGAATTGGTCTGAAAAAAAGAATCACCTCAGACTGGAAAACGCACATTTTACCCAGATATGAAACCAAAAAAGCTGCCCAGCCCGGACCGTATATGTCGATGGTACTGACCCAGATGTGGAAGCGGTTTTTGACTCAGCTCAGACTAGATCAGGAGAAGAAGAACGACGAGCTGATGGTTCTCACCTTCCATTAGCTCTGCTAAGAACGGAATGGTCTCTGGTAGCAGAACCACGTAGTTCTCCTTCAGTTTGGACGCCAGCTCCATCAGCATAACGAGGGAGGAGAACCGCACCTGAGGAGCAGCAGGAGGAGATGGTTGGTGAGAGCTCAATAAACAAAGACATCTATGTGAAAAAGAACAGTTTGACTGTTTAAACATAAATCTTTGTCTCAATCAGAGTTGAAATACAGTAAAAAGTACAAGATTTAGATTTTTTATTTTTTTTTAATATTTTCTACAACAATCAAATACAAAACCACCAGACATTAGCAGCTTCCAGGCAACGCTCAGGCAACAGTTACCCTCAGGGCAACCTGTAAGCTCACCTTGGCGTCACTGTGTCTGGTCTTCAGGAGGATCTGATAGTTGAGGGTTTTCCACTGAGAGTCGTCAGCCAGCGCTACTGAGAACTGACCCACACAGGGAACCAGGTGCTGAGTGACCCGCGTCTGGTAAACCTGAACGCCGCCTAAAAGGTTTTCCAGCTGCACACAAACACAAACCCATCATCAGTTTATTCAGCGGCAGAACTCATCCTGGCGAACCCGCAGACGTCTCACCTGGTCGACCAGGGGGCCCAACAGGGCGTCGGACCGTTCTCGGTTCAGGAAGTTCTGGGTATCATACAGGAAGATCTTCTGGAGGCAATCGAGGACGAACTGAAGCAGCAGAGAGTTCTTCTCCTCAGAACGGTCCGAGTCAAAGATCAGATTGTCTAAAACAAATGGGTGTTTAAGGAACTTCAGGTAAAAAGTATTGATGAATTCATATTTTTAAATAATCAAACTAATAATTAAATATTTATTTAAATTACTAAATGAAGGATCAGCACCTCCAAATCTGAGACCATGGTTCTCGACCGGAAAAGGGTGGCTTGCCACCTCCGGGTCGGGGGAGAGGTCCTACCTCAAGTGGAGGAGTTTAAGTATCTCGGGGTCTTGTTCACGAGTGAGGGTAGGAGGGATCGGGAGATCGACAGGCGGATCGGTTCAGCATCTGCAGTGATGCGGACGCTGAACCGATCTGTCGTGGTGAAGAGGGAGCTGAGCCAGAAAGCCAGGCTCTCGATTTACCGGTCGATCTACGTCCCAATCCTCACCTATGGTCATGAGCTTTGGGTAAAGGCCGAAAGAACGAGATCGTGGATACAAGCGGCCGAAATGAGTTTCCTCCGTAGGGTGGCCGGGCTCAGCCTTAGAGATAGGGTGATGAACTCGGACATTCTGGAGGGACTCGGAGTAGAACCGCTGCTCCTCCGGATCGAAAGGAGTCAGTTGAGGTGGTTTGGGCATCTGGTCAGGATGCCTCCTGGACGCCTCCCTGGGGAGGTGTTTCGGGCATGTCCTGCCGGCAGGAGGCCCCCCGGGTTGACCCAGGACACGTTGGAGAGGTTACATCTCCAATCTGGTCCGGGAACGCCTTGGGGTCCTGCCGGAGGAGCTGGTGGAGAAGGCCGGGGAGAGGACGGTCTGGAGCTCCCTAGTTGGGATGCTGCCCCCGCGACCCGGACCCGGATAAGCGGAGGAAGACGACGACGATGACAATTAAATTAAGTAAAATTAAACGTAAAGAAACCGAACCCATTCTGGTGCTGTTGGTCTGCTGCAGGATGTCTGCCAGAGGTTTCACCAGGTTTCCAGCAAAGAGAACGAAGAGCCCTTGGAGCCGCTCTGCGATGCAGTCGCACAGCCGGTAAAAGGTCAGGAGGCGGTCTTTACTGTCTGATTTACTCCAGTCCAGCAGCTGCAGCACACACACAGGGTAAGGTACAGTCTGACAGAACGGCACCAACATCTGTCCACCTTTAACCTGGACGCACCTTGAAGAAAAGTGGCCTGAACGTAACCTCAGACAGTTTCATCACCATGCTGATGAGACAGTCAATGACTCCGCCCTCCACTTGCAACGTCTTCTCCAGATCGCCCTGAGGTGAGACAGAAAAAAGATCCAGCGCTAACGCGGCGAGCATCACTACTGGATCAGAATCCATTTCACCTGTTCAAAGAGGAGGAACTCGACTAGAACACTGAGGAGCTCACCTGGCCGTGTTTGGTCCGGAAGTCAAGAGCGGTGAGGAAGAAAGTGGTGAGTTCTGATTGGTGGAAGCTCAGCTGTTCTCTGGTTATGTGACTGATGTGTTCCTTCAGGATGCTCATCAGCGCCCCCAGCTGGTCCTACAGAGAATCAACCAGAACTGCATCAGGGCAGCGCAACAGAACCTGGCTCTGCTGACACTTCTGAGTTTCTGAAAGTGTTGATTTAGTCTGACAGAGATTTGTTTTGTGACTGAACATTGAGTCGCTCAGCAAATTTGATTTATAAAGTTTCACAAATACTTAATGTTACTGTAGATAATAACAATAATAATAATAACAATAATAATAATAATAATAATAATAACAACAACGAGAAGGAGAAGACGACTACACCAAGGGCTATAAACAACTTTAAATCTAACATTTGAACAACAGAAATGTAATATTTAGAACAGAATTCATTGGAGCAAAAAATAACAGAACTACATGATCCCAAAATGGTTAAACAGTTCAGTCAAAGAAAGTCCAGTCTGATCCTCAGTTGGTTCTGTAGTTTGGTTCAGCTTTTGTTAAACAGTTCATCACAAACAATAACAATGTTAGGACTTAGAACTGAAACCGGATCCTCACCTTCCTGTCGAGCTCCATGCTGCTGTAACACCTGGACAGGGTGGGCAACAGGACCCTAGGGGGTAGCTTGGAGGCTAGCGTGCTCCTCAGAGAGGTGAGGCGGACAGAGAGCTGGGTGGACGTTGAGGAAGAGGAGGAGGAGGTGTCCATGAGCCGAGTCAGCCGACACACCTGTGGGAACAGGAAGTGTGAAGCCGAGGGTGTTGATTGGTGCTCCTCGATGTGATGCTGAGTTGGTGAGTTTACCTGTAAGGTGATGTCCTGCAGGTAAGGGCTGATGAAGTGTGGCAGCGTCTCTGTGACTCGCTGCAGAGCCGTGACGACACTCAGCAGATAGACCTCGTTGGTCAGCAGCTCCTTCCTGCTAGTGAGCGCCTGCAGCACAGCGGGCATCAACCTGAAGGTGGAACAGTCACACAGATGAAGTGCGGGTGGGTGGAGTTTCAAGCTCTAAACACTGCCAGGCGGACCATGTGATGCAGGTACCTGGGCAACTGTGGGATGGCAAGCGCCTTCAGGGAGCTGACCACCTCAGCGATGCAGAGCAGGGCGCTGCCCGTAACATTCTTCTCCTCCCCCGTTGTTGTGACGATGTCCACTGCTTGCTGCAGGACGGGGACAAACTCCTGCTGGTGACTGGAGCCAAAACTGCGACAGAGAAGCTTGAGGCTGTAGAGAGCCGTCTGTCGGTTGATGGCCTGCTCCGCCTCTTCAGAGACCTTACTCTGACTTTTGCTGACGATGCTCAGCAGGTCAGAGGTCAGCTGAAGGAGCACCGCCACCTGAGACAAACAGGAAGAGACACTGATTTTGGTTTGATCGTGCGTGGAGGTAAACCCATGTGACAACCTTAAAAATCTTTAAAACAGAAGTCCAACAGAAGCGCCTGCAGGAGTTTGTACCTGCTGCTCGTCCCACTGCGTCCTGTGCAGCAGTTTGTTGTTCAGCAGCTCCATGGCCTTCCTCCTGACCGACGCCAGCTGATTTCCCATCAGCCCCCTCATCACTGTGATGAAGGTGTCTGTGGGCAGCAAGGCATTCACCTAGACAGCAGAAGGCATAGATAACATTTTTTCTGGTGGAAACATTAAAATGTACATGTGGGAATGAAAACAGACTCTGAGCCGACGGGTCAGGTTCTGAGTTGTTGTGATTTAAAGAAGTTCACTCAAAACATGACTGACAGAAACTATCAAACCAAACAGCAGACTTACAGAAGAGAAAAATCAGGGGTTTATGGTATATATTTTTTCAGTATTAATCCTTTTCATTAGCTATTTAAATCCCTGATCTGGACCTGATCCAGTCCCGTTGATGATGAGGAGTAAAGTAAAAGAAAGGTTTATTTGAAGAAGAAGAAGAAAATATCATTTCTATAGCGCCTCTCAAGATAAAAATCACGAGGCGCTTCACAAAAACAAAAACAAAAAATATAAAAAATTGTAAAAAAGTATAAAAAAGCACTTAGAAAATGTTTAAAAATATATTTAAAAATTAGCAAGAATAAGCAATTGAGATTTAAAAGAAAAAATGTTAAGAAAGAGAGAGGGAGAACAGGAAAGAGGGAAATCAGTGGATCCTGAGGAAGGTGGAATAGATGGGGAGAGCAGAATAAAGAGAGAGTGGTGAAGAAGGTCATACCAAAGCCAGCTTGAACAAGTGAGTCTTCAGCTGCTTTTTAAAGGAGACCACTGAGTCCACTGATCTCAGGCTCAGGGGGAGAGAGTTCCAGAGTCTGGGGTCTACAGCAGCAAATGATCTGTCACCTTTGGTCTTTAGCCTGGTGCTGCACAACCAGTAGGCTTTGATCACTGGACCTCAGGGACCTGCTGGGGGTGTAGGGACTAAGAAGATCACCAATGTATGATGGTGCTTGTCCATGTAAGACCCTATAGACCAGAACCAGGATCTTGAAATGAACCCTGAAGTTGACTGGCAGCCAGTGAAGCTGGAGGAGAAGCGGGGTGATGTGGGTGTGTTTGGAGGACTTGGTCAGAAGACGAGCAATTTGCATCAAGAAAAGTAAATCACAAGGTGCTTCACAACCACAATGAAAAAAAAAAGTAAAAATAAAATAAAAATGACAAAGGAGCACAAAGATACACAGCAACACCCAATCCAGTCCCATTTAAACTCCCAGTGTGGTCCTTTTTACACGGCTGACTTCTGATCCTCATCTCTTTAAATTTTCCTGTGACCGCTGTTCAGACTTTCTGGAGGTCTTTCTCAGGTTTATTTGGGCATTTTAGGAGGAATGTTCTTCTTGATGTCCTCTTGACACTCAAGAAACGTATTACTACCCAGGAGTTTAGAAAACATCAAGGGTTCATTTTAGTTTCCTAGTCATCATTCGTGCTAAGTGGCCTTGAAGGTCGCTTGACTAACCTTGTCCAGAACATCGTAAGCCTTGTTGAGCAGAACTCTCCAGAACTTGGCAGTAGGTTTGTCAGCATTCTCCTCCACACAGCGAGCCACACTGTGGATGTAATGCAGGATCTCCTCCAGCAGCCTGCAACACACACACACACACACACACACGCCTGAAGTGTGTTTAAACCTGAAAGGGGGGTCACACACGTGTTCTCCTGCAACTCACCTCTGCTGCAGCTGCTGAAGGGACGAGTCAGCGGTGTTGCCTTCTGCTGCAACCTGAAACATGTTTGATTAGATACTTTAGAGACGGAAACTTCTCATCTCTTTGGCTGACCCGACGTTTCTGTCTCACCTTCTGGATGAAGCTGCTGGAGCCAAGGAGCTGAGCCATGAAGGAGACACAGAGGAACTTGAAGTGTCGCAGCTCTTTGCTGCTGTGAGCGTCCAAGCTGAAGATCAGCTCCTCCACCTTCTCCTCGTCATCCTCCTTCTTCTTTCCTGCTTTTCGAATGGTGGGACGCTTCACTGCAGCTGCAGAAGGAATAAACCTGGAATTAATTTTCTCAGAAAATAACAAATAAACATGGAAAAACTTACTGTGAACAAACAGGAATAAATCGACTGTTTCAGCTGATCTACTGACAGTGGATGATCATTTGTCTCACCGTCATCCTTGTCATCTGGTAGCTGCAGGAGGAAGTTCAGCATGTTTACTAGGGAGGTGAGCTGGTCACCAACACTGAACTCACAGCTCAGAGAAATCCAAAAGTCTGCGTCTCGCTCCAGAGTTGCGTCCTGCTCAGAAAGCACCAAAACAAAAACACCAATAAGTAGGGCTGGGCGATATGACGATTTTAGACCGTTTTACGATCTACACATCTGACGGTCTGTCATTTTTGAGAGACCTTTTTATCACGATTCACAGCTTTGCTGTTAAATTTCTGCCTCTGAATGAAAAGGGAACTTACCTCAGGCGAATGACACGCCTTTGTTTGACCCTTAACCAATCAGAGTGAGTCATAGTAATATATTAGTGCCCCGCTTGTTTTCACCTGTGTGTGAACAAACATGGCTTCGGCCGCGACTGAGAGCGACAACGAGGTTTTCGTTCCGAAGAGGAACGCCTCGTCCGTTAAATGGAACTGGTTTGGTTTTTCACCAGATGACAAAGAGCAGCGAAATGTCATTTACAAGGAGAGCGTCAAGGCAAGTGATGGCAACACCACAAACTTGTTTAATCACTTGAAAAGAAGGCATCCCAAACAGTACAATGAGAGCCAGCTGGCAGCTAAAGCTAAAAAGCCTGCGGCTGCAGCGGCTAGTGCTTCTTCCAGGCAGCAAACGCTAACAAACACTCACAAAACTCACTCCTTACGACAGAGACAGCAGACGATGGAACAGCGTGACAGATGCAGTGACGTACCACTTGGTTAAAGATTTGTGTCCCGTGCGAACAGCAGGAGTGGGATTTAAGAAAATAATAAGAACATTGGATCCGCGCTACAAGTTTTCCAGCCGCAAGTATTTTTCGAGCACTGCCATTCCACGCATGTACGCTGAATGCAAAGTGAGCGTTGCAGAAGATATTCAGAATGCGCAGTTTTTTGCTACCACAAGCGATCTCTGGTCCAGCCGCACATCAGAGCCGTATTTGAGCTTAACTATCCACTACATGAGCAACTAGGAGCTGCATAGTATTTTGAACAAGTTAATGTTTGCCCAATACGTTTGCAATTGACATGTTTGCACTTTAAATATGTTTATGATTTTAATTTATGTTAAGTTACTTGAAAAACGAGAAAAACTGATTTTTGTAATTGCTTCTCTCAGGGCTTTTATCATCTCTGGTGTGAGTTTAAAATATAAGTGTGTTAGCACTGTGCTGATTATCCCTAATATGAATAAATGTTTATTTCTTCAATGTTTCTCTTCTTTAATACGCAATTGAAGTTATGCTATTCATGGATAAAAAATTGTGATAAAATCGAAATCGTGATAAAATATTGGAAAAATCGTGATATTCTATTTTTGCCATATTGCCCAGCCCTATCAATAAATAATCACAAACAACTGAAACACTAACAAACATAAATACATGATAGATGAACACCTATCACCTTCTCGCCACCGCTCTGGGTGGCGTGAAGCTTCAACAGCAGCAGCAATAGGATCCATAGGAAGTGAGCGGGGCCCAGCGTGGACACCAACTGGCTCAAGATGGGCAGCCGCCGGTGCTCGGGCACGTGAGGCAGCGCATCAGTGAACACGAGCATGATCCTCGTCACCACAGCTACCATGTTGGGTGAAGAGGAGCCGTCAGAGAGCTGATGAGCCTGAGGGGGTAACGTCACATTAGGGCTGCTTGGTGTTGACAAGGGAAGCTGTTCATACCTGCAGCTGCTTAACTCACCTGAATGAGAGCAGGTATGACCATCTGCAGCGTCTTCTCAATGACTCTGAAACTGTAGACATCGTCCAGACGCATGATGTTGGCTCCCATGAAGGTGAAGATGGGCATGATGTTGTGCAAGACTTTCTCCTGCAGGAGAAAACATGGTTGTTTATTTGTTTACCTTGTAATAGTGAAAATTACAATGAGAACCCAGAGGCGGAGCGCACAGGGAAGATGGCGGCGACTGCGCCGAGCAACAGCAGAGCGTGGTGGTGTGTCTGCGGCATGTCGGACGCTCTGATGCACTGAACCACAAGCTCCACACTGAACTTGTCTTCATCCAGAACATCTGCACAGAGCAAACATGGCCGACAGAGTCAGGGCAAAGAGGCACATGAGGAAAAAAACGCACAATAGAAACATGACACATGAATAAAACACACACACTAAGGAACAAATATATCAGGGTCATGAAATGTAGATTCATTTCTCAGTCTGACTCATCACACACCTGCAGGAACTGGACCGCCATCAGGTGACAGTCTGCTGCAGATGTTGAGCAAACAGCTGAGCAGCAGCTGTTTAGTGTACTCCATGCTAGTTTGGTCACCAGCACCTGGCTCCAGACACCTGATGACACGAACATCAGAACCAACAACAACCACTATGAGAGCTGCAGGTCCCAGTGCACCATGTGAGACATTTTACTGGTAATGTGGTCTGGTGCTCAGTACACGGCCGTGACAACAGATTATCATACAAGAAATAATCGCTTTTTCAAGGAAATAAAAAAATCTCCAGAATGCGTCCCTCTTCAGCTAATTATTTAGAAGGATTTACTCTTCTCTGGGATTTCTCAGATTGATATGAATGAAGAATAAAACCCATGTGATAAAACACTCATTACCTGCTGAGCAGAGAGAACAGAACAGGCACCAACATCTGGGCTCTCTTCAGCTTCTTCTTGTGCTGCAGAAGCTCCAGAATGAGTGTGACTCTCTGCCATGACACAGCGCCTCCCTCTGGACCCACGTCGTCCCTCTGCTGATGTTTCCTGATCAGACAGATTCACTTAAAACACCATAGAGCTGTTCAAATACCACAAAAGCCTGCGCCAGCCTCACAATGGTCTCTCACAAACGAAGCTGCAGCTAAGGCCGAGGACACACCGGCCGCCAAAGCGCCGCGAAATGGGGACCGCCTTCATTCGGCGCCCTATTCTATAGACCACATGGGCCGCCGAAGCGCCGCACGCCGGCGCTCCAGCCCACGCCATGCAACGATCGTTTCAGCGTCTGCTCGATTTTTTTCGCCAGACGCGGGTGAACCGCGTCAATTCTGGCAGGAAGTCAAACCTAGACATAAGAGGCAGGCTGGTAAATTTAACAAAATAAAGCATTTCTAAATACAATTCCGCGATAGTCAAATGTGTTCGTAAACATACACTGCATAAAAACCACACACACCCACACGCAGCGGCTGAATTTCGTGAGCGCTTCGGCGGCCGGTGTGTACCCGGCGTAAGCCTTTTGACGATGAACTAAACAAAACAGTCTGAAATATACATCTACCTAGAATCTAACAATTCATGCAGAATGTGAAGTTTATTAATAGTAGAGGTTCTGGTAAAAAGCCTTGTGGTATGCCTACACACACACACACACACACACACACAGCTCCACTGATATAATTTGAATACCTCTGGCTCATTTTGCTCCGGCGGGTTTGCTGAACTGTCACGGTTACTTTGGGCTTTTCTGGAGGAGCGAGCTCATTTGCCACCAGCTGGGCATCAACAGCAATCTATTAGAAAAAGAAGAAGAAGAAACGTTTTTATTTTGTTTAAAAAACGAGAAGTTAAACCCGCATCAGGAGTCAGTCAGCTTAGTTTTTATCATCTGAATGAACTTGTTTCTTTAATTGATTCACTCCTGTTTGAAGTGTAACTGTTGGTGTTTTCTCACAGCTTTGAAGACGCTGCTGACTGTGTTGGCCACCATCGGACTCCTGCTCTCCACCAGCAGGTCGAACATCACCGACAGCAGCTTCTGTTGCACCTTCTCATCTGCAAGAGCTGAGAAGAACGGCTTTGTGATCTGCAGCGACAAAGGAGAAAAAGAAGTCATCAGATTTTTGTTCCTGTTGTCATCAGGCCTTAAACAGTAAAAATGTGTCATCTGAAAAAATCCGACTAATTTTTAAACTTCTTTTATATTATAACATTGATTTAAATTTGTAATTCAAACATGTTTTTAATGTGTGGGTTCACAGAGCTGTGTGTCGACTTAAACCCAACCTGATCCAGAGCAAAGATCTGACATCCAGGCAGCCTCAACGCTCGCACAAACAGGTCCAAACTGTTCTGGACTTTGCCCAACAGAGGTGCCGATGCCTCATTGAACTTCTGCAGAACGAGCTGCAGCAGCTGGGTCTCATCCAGCAGCAAAGATGGGCTGTCAGGTTCCATCTGGTCCAAGAGCCGGTCCAGGACGGGAAGCAGGACGGTCAGAACGGTCTGAAAGGAGATGACGGTGAGGTTCAGAAACAAGCTGCTGTTTGTTATTACAGGAAGCTCAACATCTGCAAGATCAAACCAGTAAATTAAATCAATGATTAGCAGATTTATAAAAACAAGAACCGATCAGAAGCAACAGCTGGATTTACAAGGATTAAATATTCTTTATATTAATGAATAGTACACAGCTGCAGCCCCGGAGACCGCAGATTCATGCTGACCGGTCCCACCTGACGAATGCCGCCACCCCTCCATCTGTAACCCCCATATCCGATCTCTCACATAGCCACCCCTCCCACCTGTGACCTCTCACCTGTCCGTTAACAGCGCTAAGCGCTCCCAGCAGAGAGGCGGCGGTGTATGACGGGCACTGAGGATCCTGAACGCTCTGCAGCAGCTGATGCAGCGATGCCTGCAGCTTCTTCTGTTTGCTGGACGAGCTCTCATCATGAAGGACGCCGAGAACCTGAAGTCAGTGAGACGAAAGCACAACAAGAACTTCAGAACTGGATGAGAACATTTCTGGAACAAAAGACACTAAGTAAAATTGAACAATAAAAAAAGATTTTAAAGTTCACTGAAACACAAGATTACTGAGTGCTGCAAGGGACACAGGACAGTTTTTATGTTTCCAGTTTTCAGTTGGACAATTAGCACATGAAGCCGCACGAGTCTGCAGTTCTGTAGCTGGTTGTTTATAAGTTCAGTCTAAGCTTCGAGTCTCCTTGTGCTACACAATTTATCGACCAACACTGCTTCAATGTTCCTTTTGTTTGGGCCAGATGTGTAACTTTCTCTCTCCTACTCACGTGTGTCTTCCATTGATATGGTTGTCCAAACTGCTGTATCTCAAATAAACAAAGTGTGTTTAAAACTTCAGGCGAGTTAACGATGAAGGAGCAAGGCAGCGATGTTCCTCTGTTGTTACTGAGCAGCAACGTGAACTGCGTCTGAACCGCCATATTCCAGATGTGGTTCATCTATTACAGGCAGAGCCCAACTCTCCTTTCACATTATAAATGAGCTGCACTTGTATAGCGCCCTTCTGGGTCAGATGATGCGCTACATCATAGCCACAGCTGCCCCGGGGCACACTAACAGAGGTGAGGCTGCCGTACACAGGCGCCACCGGTCCTTCTGACCATCACCAGCAGGAGAGGAGGTGAAGTGTCTTGCCCAAGGACACAACAACTGACACAACCGCAGGAGCTTGGGTTCAGGTTTAGACCTGCAACCTACCTTACAGGACAAATTCCTAACTCCTAAGCCACCGTCGGCCTTAATTCACTTTTAGGGATAAACTTAAAAAAAAAAAAAAAACACCCATGTTTCTTTAGGTTACACTTTTCAAACACCTATAGACATTTACAATCTCATTAAATCTGTTAATATTTATTTAATATAGTAATAAACAATGATGTGTATTGTTGAAATTCTGGCGATACGATACATATCACGATATATTGCAATACATTCAGTCAGACGTTACAAGCAATTTTTTTTTTACTGAATTTATTGTAAGAATGTTCACTAAACTGTCCAAACTGATACATAACATGTTTAACATGAGGTATCTGACCCATGATGGAGGGATTTACATTTTAAATGGTGGAAAAAAAAAACCCGTTGCACACTGCTGCCAACTAGCGGGTGGCGATTGAATTGCACAAAACGAAAAGAAAATACACAAATGTTTGCATGTAAATTCTTTCAAAGATTAGATACACGGCTTTTGAATATCGATGTAATAATCGCAGGAAAAAAATCACGATATATTGCCATATGGATATTTCCGATACACGGCTTTTGAATATCGATATAATATTGCTGGAAAAAATAACACGATATATTGCCATATCGATATTTTCTTACATCCCTAGTAATAAACTGAGCGTTCTGTTTGGGGTCTTAACGTTATGTTCTTTGTGTTCAAGACGTGTTGGAGTGACTTTGTTGATGTTTCTGATGCAGTTGAATGCAACCTGTGCTCCACATTGACAACGGAGGTGTGTGCATGTGTGTGTGCGCACGTGTGTGTGGAGTGGAAGCAGCAGGGAGACAGCGGACTTCAGTGGTAAAAATCTGTGGTTCAAAATGTTTCCCTTTATGCAGCGTCACTATGCATATAATGACTTGTTCCTTCATTTGTAAAGAGAGTGCCAATATCGATGATGGATTTCTCCATTGATCCATCTGGCGTGGCTCAGAGATTACCCACGCCAGATGGATCAGTGTTTCAAAATAGTAATGCACGGTATAAACGGCAAAAGATATAACCGGTATGACTTTGGCCTATCATACAGAATTGTATGCTACCGGCTAACCTGTTGCGCTTGCTGATGACGTAGGGTTATACTGGTTCACAAAGGAGTGTTGAACCAAGTCGGTTCTGTCCACTTGTGAATCATTTCAGTTTATTTTTCCATTAAATAATTAGTTTTTGTTTGTATTACTAAATTTATCAATTAATAAATTTTTGTTTTGTGCAGCAGATAAAAATTCCTAGACGAGTTTCCGCACAGACGCTGTATTGAGTGACACATGACGGTTGTACGCACTTGATCTCCATTTAAAAAATGTTACCTGCAAATTCTGATCAACCTCTTTCCGAGCGCATCAAACCAGCTGGCTGTCGCTGCTACTGGAGCCCGTGGAAAACGCTGAATGGAGCGTCGCCCCTCCCTCTCTTCTCTCACACTGCTGGCACGCAGCAGCAAACATGTAAACAAACACGTCTGCTGAACTTTCCCACTGGGACAACTGATGTAAAGTTTTCATACTACAACAAAAACTACGGCGCGGAGGAAGCTCGTTATTTAATACGAGTGTTAAAGAAGAAACTCAGGGAGGTGTGAGGCGAGTTTTTAAGGCTCGTTGCAGAAATCAAAACACGGAGCATCAACAGTTCTTGTCTGTAGGAGCGTGACACTCATAGCTGCACAAATAACCTGTGAAATAATTAAAGACATCATGCTAGAGCAGCAGCCTGCGATGACACCTGGTTCTGCTCACTATAGGAGTCGCTTCAGATATTAAATAAATAAAAGCAATAATATACCATACCATAGTTTATTTATATAGCACCTTTCAAACGCAGCATGGGAGCTGCCCAAAGTGCTGCACAGGCTTGACCAAAACACAACCAATCTAAGCAACAAAAGCAGAAGATAAAAGTACCGATCAAAAGCAGATAAAACATGAGGAATACTAAGAACGCAATAAAACACTAAAACGAGTCACTGTCTAAAAGCCACATCGTAGAAGTGGGTCTTTAAACGAGATTTAAAAACTGCCAATGATGGAGCCTGCCGAACTATAATTGGGTAACGAGTTCCACAGCTTTGGGGCAGCATGTAAAAATGCTCGTTCACCCCGTGATTTGTATCGCATCCGGGGCGTGCAAAGCAGCAGGAGGTCAGCCGACCTCAATGCGTGCGTGGGCACATGGGGGGTGAGCAGGTCAGAGAGATAGGGAGGTGCCAGGTCGTTGAGTGGTTTAAATACAAAAGTCAGTAACTTAAACTGTACTCGGAAAATGACAGGGAGCCAGTGAAGACATGCCAGGACAGGGGTAATATGGCTACGTTGGTGCGTATTTGTCAAGAGTCTGGCAGCAGCGTTCTGGACGGCCTGCAGCCGATTCAGGGCAGAGACCGGAGCACCAACTAGGAGGGCGTTTGCATAGTCCAGGCAGAGGCAATGAAGGCATGGATGACTGACTCCAAATGCCTCCGTTTCAAGATTTGTCTGAGGAGAGTAAGGCAGCAAAGCTGATAAACGCACGACCTCACGACAGAGTTTATCTGTGGGGCCATTGAGAGTTCAGCATCAAGCTTTACCCCGAGACTAGTCAAGCACTGTTTGGGGTTGAAGGTTAAAAGGTCACAAACAGGGTGGTTGCGGAGGTCAAAGACAATAGACTTGGTCTTCCTTTCATTTGACTTTAAGAAATTGGATGCCAGCCAGCCAGCCCTTCACGTCGTCTAAACATGCAGCCAATCGCGAGCCCGCATTCTCCTCATCCACTGCTACATATAATTGACAGTCATCAGCGTAAATGTGATAGCTCAGGCTGCGCTGATGCAGTATACCGAAAATTAATCAAACCAAAACACTGAACCCAACCGAATACGATTTTAGCGTACCGTTACACCCCTAGTCATCGAGGAGGTCTATAGAGCTTCAACATGGCAACATGGCTGAGAGCGCACGCCTCCCACTTTTGCATGAATGTTGTCAATCTGCGTCAGCTCAGGAAGAATCGCAGCAGCTGCTGCTACAGAGCAGAGCGCATGGATGAAGACGTGTTTGTAAAGAACAGGAGGTGATGATGACAGCTACACAGACCGGATGGTGAGCAGAAAATCCTCCTCAGCTAAATATTCTGGGTATATCGCCATTGACAGCTCATTAATGCCAATTCCCTTAATTGAGGTATTTGATTACATGATGAACACGTAGACTTCCAAGCATTTTGAACATCTCCTGTGATTTAGTTTGAACAGTTTTCCCTCACAGTCCTTCCCTGTGTCAGCAATTTGACCTGTTAAATTACAGAGGTCTAGTCCGAGACCAGCTCCTCAGTCTCTCGCTCTGTGCTGCCGGTGCTCACCAAGGCGGTTCAGACCAGTACGTTTTAGAAAAGTGAGTATTTAGCATTTTCATCGCCTTTAACTTGTATTTTATTTAAAATATTTTCATCTTTATTTTTGTTGCTTAACATAAAAACCATTTGGAATATTTTGTATTTATTTAAACAAGTTTTGAACATTAAATGTTGTTTAAAGGGCATTCTAAACTTTTTAGAATGATTTGTTCTACAATCATCTGGTATGTGAGAGTGTTGAAAACAGCCATTTCTACATGTATAAACAGAAGAAAAGAATATATCACAATAGATAATGTTACTGCAGGACCTTCAACATTTATTGCGATACAGATTTTAGACCATATCACCCATTCTTATTTCCACCAATCATTGAATACTTTGTGACAGATGTTTGCAGACAGATGTTTTCAATCACTCACTGTGCTCAGATATGATGGGTCAGCGATGATTTCCTCTGAGGTCTTCAGCAGCCTCTCTGTGACTGGCTTGAAAGGGGAGCTGCTGACTCCTGATAGGCTCTGCAGAGCACTGAGGGCGGCCCTTCGGACTTCACGAACCGGAGATTTGAGACAGCCCAACAAGGACAGGACCACTGGCAAACACACACACACAGACGTCACAACTAGGGTTGTCACGGTAACCGGTATAGCAGTAAACCCCGGTAAAAAAGTTGACAATAAAAATAACCGTCCAGTTTTTAAAAAACTAAATTATCTCGGTGGGTTTACCGTGGCCGCGGTTTCGGCGCGGTGACCCTTACCAGCCACCGTCGCTTCAGCTGAAGTTCCCGCGGCGCGCACACGCACTTTTTAGTTTGCAACAGCACCAAAACTTTGAAGCTGAAATAATGGCCGAAGGAGGCGACGGCAGCGCACAGGACATCCATCAGCCCTCAAAGAAGACTATTTCGGAAGTATGGGCATATTTTGGATTTCTGAAAAATGCTGAGGGACAGTTAATAGAAGACGGCTATCCCGTTTGCAGGACGTGCAGGAAACAAGTGTCTGCAAAAGGCAGCAACACTTCGAATCTAATGGCACATCTGCGTGACCATCACCCACGTCTCTACAGCCAGTGCATGGTAAGTTAACATTAGCATTTTAGCTTAAATTCATGACGTGAGGACTTCTGGTTGAGGGAGAATGCAACGAGTCACTATATGCTGCAGCCGCAGCGTCCTCTGCCAGCATTTAAACCGTGTCACGGACACCCTGTTGCTGGATGAAGCATCTTATTTGTTGATGATGAAGAGAAATATACAATTAGTTCCTTGTCATTGATTTGTTTACTTATTCAATGCCATTTATACTTGAACATTTGGATTTGATTACATAGTGTAGTAGTTATTTTAGTAATTTGTTTAAAGTGGCTATTTATTTTAAATACATATTTTTTAAGGTTGACTTGTACAGTGCTCAAGTCAAGTGTGGACTGGAGTTTTAGATTTTCATTTTGATAATGAAGAAAACAAGTATATGAGAAAACAAGTGGTGTTTCTTTGATTTGTTTACATATTGTTTATGTTTTGAATGTTTGGATTTGTATAATTTATACCTGCACTGACTACTGTAACATGTTCCAGAAAAAGAAGCTATTTGTTCCTTTACTTGTGAAAAGTTGCACTTTTGCTAAGGCTTTGTGTTATTTTAGGTTTAATAAACACTGTTAAACCTTTTCAAAACTATTTCAGTTTGTGTAGAACAGGACTATCAATGCTTTCTGAACATATGCAACACTGTTTAAAAAATACCGCGATAATACCGAAAACCGTGATAATTTTGGTCACAATAACCGTGAGGTTAAATTTTCATACCGTGACAACCCTAGTCACAACGGAGCTCTAAATTCAAACTAGATTAACAAACAAAGTTAATCTAACAACTAATTCAATTCACATCAGAAAGTCTGGAAATCTACTGATCAGGACCATTTTAACCCTCACACTGTCCTATTGGGTGTGACCCCGCGAGGAAAGTTGACCATTGAGCAGGGCTGATGGTTTATCCCTTGGGTCCATGTGGCAGGGGTGAGGAGTGAGCACCAAACTCACCCCTGCTACATGGACCTCAAGGGATAAACCATCAGCCCTGCTCAATGGTCAACTTTCCTCGCGGGGTCACACCCAATAGGACAGTGTGAGGGTTAAAGGATTAAAATAAATTTTGACTGCAAGTTAGAATGAAAAAAAAATTTAAAAAATTAATTATATATATATATATATATATATATATATATATATATATATATATATATATATATATATATATATATATATATATATATATATCTCACAACAGGATCAAGAAGCCTCATCAGGACTGTAAAGCCAGCAAACCCACCGGTATGATCGTCAGTTTATCGATGAAAACAACCTTTGAGTCTTCTTATCTCTATAAATTTGGTTATTAATTTTGTTCAAATTAATATTCCAGATTATTATGTAGGATGGTTCATCTTTCATAAAAGAGCCATAAACCATTACGCTACATTATCGTGTTTTCACTCAGGCCTCATCAGGATGACGATAGTCTAAAAAAATTTCAAGACCAAAACAAAAATTTCCTGTAAGCATTATTTTTTTAATCAAAATGAAAGCAACTGTGTTTCTGTTCCAAGGTACTAGACCAGGGGTGGGGAATTGAGGGCTGCTATCCAGCATGTTTTAGTTGTTCCTCTGCTCCAGTACGAACTGTTCAGCAGCTCACAGACCTCTGCAGAAGCCTGGTAATCACCTGCTGAATAAAACCAGGTGTGTTGAAGTGGAGAAAAAAACTACAACATGCTGGACATCTTTCAGGCTCCCATGTTAGCCTTTAAAAAAATTGTATTCCTCTTTTAATTTTTTTACTCAATTTTTCTGCTATGACAATTTTTTAATAATGTTCTTCAAATTTTTATTGTTCTTGTGAAACAACTTGTGATTTTTATCTTGAGAGGTGCTTTATTAAATAATCTCTTTTTCTCTTTCTTCTAACAGCGGCCGTCGAGGGACCAGGATTCATCGCCCCTGTTCTGGAGGTTAAAGGTTATTTGGAATGTTTCTCACCAGGTGAGTCTACAGCGGCCAGCTGCTCCAGAATGGCTGCAGGCTGTGCATCAAGCAGAACTTGGCCTATGTACAACGCCCGAGTCTGCAGGATGGCATCAACCTTGACATCCAGCTGGTCACCACGGTTACTGCTGTACCCCCACAGAACACACAGGAACCTGAAGAGCATCGCCGGCTCACATAGATGGACCTGAAGGAGATGTGTGCATGTTAGATCCTGGTTCTGCCTCAGAACAGGAACTTGAATGTAGTCCAACACCTTCGCAGGTGGCAGACTCACCTGGACGAGCAGCTTCATCAGCTCTCTGAAGCTGCTGGCTGTCGGCCCCTCAGAGGCAGCGGGAACAATGAAGCTGAAGAGACGGCAGATTAGTCCCAGGTAGCAGCAAGTGTTGTTGTCCAGCTTCTCTGGGTTCCACCACACCTGGCCTGTGTGACAAAAGGTGAGGAGTCTGCTCAAACTCTCCAAAATTCAACTGAGGAACATCACTGAAGAGTTTTTACCTTTGAAGGAGGAGTCCTGACACTTTAATGAAGAGATGAAGTCTCTGAGCAAAGCAACCAAAACCAATCCGAACTCTTGGTCTAAACGCTCTCCTGGCTGCTGCTCACACCTGGCCAGGTAGAGTGTCAGACTTTCAGAGAAGGAAGCAGGGACACGGACAGGATGTTCAGCCTCCTGTGACACCAAAACATAAAATCAGTCATGACAATCTGAGTTCCCAAAATGCATCTGGCCTCCGTGGATAACAGCGGAGGGATGTAACATGAATACCTGAGCTGCTGATGTGACCTCACCTGAATCTCGCCACTCTTGGTGATCTCCAGCAGGGGGGGCTCCAGAACCGTGTAGACCCTGTGAGCTGTGAGCAGGTGCTGGGTCTCACTCAGCTCCCCAAGACAGAGCACCAGGACCTGGGTCAAAACCAGGAAGGAGGCCTTCCCTCTGGGGCCAGAACACGGCTGCTGCTCCACCAGCAGAACCAGCTTCTCCAGCTGAGCCACAGAAACACAAAAATCAACATGGGTACAATTTACAGATCTTAGTACAAACTTAAAATCAGCAGAAATAAACTGACATGATTCCAGTACATTTACTGGGATTAAAAAACAAAACAAGGAAAATGAATAGACTGGTTGTTCCAGTCAACCTTTCTGAAGTGGAACCCTGAAGGTGAAAGATAAGCACTCACAGCGTCTCTTTTACAGAAGTGCTCCATGTTTGTCAGGTTTCTGGTCAATGTGGAGACCAGGTGCTGGTTGGCCAAACCAACAAAGTCAGGGTCAGAATGCCTCTTCATCACTTCATCCAACTCTGAGTGGAAACAACCAACCAGAGCGGTCAACTCACAAGTTTCACACACAAAAAAAAAAAAAAAAAATAGATAAAATAAAACTGCTTCACTTTAAAGAGCAGGTCACCCCAAATTAACTTTTTTTGCTGATAAACTATATAAATGAGTGTCTAATTGTGCTGTGGACACGTGTAGTCAAAAATTTGGCACTTTAGTGCCTCTTAGTTAAAATTAGTGTTACATCCTCTTCAGGTAAAAAAAAAACTGCACTGCATTTGAATTTCTATCTGCTGTCGCTATTGGCTAAGAGGTACCCTATGACGTTAGTGTGTACCATATGATGTCACAATGATGTTGTGAGCCTGTGTGTGTATTTGTTAGCTTGCTCTTTCTGTCTGCCAGGCAACAGCATTTTGACATTTTTCAAACAGGACGTGGGAGTGGATTAAAAAACTGTGGAAACAAACGATCAACCGATTATCAGGACCTGGACATGATAACTGCTAAAACCATCATGGAATCTGTCATTGAACCATTCACTTACATTTGTAATCTATCACTTTCCACTGGAAATTTTCCTGACGCAATGAAAACAGCGCAAGTCATTCCTTTGTACAAGAGTGGTGATAAACAGTTTAAATAATTACAGGCCGACGTCACTGTTTCCAGTTTTCTAAAATATTGGAAAAAGTATTTGTATCAAGGTTGGATAAATTCATCGAAAAAAATAATATTTTAAGCAATGAACAATATGGGTTTAGAACTAAACATTCCACAGCAATGGCAATAATGGAATTAACGGATAAAATATCAACAGCAATTGACAATAAAATGACTTTGTTAGTGTTTTCATTGATTTGAAAAAAGCTTTTGACGTCATTGATCACTCAAGGTTACTTCGAAAATTAAGTCAGTATGGAAAAAGAGGTGTGGCTCATCAATGGGTTAAAACTTATTTAGAAAAAAAGGAAACTGTTTGTTCAGATAAAGGACCATAAATCAAAACTATGTGAAATTAATTGTGGAGTGCCACTAGGGTCGGTCCTCGGACCAAAACTGTTCATTTTGTTTATTAATGACTTGGTAAATGTATCTAAGACACTCGGTACCATTCTATTTGCAGATGATACAACACTGTTTTACTCAGGATCAAATATTGTGGAGGCGGCTAAAGTGCTGAATGATGAACTGATTAAAATTAAAAACTGGTTTGATATAAATAGATTGACACTGAATCTTAATAAAACAAATTTTATACTGTTTAATGATAAAAAGAACAGTGATGTGTCAATGGAAATAGATTGGATTGCAATTCAAAGAGTAAAAGAAACTAAATTTCTTGGAGTTCTTATTGATGAAGACTTGTCATGGAAATCCCATATTAGTTACATAAAAGGTAAAATTGCCAAATCCTTAGGAGTATTACATAGAGTCAAGTTTTTACTGACTAATTCTGGTTTGTTGGCATTGTACAATTCACTGATTGTTCCATACTTGACTTATTGTGTAGAAATCTGGGGAGCAACATACAAAACCCTTATTTATTTTACAGAAAAGAACTCTGAGAATCATCAATTATAGTGGCTGTAGAGATCCATCAAACCCATTGTTTATTAAATTTAAATTACTGAAATTTCATGATTTAAAAGACTGGAAAATCATACAAACCATGTATAAAACCAATTTAGGTACTATGCCAACAAACATTCAGGGGATATTTGAAAAGAGAACTAGTAACTACATGCTGAAAGAAACTGATGTGTTTACAAAACCTAGACTTAGAACTAAAATTAAGGAGTGGAAATATATCTGTAAATGGTGTTAAATTATGGAATAACCTTAAAAGGGAAATTAAAAAAACGGTCATTTAATATATTCAAAAAATGTACCAAATTGAGTGTACTAAATTATTATGAATGATCATGATAGCACTGGAATTAAGAACAGGAAAAAGTTTAAAATGAATTTGTATGTGTGTCTGACAAATGATAATTATATATAAATTGATTATTTCTACTGGAAACGGGGGCAGAAATTATAAGATGTTTTCTTCATTCTGCTCCTTTTCGTTCAAATTTGATTTTTTGTTATGTTTTTCTTGTTGCTTATATGTTTTATTTGTTTTCATTTTGAATGAAATGAATGAAAAAAAAAAGTTTGAATAACCTGTGCTTAAATTAATGAATTTGAATTGAATATTGTTCTTACAGCGATCCATTTATACCACAAATCAATATGTGTTTGATTTAACAAGTTAATCATTGTTTACACTCTTTACACATTACAATAAGCTACATATTAAGGTTAAAAATGTTTTTATATCTGAAGAAAGGCGTGGCTTTCTGAGGGATGTTGGTAAATAAACAGAAACGTGTCAAATTCTGATTTGCCAAACTTGGCCAGAAATCATAACAAAGTAGTTTAATAAAACAAGAATTACTTTCAGAGTAATTCAGTTTCCAGCTGACCCCCGATTCGGCCAAATCAGGAAAGAAGCCTCTTTTGAAACAAACTCCTTTGACCTCGAGTCAAAACCTTTCTGCGATGCTGCAAGTGATTCGACGTCCGGTGACCTCAACACTCTGACCTCAACCCTCCAGACCGCCGGGAGCAACTCATACCAGGGTATCGTAAGCCTGCATACTGGTGTCTGAGGTTTTTATCAATAACTAACTCTCCAGTTTATAACAAACAACAAATTCTTTCACACCCAGATTTCACAATTTCTCTCAGATACAAAGAACGGTTGCTACAACATCTAGCTTCCATCCCAACACCTCACATCCACCACATCACATCTCCTTATTCATATCTTGTCATGTATCATTAGTTCAAGAAAATAATTAAATTCATTTTATAAACTATATACTGACTCTGTCTGAATTAATACGAAGTGTGTTTATGGTCCCTGAATAAGCAGAGAACCATAGAATCTTCTGATTAAACATTCAAAGATCAGACTGATATTTCATATTTGTATGGAATATCACATCTTATTGGTCATAATTAATATGTATTAATTGCTACAGGTGACTTGCTCTTTAACACATCAAAACTCTAACCACTCCCCATTTCTACCCCAAAACAAATGGTAAAAACAGCCAACATGTGTATTTAGATGCTTCCTGGTTAGACGGTTTTATTGCGAAGGAGCCACAGGAAGTTGTAGGTCTGTTACCTTTGGCCCAGTTCTGGGTGAGCGGGTGTTGGGTGAGAATGGCAGAGCGGGCAATGCAGCTGGCAAGGCCAAGCTCGGCTGACGTGATCACCAAGAAGGGAAGCAGCTTCCAGCCTGTTCTCTGAACAAACTCAGCATCACCTTTTCCCAACCGGGGGTCAGACAGTAAATGCACCGCTTCCATCAGTACAGGCAGCCTTAAGCAAACAACACAGCAGACAGATTTACTGAAGGTTAATGAAGGAGACACTGGCATTTTACAAATGTGTATACTTCACTGACCACATCTGAGCTTCCGAAATTTCCACTCTTTGCAGCAGAGACAGTAAATGCAACACAACTTCCTCTGGGTCCATAACATCAAGCAGCGCCTACAAACCAGCAGCAACCAGTGAACACACCACCATGACTGGGTGAGATAGACAGGTGTCAAATCTACTGACCTGCAGAACTCTGAGAGCCACAGCGACCACTTCAGGAACGTCGTCCTTCAGACGCTCCATGATCACATCCTTTAGGAAGGTTTCCTCCAAACTTTGTTGCTGCACAAAAGAACAGTAGTGGTTATCATAAACATGGTGATGACTTAAACCCATCTACAGTTGGTTCTGGTTCTAGGAAAACTATACGTTAACCCATTAGCTTTCTACTCAGATGAGTCACACTTTTAGATCCACAGCAGTTTATGTTTGATAAAAAATTAAATGTTGAATCAGTTTTGGTCAGAAACAATCTATGGTTCATAATTATTTTACGATGCTATGAATTATTCCCTCTATGCTTTTATGAGCATTCTGCAGGTGAGGTAAAACCAAGCAGCATGCCTCTCAGCAGAGAAAACAAGAGGGGCCCAGGATCAAACCTTGAGGCACACCATTAATAAAAAAAAAACTTGATCCAGGAATAGGGTTAGGCATCACCATCGATTGGAACCGGGACCAACTGTTAGTTTTTCCCGGAATCATTCAAAGTTTTTTGTTTCGATTCCTAGTTTGCCGACCGGAAGAGGAATCTGCGGTCTATCTCCGTGAAAAATAAACGTGATCTGCAAATTGTGATCAATGCTTTTCAGAGCTGATCACACCAGCTGTCTGTGTGCAGCACCAAGTCCCCCCTCCCCCCACCCGCTGCGGCCAAATATAAACAAACGCTTCTGCCGAACTTTTACTCCGTAATGTAAACTTTAATTCCTGCAGCGTAGAGGAAACTTGTTAAAATACGTCAACACGGTGGATTTAATAGAAGCTTTAAAGAACAAACTCTGGATGATGTGAGGTGAGTTTGTCTCACTACAGAAATAAAAACACACACGGAGCGACAGCAGTCAGATGCAGCCGCTCACCAACACTCATGTGTGTGAGCCTGAGCATAAGAAGGCTGAACAATAACCTGTAGAATAATTAAAGTCATCATGCTAGAGCAGCTCCTCTGTGGTGGACCACACCAGCTTCTGCCACAATAAATAATAATAATAATAATAATAACCTCTCCCTGGGCTGCCACCTTACCATGGTGGAGGGGTTTGAGTGCCTCAATGATCCTAGGAGCTAAGTTGTCTGAGGCTTTCTGCCTCTGGTAGGGTCACCCATGGCAAACAGGTCCTAGGTGAGAGATCAGACAAAGAACAGCCCGAAGACCTCTTATGATGAATTATATAAATGGAAACCGTGTTCCCTCGCCAGGATGTGGGTCACCAGGGCCCCCCTCTGGAGCCAGGCCTGGAGGTGGGGAACATTGGCGAGCGCCTGGTGGCCGGGCTTTCACCCATGGAGCCCGGCCGGGCACAGCTTGAAGAGGAAACGTGGGTCCCCCTTCCCATGGGCTCACCACTCGTGGGAGGGGCCAAAGGGGTTGGGTGCAGTGTGCAATATCGCGTGGACATCGGGGACAGTCCCACTGGACTGGCAGACCGGGGTTGTGGTCCCCTTATTTAATAAGGGGGGCCGCAGGGTGTGTTCCAACTACAGGGGGATCACACTCTTGAGCCTTCCTGGTAAGGTCCATTCAGGGGTTCTGGAGAGGAGGGTCCGTCGGATTGTTGAACCTCAGATTCAGGAGGAGCAATGTGGTTTTCGTCTTGGCCGTGGAACACTGGACCAGCTCTATACCCTTAGGGGGATCCTGGAGGGTGCGTGGGAATTTGCCCAACCAGTCTACATGTGTTTGTGGATTTGGATAAGGCGTTTGACCGCGTCCCTCGGGGGGCCCTGTGGGGGGTTCTCCGGGAGTATGGGGTAGCAGGCCCTCTGACACTGGCTGTTAGGTCCCTGTATGACCGGTGTTAGAGCTTGGTCCGCATTGCTGGCAGTAAGTCGGGTTTGTTCCCAGTGAGAGTTGGACTCCGCCAAGGCTGCCCTTTGTCACTGATTCTGTTCATAATCTTTATGGACAGGATGTCTAGGTGCAGCCAAGGTGTGGAGGGCATCCGTTTTGGTGGCCTGAGGATCAGGTCTCTGCTTTTTGCAGATGATGTGGTCCTCTTGGCTTCATCAGAACGTGATCTTCAGCTTTCGCTGGAGCGGTTCGCAGCCGAGTCGGAAGCAGCTGGGATGAGAATCAGCTCCTCTAAATCTGAGACCATGGTCTTGATTTGGAAAAGGGTAGAATGCCTTCTCCGGGTCAGGGATGAGGTCCTGCCCCAAGTGGAGGAGTTTAAGTATCTCGGGGTCTTGTTCACGAGTGAGGGGAAACTGGAGCGTGAGATCGATAGGCAGATTGGTGCTGCATCTGCAGTGATGCGGGCGTTGTACCGGTCTGTCGGGGTGAAGCGAGAGCTGAGTCAGAAGGTGAAGCTCTTGATTTACCGGTCGATCTACGTTCCTACCCTCACCTATGGTCATGAGCTTTGGGTAGTGACCGAAAGAACAAGATCGCGGATACAAGCGCCCAAAATGAGTTTTCTCCGAAGAGTGGCTGGGCTCTCCCTTAAAGATAGGGTGAGAAGCTCAGTCATCCGGGAGGGGCTCGGAGTAGATCCGCTGCTCCTCCACATCGAGAGGAGCGAGTTGAGGTGGCTCAGGCATCTGGTCAGGATGCCTCCTGGAGGCCTCCCTGGTGAGGTTTTCCAGGCACGTCCAACCAGGAGGGGACCTAAAGGTAGACCCAGGACACGGTGGAGGGACTATGTCTCTCACCTGGCCAGGGAACGCCTTGGGATTCCCCCGGAGGAGCTGGCCCAAGTGGCTGGGGAGAGGGAAGTCAGGGCCTCTCGCCTTAGGCTACTGCCCCCACGACCCGACTCCGGATAAGCGGATGAAAATGGATGGATAATAATAATAATAATAAATCACACACAAAGTTGTGAACATTTTAATTTCCTTTCTGAGAGTTTTAATGTTTAAAATCTGTTAGATTGTTACTGACAGCAGCTACATTTAAGTTTCACTTCCTGTTCTGACTGAATGCTGCTGCAGCATGGAGGTGTAGTTCTCAGTCATCCTGGACATGATCATCCTGAGAGTTTTAGCTGAAAACAGCTGGACGTTCCTGGACGTGTTGGAGACATTTAGCTTCTCATCCCAGAGGCTTCTTCCAGACTTTGGTTGTGGTCAGAAACAAACACACTGATTGTGCTGCAAGTCTTTTTCGTTTTTTTTTCCCTCAAAAACATGTTTTTGTCTAAATGAAGGTGATGTTATTGTTCATAGAATAAAAATTCATGTTGAAGTTAAGATTTTTTCATCAAGTAGGCCCCGTGGTTAGCTGGCTCATGTAAAGCATGTCATGTCTTGAAAGAATCCGAATCGGGAATCGACAGGAATCAGAATCGAACTGAGGAATTGGAATTGGAATCGTTCAAAATCAAACGATGCCAAACCCTACCAGGAACTGCGCGTTGCAGTAAAAACACAAAAAAACATGAATAATTGGTTACATTTGTTAACCCCTGTTGTCTGCTGGTATACCTCACTAGAGGAGATGATTCCCATCAGATGCTCCACAGCCGACACCCGAACAGATGGCTGTGGATGTTTCAGACTCAGCAGCAGCGACGTGTCAGAGTCGTCTAAAATCTACCGTCAAAAACACAGATGACAGTCAAATTCAATCTGAATTAATTAATTAAGGATCCGTCTACATTAAAGGTCTTCTGGTTGGTACCTGGTGTTTCCCGCTGCTCATGGACAAAGACAAGAACCGGTGGAAGAGATGCTTCTGCTGAGTGTCACTGTTGATGGTCACATGACCAGCAAGGACGCCATCCAGGGCTCCACAGTACCTGATGGAGAAGAAACTCACAGCTGAAGTGATTTAAACCATTTACCATAAAATCAGCAGTCTAAACTTTAACCAAACGAGTAAGTGTTGTGTAAAGCCTGCGAAACACAGCATGCAGCAATTAGCCACCACTATAGTGGATGGGTGCATTTCCACCAGTCACCAAGTGTTGCACTTGGAAGCATTCAAGAAGCGCAGGGACACGTTGCTTGGACATTCGAGTCTATTTTTTATGTGCTACACTTCCAGAACGCATCAAATTCTGCAGTTCAGATTGGGCCATACAGCAAGAGTAGTCCTCATGGGACCAGCAGCATGGAACTACCTCGCTGCCGCTTCAGCAGCTCGCCACTGAAACGTGTAATTACATTGATCGCAGCTCATGCATCCAGTGAAAGCCTGGGGTAAGAATCAACAGCTGATCATCAACAGTTTAATGACGTAACTGAGCTGAAGTTCCCTCTGGAGAAAACACCTTCATAAACCAACACTTATCAGCTTATCTGGTGGTACTGAATGATTTTAAGTAGTAAACTTTCGCAGCAGCAAGAGGCAGACCTGGACTCAAACAGTCGGACCAGAGGCAGCAAGGTCTGATCGAGGGCTGACATGTCCTCAGCAGAACGTTCAGGCTGACTCAGATACTCATCCAACAGCAACCTGCAGGAGAACCAAGAAAACACGTCAGCCTGAGCTTCTAAAACCCAACGGAGAACTCTTTAAAGACCCTGCATGGATTCGTCCCTTAAGACTTGATACCGACTCAGACTGGCTCTCCAAAGACCGACTTCAATCAGTCTCTGGAGATCTGGTGTTACATCGCTCCTCTGCCTGAAATGGTTCAGGCAATAGAAGTGCTTACCGGGCCGTGGTTCGGTCCAGGTCTTTAGTAAGAGGAACAGATTTCAAGACGGACTCCAACACTGTCTGTCTGTTCGTCTCCACCTCACCTGTGACAGAGACCAATAGGTTAGCACTGATCGGACTTGATGCAGAACCGGTTCTGGACCCACATGTCCCAGGTCACACCTGAACCACTGACAAACACGCTGTGGACCAGGTGAGGCAGCAGGTAACGCAGCAGCGGACTGACATCATGAGTCTCAGCCATGACCTGCAGGGTGGAGACCAGCGCTGACATCGAGCACAAATGGCCGGCGGCTCTGAAACCACAGACAGGTGAGATGGAACCACATCTTCACTGAGCATGCTCACAACACCTGGAGTACACCTGAGCTACCTTGGACCAGCGGCGCCATCCTTCTGATTCTGCAGCAGCACGATGAGGCAGCCCACACCCTCCTGGGCCAGAACAGGCTCTTTGACCAGAGACTTGCTGATATGAACTGCGAGGCTGTTGACCAAGCTCGCCTCCATCACAACCTTGACAGCAAGCTGGCCCACGATCATGTAAGTGGCGGCTTTGTAGTCCGACAGAGATGACCTGAGACCCTGAGGGGGCAACAAGACACCACCACACACTTTATTTTACAGCCAACACCCATTCAACAGGCATGTTGTATAAAGAATGGAGTAATCAGACGGGAGTTACCCTCTGGACATAAGGCAGCAGTTTGGCGATGATGGAGTCAGAAACTTTGTCCACAGCATCCAGAGCGAGGACGATGGTGGAGGCGTAGAAAGAGAAGATCACTCGGAGCTGAGAGAAACTTTCAGAGTGTCCGGAATATGCCTGGAAAAATTATTGATTATTTCCTTAAAACCAGTTAGGTTTTCACTCTGGAAACAGAAATCCTTTTAGTTTTTAAAGCAGCTGAAATGCTTCATGGTAATTTGACTTTCAAGTTGATCAGCTTTCTTCACATAAAGTAACAGATGGTATTACCGGGTACCTCCTGATGACACCGAACAGCCGCCTGATCCACAAACCCACCTGCCACCGAATAAAGATCTTCAACTTCTAAACAAACAACCACGTGTCAGTGAGGGTACCTGGATGGACTGGGTCACCATGGTGCAGATGAAATCCATGAAGCTCAGGTCTGAGTAGCAGTGTGTGACCAGAGTCCCTTTGGACAGGGGGACACCTGGTTTCTGAAACAACACGTTCAAAACACATAACCGGCACACTTAATGGAGGAGTTCTGTGTGACGAAGAACTGATCCGGACCCAGAGAGGCTGACCTGCAGACACTGCAGCCAGTTCCAGCGGTTAGTGGCATCGTTGATCTTCAGAAGCTGCAGGACTCTGACAAACACATTGGTGTCGTGGTACGGCAGCGAGCAGGCCAGCAGGCTGTTGGTGTTGTACAACTGGATGTGGAAGCTGCAGGACGTCATCATCATCATCATTAGTCCAAATCGTCTCAGGTAAAATCTTCACTTTTTTCTAAGAGTCCTGATGTTTTAACTGTGCATTATAAAATCATCTGATCCTGCAGCTCAGCAATTATCCAACTGAATAATGAATTTTGCTTTATAAGATATCTAAAAGAACAAAAAGTGACTAATCCACAGATTTGATTTTCAGAAAACAACAAATAAACTGCAACGAACCGATGAACCAGCCACTCGATGCACTTGTGAGCCGGTTTCAGAAGGAAATACGGGCACAAGCGGGTGAGGAAGAGTGAGATTCCAGCGTCCAGCTTCTCGTTGACCTCCTTGGACTGGACACTACGCTCTAGAGTCATGGAGGCGGGGCTAAACAGAGTGTCCTGAAACTCCATGAAAGCTGGTTCAATTCCCAGCAGCTCCTCCAGCCCTGTACACCCTAGAAGTGGAGGTGGGGTGGGGGGGTGTGCAGAAACAAAACAGTTAAACAGGAAACTGGAGGAGGATGCACTTCTGGCACCGTTTGGTCGGGGCTCACCAAGGGCATAGAAGGTACTTCTGTCCATAGTTGCAGCATCTTTAGGGTCGAAGAGCAGAGAGGCCACCTCCTTACGGGTGAACAGGTTAGGGTCGCTCTGAGGCAGCGCAAGCCTCTTCAGCTGGAGGGCCAACGACGTCATGGTGGAGCTTAACCTGAAGTAGGTATGGTTTGTTTTCAGAATATAGACCACAATATGCTTCACAATAAAAACAACAGACAATACTGCACAGATCAATGCCAGCAGAAACACAGTCAACCCCACACGTTGCAAACATGTGCATATAAAATGTGTGTGTCAATAGTTTTTAAAGACATGTAAAAACAAATCAGTGTTTTATTTTGAAAAATGTGCCTTCATATTTTCATTAGGTTTTTGGAAATGCAAACCAAAGAAGAAATCCTCTATATTAGAGACGTCCAAAATGCAGCATCAATAGTACCTACTGTTGAAGCAGACAGACACAGTTTAGGTTTTTACCCATGTTAGGCCTAACTTAAAAAAAAAGGGAACGTAAATTAAAATAATAAAAATAAAAAATGTAAAATATAAAGTATTTATCTTTTGCTATTCTGGATTATTCCTTTCAATGTTAGAAACACACAATAGTAAAAAAAAAATAACACAAGCCTTCTCCAGACTTTACTGAAAAGCAGACTTGTGCACCGTTCATAAAACCTCACAAATTAGAGCAAACATTACAGAAGAGTGTCACAGAGATCCTGTTCTTGTTGCTGATAATGGACCCAAATCCATCACCTGTATCAGCTGATGCCCCTAATGATGGGCTGCAGGGCAATGAAAGCAAACAAACAGGCAGAAAACCAGCAAATATGCCAGAGCTGTTAAAATGCTAAACACCTTCTTAAATTGTATTAAACTGCTGAGCTGTGACTATGTTTCACATATTCTCTGAAAGGTCTCGTTTATTTTTCGTAATAGCTTTTTATACACAGCTGTTATTTGGTCTGTGTTTCTGTAGTGCTGTATAAAACGGTGAGCTATTTTTTTAGGTTTATGGTAAAATAGCAGTACGGATTTCTGCATTCTAGCTACATATCCAGGCAGTTTGACTCCTCTAGTTAATAAATAGTCACTAAATATAATTGGAAAATATAGTTCAGTGTAAACAAACGCTGCTAAGTAAAACATGATCAACTTTGTCTTTTTCATAGTTAATCAGACAAGTTAGTTAGCATTGTTTCTCATGAACAAAAGGACACTTGTCTTTTCTCCTTCTGACTCACAAACATCGTTTACAACACAATGGCAGTGTTCAAATCGTAATAATAAAGTAAACAACACAAACCTGGCTATCGTAACTCCACTAAACACATGCGTCCACGTTGTCTTCGGAAAAGACGAGCGGAACGATTCTACTTCCGGTTCAGAGAAAGAGAAACTCTTAAACGAAGAGTCTTCACTCTGAATGAATGTCTTTTGTCTTTTCCTGGTGCTCAATTTATTTCCAAAAGATGAAAGTAATGCTGGTAACTATGAAACTGCGCAAGTATTTAGCAAAATAGATTAGATATTTTGTTTGTAGTTTTAAGCTAATAGTTTTATCTATAATGTGAGAATTTTCAGCTGTGAAAACCATATCGAAAATATACGACCTTTGTGTCCTTTTCAGAACAACAGTTACCAATTCCTACCACACGAGGGCGATAATAAAAACAGCAGTTATATAAATTGCACGGCCCAATCATGAGAGTGACAACCGTGTATTTATGTCGATGGTGACAACACGTACGTAAGTTAGCGAAATTGTCACTCAATAGTTTTAGCATATTTTACTTGAAGAGTATCTTTTATCATTGGGTTTTAACACACCCAGGGGTGTACCCTTTTAAAAAACAAATTTGAATGCCAGTTTCCACAGTCCGCGTGCAGCGGGTAAGTTTGGCTCTTTGGTGTGGCTGTACCTATTTGTGTCGGTCTCGTTTGGCTTCATTTCGTTTTGCCTCTATATATGAAATTTACTTTTAGACTCGACATCGGTAAGGTAAAAAGCTAATGTTAGCAGAACCCACGTTTGTTTTTGGCGGGCCCCACCCTCCTGTGGATTTAATTGGTCGCTTTCAACGTCATTCTTCTTTCTCCCACAGCTGATTGGTTTGACACTGATCACCTCCCGATGAACGCCTGGAGAGTAAATTGATTTAAAATTTACCGAAGACGACTGACGGAAGACAAGTACGGAATCAATATTTACGAACATCAGAGACTCCAACAGAAATGTAAGCCAGCTTTATTTATTTGTAACTGTAAAAGAAAAGGCTGTTTTTTCCTTTCTTTCTAAAAACAAATGTTTCTTATGTTTATTTACCACAAAATAAATGGTTGAAACGTGTACGTTTAAAATTAGACGTATTTATGTGGCGATCCCTGGTGAGTGGTGTGTTCAACTTCACAATCAAAGTTGTGGGTATAAATGTCATCATCCCAAATCTGACTTTTCTCTTCCCAGCTGCTAGACCTTCCTGTAAAGTAGTCCTGATCAGTAGTTTTTCTGTGTATTTTTATTATTTTTTACTAGCTCAGTCCAACCTTGACTATGCAAGTGGGTGGAGTCTAATCAGCTCACCAGGAAGTGTAAGCAGGTCAAAGGTGAATCTGACCTGCTGCTGATCGTCTAGGAGTGTGTTTTTTTGTGGAACCCTCTGTGTGTGCTGTGTGTGTGTGTGTGTGTGTTAGTGATGTGTGTCTGCAGTAGCTCTGTCTCCTGTAATGAGTGATGAAGATGAGAATCTGCAGAGCTGGGGCTGGACTGACCTGTGTGTATCCTCCTGTTGTGTGTCAGTGTGGTGTCTGTATGTAGGTCAGGCTCTGTGTGCGATCGGGTCCCGGGGATTTGTTGTAATCGCAGTGGAAGTGTGTGTGACTAACCGCTCACTTTAAGATGTTCATGAATCTGAAAGGAGAACCAGTGGTTGTTTCTGGTTCTGTGCTACAGATGGTCCTGTAGATCCTGTAAAGTGAGCTGGATTATTGAAGAATTTGATAAATGTTGATTTGGCAAAATTCTGTTTTTGTATTTAAACATCAGATTTTTGGGTGTCAGGCAGGACTGCTGGAACCAGGTTCTTTGGGGGAGCTTTTGAAAGCACTTACAATTTTAATAAAGTGTCATTAAAACTGGTTATAGCACAACTGTGATAAGAAGAGGAAAGGGAAAAACTGCTTGGAGCGTAATGTGATCTTTTTGTGGTTTTTGGATCGAGTTGATTTTGATGGCAAGACCTGCAGCGTCTTCCAGAAGGCAACAGTGTGAACAGATGATATGCAGAGGGGGACTTGCAGTGGTGTAAGAATGCTGTTGAGAAACTCTGAGTGTACAGTGGGTTTTGTTTCCACCATTGAAATGTAAATCTCTTATTATGGTTCGGATACCTCATGTTTAACATGTGGTATCAGTTTGGACCTTTTGAATTTTCCTACAATAATTTCAGTCTTAAAAAAATCGCTGGCCGAATGTATCGCAAAATGCATCCCTAGTAGATAATTAAGAATTAAATGAAAAAGATTAAATATTTAGTTCAGTGTTTTTATGAATGAAATAAAACATTTAAGAGCACTTTTCTATATTTTATCAACCTATATTTTCCTTATTCTTTATTCTAAAAGCTTCCTCCCTTTTTAAAGTTCTCTCTCCTCCTCCCTTAGCTCCAGTTACTCCTCATCGTTCGACTCAGAGCAGGAGCAGCTGGTCACCTCCTTCCTTCTGACAGGAGTCATGTCCCGATGTAGCCTGCGGCTCGATGAAAGCCTTCTGGATCGCGGCAGCGCCCCCTTCAGCGTGGGAGGAGTCAGTCAGAGGAGCAGCAGGTCATTAAGGTCTCAGCACTCCCAGTGGCACTCGGTCTCCTGCTCGGAGTCTCTCCTCTTCAAAACTCCTCATCAAGTAGCTGATTACAGCGTGGCCTCCGACGCCTCCCTGATCTCCTCCCTACTGGACGAGTCGTCTATTCAGGAGAGCACGCTGATCGACAACCTCTGGGGTACTCCTCCTCCTCCTCACGTCTCTTTACCCGTTAATAAGTTGGGTAACTCTGCTCCTCCTCTTCAGGTTTGGAGCAGGATGCAGATACTAGGGGTGAGTTTCTGCTGCTCTACGTGAACTTGACATGTTCCACACGTTCTGTAACGGAACCCTCTGGGTGTAATGTTAAAGATGTTCAACACTGAAACAGTTTTTAATGATTGTTTCTGATAATGGGTCACTCTGAGTTTTTCATGCAGGCTGAGCATGAAAATGGTCTCCTACACCTATCTCCTGCATTAGCTTCTGATAGCAAGTAGACGTGAAACTCTAGGATATGAAAATCCTGACCTATCTGCATCACACTGCCCCCCCCCCCTCTCAATTTCTACCAGAGACCACTGCAAACGTATAAGATAAGATGAGAACAACTTTATTTATCCCGAGGGAAATTGTTGTCATGTACATGCTCAAAGCAGTAGGAGAGACAAAGGAACAGGTGAAACCGATATAAGCTATACGATATATACAGTAAAAATAGTGTACAGTAGTATACAATAGGATAGTGCAAGAGAAATACTCTTTACTCTAATAGACCCTTTTATTACCTACGTCATCAAAAGTTGCGCGCGCAGCCTGGCAACGAGAGTGAAGGCTTCCTCATTCACACTCGATACTAAAACAGCGTTTTAAACCCTTTGTTTTGAAGTTCTGAGCACATAAAAATGTCGGGTTGTTGCGTGTATGGATGCCAGAATCGCTTCTCTTCAAGCAGTGGACTGAAACTTTACAGAATTCCGAAGGGAGCACATCCATTTCAACAAAATCGGAGGCGTCTGTGGCTGCAGGCCATCAAAAGGGTTGATGAAAACTGGACTGAAAACACGATCCGAAATGCTCGAGTTTGTAGCGCCCATTTTATATCAGGTAAGGTAATTATGTACTAAGATTACACCAGAAAGCTGGTTAACGTGTGTTCTATTAACTAATGTAAGTTGCGTTTGCTGGTTTGCTTTTAGTATAAACTGTATTTCTCTAAAATTAACACGATTGTACTCTGAGCACGCTAAAAAAAGAAACCTATGCTATACTCACCCTGCCATGCAGGTACAGTTGGCTGTGAAGACGTAGTTCTCTGGTTTGTTTACTATGACCCAAGCCTCGTACATAGCAGTCTCGTGTCCTTGTCTTTGGCTAGGAAGGACTTCTGCCTTCAAGACGCAAAACTCAGAGTCTATGTGGTGATATTTTACTTTCTGCACGTGGCCACAGACAACATAGTTGTATGCATCTAACGATTTGTATGCCCGTAGCGTCTCACGTGTGTACTTACTGGGCCTCTCCATTAAAAACGTGTATATATATCGGGCCACTGGATATCTGGCCACGCACCTACATCTTCCACCCATTCCGTAATGCCACAGGGATCCGGGAGTCTGTTGCCATTCGTTAAAGTGAGTTTAATAATATAACATTCAAGATTTGCCGGTGATAACCCCGCAGCGTAGCTTGATAAAGCCTGAAACAACGTCATTCTCTGTTGCCAAGCTGCACGCACATTCTCGCTGACGTCATATTGTTTACAAACAGTAAACGGGTCTATAGATTAGATGAGTGTCCCAAACATTTTCATTGTTAATTAAGGCATCCTGCAGTACTGGCCCATTGGGTTTAGCCTTCATGTGAAGTACCAAACAGTTCCTTTATAAGTGATGGACCAGGTTATTATCATGTGAATAAAATCCCAAATGATCTAATAAAACCATCTCTTTCAGTGTTGATAGATCACCATGGTAACAGAGACGTAACTACCTGCTTACGACCAGGTTATGAGTTCAGAGTTGGGCTTTCACTGTCTATAAAAAAGCAACTCTTTCACTTATTACGCTAACAATTTAAGGTTGAAAAATAAACCAAACATTTTTTAGACTAACATTTTAAATAAACGTCAGGTTGTCAAACTAAAAATATCACCATCTATCAACACATGCAGCTCAGAAGTGGGCTGGGTGAACCCCTACATTTAACCACGCTGTGTTTTCGCTGACATTTGTACTTATTTAGCTGTAGCCTAAGCAGTTTGTAAATAAAACTGATCAGTACTGTTTTTATTACCGCCTCATCAATCTCCGCATCAGAAACATGAAAAATGGAAATGGAAAACACACACACACACACACACACACACACACACACAGCTTGTAGACTCTTCTTTACAGCATCATCAGAATGATTTAACTTCTAAACCTGTAGATATTTTTTGTAAAATACACCAAAGGAAAACTCGCACAATCAGGATATGTTGCCTCACTAATTTCTAGGTGACCAGATTGATCAGCTCTGACTCATAAAATCAAAGAAGAGTTGAAACTGATGAAGAGCTTAGACGGGGGAGATTGGACCATGTGGTCAGCTAGCTCAGAACAACTAACCCCAAAGCTGAAAGTCTGAGTTTACCAAGTAGTGTCCGATCCATCATCATAGAAGCGTTAGCCTGTCGGCCGAGTTTTAGTTGTGTGTTTGTTTTATGCCAGGTAATATCCTTCGTTCTGACATCGCACTTTAAGCTTCAGGTTTATGACATCTCCGGATGTGCCACAGGCCTGTTGGAGGACTGAGTCCTGTCTAATTATTAGGTAGTTTTCAGTTACAGATTGTTTTACGGGCTGTTCTGATGGGACTGATTCTGCGGTAGGAAACGCCCTCGTGGCCGAGGAAGACTGCCCCCTGATCTCTTCAGACAGCCGATCGTCCCATCACCGAGACCCGCGCGTCGGCATGGTTTACCTGGAAGAGAGCAGCCATCAGGGCGAGATGAAGGCTGACGGAGAAGGCTCTGTTATCTACTGCAGGGACCGGAGCCACAGGAGGAGGGCAGGTGAAACAAAAGGTCAGGGGTCAGGATTTTACTGTATATAAATGTGTTATAAACACTAAAAGACGTGAATGAAGCTCTGGAGATGCTGAAGCTACATTTCAAGTAACAGTCACAAGGCTTTCTGCTAAAAGATCACTTGAAGCTAAACCATAAACCATATTTATTTCTTGAAGGATTTTTTCAAGATTTAATATCATTTTATTTGTTTATTTTGATATATTTGTGAAAAAGGCAAATGCATTTCTTTTTGATTTAAAAAAAATAGTTTTGCCTTTCCCTGTAAGGGAAAACAAAAGAATGAAACTCCTAACGTGAATACTGAACTTAAAATGTGAGATTTAGTTGAATTTTATTCCCTAAAGTAAAAACTGTGTAAAAATAAAAAAGGTGTTTATTTGCTGGTAGTCGCTCTGGTGGCAGGTTTTCACTCGTGGTGATCGTTTAGATGAAAAGACTTGTCATGTTTTTTCAAAAACACGGACTGGGATGTATCCTGTCTAGAACAGCCCCTGCCTACCCGCTCTGGGAATAGACTCCGAGTGGAAAAGTCCCATTAGTTGTCACACACAGGTGTGTGTGCGCACAATTTGTTCTCCGCTTTTGACCCATCCCCTGGGGGAGCGGTGAGCAGCAGACACAGCTGCGCTCGGGAACTATTTGGTGGTTTAACCCCCCAATCCAACCCCTTAATGCTGAGTGTCAAGCAGGGAGGCATTGGGTCCCAATTTTTCAAAGTCTTTAGTATGACCCGACCAGGAATCGAGGCCCTGATCTCCCAGTCTCAGGGTGGACACTCTACCACTAGACCACTGAGAACTCACTAGACTTTATTTAGGTCTTTTGGGTCATGTCCTGTTTTGCCTTAATGTTGAAAACTTTGGTCAGATTTAAATCAGGTTTAATCTTTAAAGATAATTAAAACTATTTAATGATTAAGGAACTTGGATTATTGTTTGCCTTTAATGGCACGTTTATGCTGCTTCTTTTTGTTGGAAAGGTTTTGGTGATTCAGTTTTAAATAACAGGGTAAGTCAACTTTTTTGAGTTAATGAACTCATTAAAAATGTGCGATGGGAGGAAAGCTCATTTTCCTGATTTCCCTGAGTGGATTTCTATGGGAGTGACATGTTTCGCCCCCTGCTGGTCAATAAGCAGAATGCACAATTTAAAAATTCCAGTTGCTCGTTTGAAACCGGAGACGCAGAGTCTTCGGACCTAAGAGGTCATTTACGGTAAACTTTATTTATACGTCTATTTCCTGCAGTTGCTCAGCCAACATGTTTTGGATAAATCAGAGTATGCAAATGAGCTCTTCCCATAAATCAAACTGATCAGAAGCTACTTGACGGTATGTGTCCAGATTTGCTGCAGCTTTGGCTGAGCTGTGTGTCAAGAGAGATGCAGCCTGCCCAGTCTCTGCTGCAGCACACCTTACAGGCGTGTCGGACCTCGGGCGTCGGCACACAGCCTGAAAGATGTAGAGGAAACAAGAGTGTGAAGGTGGCCGGACTTCCTCGTCGTCTTTAAGCACACCTCCGTTTACCTGCAGAAGACCGGGTTCAGTCCTAGATGAAACTTTAGATGTGTCACCTGTCGTGGCTCCTTCTCAAACAAACAAATGCGCTGCACCCAGACCTTTTAGCTTTGGTTGTTTCCCTGGTGAATGCAAATCGCGGATGTCCCTGCAGACGGGTCTGGGCTCAGAGGGTGGACAGATGTGTTGTGAACGTGTCTTAACTCTACTGTGTTCTGTTTCAGCTCAGCCCAGTCAGCGTGGAGCCATGAGCCTGAAGGAGCTTCATCCCATCGGATCTCTCTGTGAGTCAAACTGAGACCGTAAGGCATGCAGCTGAGCGGTTCTGTGGTCCCAAACCCTACAGGATCTGATGGCTGAAGCTTTCAGCAGCTAACTGTTATTAATCATCTTTAGTTAAAATGTGTATTCTTCATGTCGTTTGAATCAAATCTATAGCTTATTTTACTGTGAAAGCAGTAAAATTACATAGATATGTATAATATATAGCTAACCCCGCTGGAATTTCTTTGTCCACTCAAGCTGTGATGCAGGTAACTCATCTGCTCCGATCTCATCACTCAACAGTTTAATTAGTAAAAGACTGGTTCCGTTTCGGAGTTTAAACTCCCAGAGGAGCTGCAGATATCTGAGACTCGTGTAAAAGCATTAGGGCTGGTTTCTTTTTGAGTTTGCTGATCAAACGACACGTTGAATCCAACAGGTGACGACTGTAAGGAGAAGCAGCGCTCTAAGCTGGATACCTCCACCTCCTCTTCATCCTCCTCCTCCTCCTCCTCCTCACGGTCGCCTGTGGCTTCCTGTTTGTTGGGGTTCCTTTGCAACGCTGCTGTTTTCACAGGTTCCCTCAGTAAAATCATCAGCATGAGCTACAGGAGTCGGTCAGAGCAGCTGGTTGAGAAGTAACTTTAAGCTCAGATGAGCTGGTTTCAAGTTGCAGTTGATTCGTTTGTCCTGATGGAAACTGCCTCTTCAGCGACTCTGAACTTGATTCACAAAACAAAGATTTTTAGGTGATTGTTCGAGTTGAGGTGCAGAAAAGAAACTGAAGGCTCTCGTATTTCAGGCCAAGGTTAGATGGGTGCGAGAATGAAAATTGGCCTTTTTTCATGAATTGAAACTAATCCTAAAAGTTTTCCTGTAGCTGATGCTGCATGGCTCCCTGTGGAGAAGAGCTGACTGAATTTTTGTTTTAGTCTAGAAATATTTAGAATTTAATCTCAAATCATGCTAATTTTGTTTATTCAGTTGTGATGAAATTCAGGATAATCTAAAAGAAAGTTAATGCTATGAGGTGATGAACCTCTGAGCTATTCTCAGGTGGTTTTAACGCCATTAAATATCTGGATGTTCTTATTTAGGATCACTTTTCAGCAGCCGGTGTCACATGATCTGTTTTTAGCAACACTGTTGGTATCACGCTGTAAAGGTCTTCTTATGACGGTAAAGATTTGTTATTGTTGTTCTGGACTTTACCTCGGCTCGTCCGCATCACTCCTGGAGAACCAGTTTAAAGAAACGGAACATGAAGTTACTCTTTAACCATCTGAGGCAGACGGACCCGGAGCTCCCCGACTCGGTTCTAGTGGTTCTGACTCCTGTTTGCTTCTGCAGCTTCGTGTCTCTCCCAGTTCTCTCAGAAAGCAGCTGCAGCTCTTTGGCCTCTCGCCAGGATCATTTTCTGGGCTTCAGTGAGAAATGGACTCTCTGCAGGTTAACATCGCTCATTGTGCTTGTGTGTGGGTCACCGTGTGTGTGCTTGGAGTTGGTGCCTCTGCTTTAACGGTCTGAACTCCTCCCCAGGTCTGGGCCGTGGCTTTCTCTCCTGCTGTGGTATTTCGAAGTGTTTCGGTCGTTAGGCTGGGGTTCTGGCTGTATTTGTCAGTCCTGCTTGTCGCTCTTTGCAGCAGATGTGAGATGCACAAACAGCAGGTTGTTGACTTCTGTCATCAGTCACTGTTGTATGCCAGATGTTTAGTCCTTGGGTATAAAAGACTGACACTGGATTAGAGAATTGTAATTGATTTGTACCTTTGTGTCTAAAGTTAAATAATATTTTTTGTGTTATCCTGTTAAATTCTCTGATGTCCTATCTTCTGACAGGTGGAGTTTGTGCATCTCATTCTACTTTAGTTTGACTCGATGTTAATCTTTCCAGAGGTTTAGGCTTCTGATTCACCTGCAGCTGATCCTGAAGCTGTTTGTGTTTTCAGGTCGCTCGGTTACTACCGCTTTTAGGTGGATCTGCCGACAATGGTGTCGCATGACCGCCAGCTCTCACCTGACCAGGTATCTTTAAACCCAGGATGAAACCTCAGTTTCACCATCTGACAAGAGAATATTGAACCTTTCATGATATTCCCTTTTATGGAGATGCTCCTTTGTAATAAGATTTTCATGAAAACATTCTATTCAGTAGCTGCACTCGGATCAGTTTGTTATAAAACTGGTCACCCTACCTATTTATGAACAGAAATTTGCGTGTTGCATGTAAACATTTGGATTTTAAAAATCTTTTGCAGGATTTTTCTCAGACTTCTCATCCTTCTCCTTCCTCTTCTGCTCGTCTTCAGTAAGTTTAATGGTGACACTTGTATTTAAAATCATGGCAAGTTTTATTTTCCATCACTTTTCCTGTTCCGCGCCTTGGGCCCCCTTTGAGGGTGGTGGAAAGTGCTAAATAAGTAAAGCATGATGATGATAATTTACCTGTGAAGAACGCATTAAAGCCTGCCACATCTCTTACTTTATTTGTGCTTTTTCCTTTCTGACATTTTTCCTACAAACTTGTCCTAAAACAACCTAAAGTCTGCTGATTGTTCAGAATGTTTTCAGAAACCACTTCAGGTGTTCTTCCTACTGCAGGTCTTTGTTGGTTCGGATCAGCTGGTTTCTGCTCCGTCCCTCCAGGTGTCAACATCTCAACATGGACAATGGTCCCTGGTCTGTCTGCCATCCACAGCCTCTTATCTGCACAGAGCCCAATGGCAGAGGGACCTGCGGAGGAGTCGAGAGAGGAGTCTCTCCTCAGCCAACCTCCAGCTGCTGAAACTCCGCCCCCTCAGGTAACCGCTGCAGATAACGACTGCTAGCCTGCCGGACTGGAGCAGAGCTCAGCATTCTGAAAGGTTTTATTGTCTCAGACTTAGAAAATCCAGCTTCTTTATTCATTAAGATTTCTACTTTAGCTGCAAACTGAAAGATGTAATCATCAAATCACGTCACATCTGTTTCTTCCACGAGAACAAAACACTGCAAGTTTGTTTCTGGACTTTCAAACTTGTATAAGTTCAGTTTGAGATTAGAAACACGTCTGAGTAAAATGAAGCAAATGAGTCTATTTGTTTTTTGTGGTAGTCGGGCCCATGCGTCACATGGGAAGTAGGTTAAAATCTGATCATCTGTGACCTCTGCAGGTTGTGAATCAGGAGATCCCTGAGGTGGAGGAGTCATCCGACTCTGAGCGGCTCATTCAAGTGGAGCAGAGTCTGGTGGCTTTGTGGGAGCAGGTGGAGGCTGCAGGACAGCGGGTGGAGCAGAGACACAATGAGGTGCTTCGGCTTTATACTGACCTCAAGCAGCAGTCGCCCTCGCCTCAGAGAGGCAGTGGCAGCACGGAGCCACGGATCAGTGACCTGATGGATCTGCGGGTGCTGCAGCTCCACAGACAACTCGGCGAGGAGAGGCGACACCGGGAACAGGTGGGAAGCTGTAACGGAAAACACCTACAGCTCCAGCAGTCACATCTTCTCGGTGTCTTTTCATGAGGGGAAAAACAGGAATGCTGGAAAGGCAGCGGGAAATTTTCATTTGCCTGAATTTGTGGCTTTTTGTTGCCTGGATGTAGAAAAAAAGTCTGACGGTTAATGGAGCATACTCAATATTCTAGTGAAATATGGGCGTCTGGTGTCTGAACCTTTTGACCGATGTCTCCTCTCTGCTAGAAACCAGTTTCAGGTGACTGGATCTTTCAGGATGAAGATGAGCTGGGTTTGTGTGTTTGTAGATTCGAAGGCAGGATTTGTTGCTTCTGAAGATGCAAACAACCCGTTTGGACCAACTAGAGCTGCAGCTGCAGAACCTGGCAGCCAGGACATGGGTAAGCCTGATTTGGGATTATGGACTGTTGACAACAGCTGACTTGACACTTTGCTGTTTCTCTCGTTTTGTGCAGGAGGTGCAGCAGATGCAAGAAACCACAACAAGCCTCCCAGCTACTGTCCGGTAGCTTCATTCTCCTCTTCATCATGTTTAGCTTTAGAACATTAGTTTATCTTTTGTCACTTTTTGCGGTTTTAATCTTCTGGTAACTTTGTGCAGTCGCCACTTTTCACCTTGGACTGTTTTAACATCTTGCAGCGTCAGCATGGACAGCCGTTCCCATGATGCCTTGCAGGCAGAGGTGAAGCAGATGGAGGCGACTCTGGGAGACATCAGACAGGATGTTGAGGTTCTGTCCAGATGTCAGAATGGTTGCCAGCAACTGGACACAATGCAGCAGATGGTGAGTTTCTTTTTGTAAAGGGGTGTGGCTGACCCTGAGAGAAACTTCACAATAAAAGCCTTTCTGATTAAACTTTAGCAGTAAATAACTAGAGACCTTTTCCATAGGGTTCAGAGCATGTCGCTTCTCTGATTAGAGAGGAGATTCAGGACGTGATCTACGGGAACGAGCTGACGCCAGGGAGAGATGACGGCAACCTGCCAGAGCCGCTCCTCCAGTGGATGTCACGGCGCTTTATCAGCCACGATGACCTGCAGGAGGCACTGACCTCTCTGGAGCTCAACGTGCTGCAGAACGTCAGCAGGCTGCTTCAGCAGCAGCAGGGTGATGAGAAGACCCAAGATGCAGCCTGGCACGATATCCTAAAGAATGGGAATGCTGGCAACGCAGTGACCAAGGAGGTGATAGGAGGATGTTTCTGCCAACATTTTATTCAACAGACTTCTTTTACCTTTTGACTTAAGTTAGAAATTCCTCTTGAGCATTTAATCTGTTTAAAAAGAAGAGGAAAAAAAAAGAAAAACGAGACACGGATTCAGCTTCTGGGATGTAAATCAGACTGAAATGTTAACTATTTCCTGTCCACTGAGACTTTCTTTGTTTAAAGACGAATTATGAACTGAATATCTGGTGTTTTTCTTCAGGAAGTCCAGCGTATGTTGTCAGACGCTCTGCGGCTGTTTTCTCAGGACCGCATCGGCCTGGCTGATTATGCTCTGGAGTCTGGAGGTCAGCAACAGCGGATCATGTTCTTTAACGTGTTTATGATCTGGTGTTTGTCCTGTCTGAAGTTGAAATTTTCAAGTTTAATTTATTTGGTCATTTCGTTCCTTTGAACATTAAACAAAACATTTCCAATTTACATATGCATAACGACCAAAAGGGTTTAGGCTGAAGTAGATGCTTATTATGCCTAAACCAATTAACTTCCTTCACAATAGAAAACCATCACAAACTTAAAATGAGCCATATTTGGTATGGGACAAAAGAAACATTGTTCCTACACTTCCCTTGGTGTGTAGTGCTTATTATGGTTGTCGGCTGAGCCTTCACGTGTAAAATCCTGACCTGAATTCAGGGTCAGGGGTTAATGGAGGTTTATTTATTTTGTGGAGTCTACCGCTGGTCATCTGATCCGTGACGGGTGTGTGTCTGTACTCGTCCTGCAGGGGGCAGCATCTTAAGCACTCGCTGCTCAGAGACCTACCAGACAACAGCAGCCCTCCTCAGCCTGTTTGGAGTTCCCCTCTGGTATTTCTCTCAGTCTCCTCGAGCTGTGATCCAGGTAACTCGCCTGTCAAACACAACATTCATCTTCCTACCAGAGGTTTTACTCTTGAGATATTTTAATTGATCTCTGATGGAAAAAGGGAGGGATTAACACACAAAAAACTCTTTGGCAGGAGAAATTTTAAAAGTGGCGGATAAAACCGTCACAAATTGTTGACCCAGAATCTGTGGTAAAACAGGATGTTGAGTTGGCACACTTTTGGATTGAGATATGGCTGCAAGATATATTTAGAAGATACTCCAGGACTTATAAGAACAGGGTATAAATTCACGATGAATAGCAACACGGACATGAATAATTTAAATAGTGAAATAATTTTGATTTATTTTACAAATTACATAAAGTAAATCCTTTGGCATGTTTTAGATGGGGTTCTTGTATTTATTACAGAATTTAAGTCTTGCTATGTAAAGTCTGGGTCCCACCAGATCTGGCATGCAGTCCAGATCCAGAGACGCTGCACGAGCCTTGTTGATGTCCGCCGGGCTCTGATGAAGCTGTCCTTTACTGGAGATTCCCTTCTAGAAGGAGGCTCTGTTATGTAACTGTTAAGGTAGTTTAGTCGAGTCAAATAACTTGCAGAAGGCGATGTTTGTTTTTGGTTCCTGATAAAAGTGACCCTTTTAATGAGTCAGAAGTTTTAACATGGCAAAAAAGGCCATGGTGTAAATGATTAAAAAGGAAAGCAAATCCATGTTTGTTTGTTTTTTATTTTTGTTTTATCATTTTGGGGGGGGGGGGGGGGGGGGTTGATGTAAAACAAGAGCCAACATTACATTTGAGCAAAACCATATGTGTGTATCTATCAAAGTTAAAATGCATAACAAATTAATATGAAATATTAAAATGATATTATGAAATCAAGAAATACCAATGTTTACATTTTATTACTCGTTACTCAGACATTTTAAAGTACATTCAAGCAATTACAATGTTAAGAGTTACAAGATTAAAATAAAGTTAAAACATAAGCAGATTATTAAAATGTCAAATCATGTAATAAAATGTTAAGAATTAACAAATGAAGGAATAAAAAATTAAAATAAGTCCTTAAGATATCAAATTTAAGTAATAATAGTGGTGAGGATAAAACAAACTAACAGTTTAGATTCCTTTTGGTTAGATGGATAAAATCCTTTCCTGAGCCTGCGAACGCCGCCGGTCTAATGCCTCGGTGATCTTTTCTAAAAAGGGAAAGGGGAAATTGATTCTTTTAAGATAAGTAACCTTTCGCTGACCGGTTTTGGACGTTTTGCCCTCTATCCTAGTATTTATTTGTACACACATGGCTATGCATATAAATAAAAGCAGTGCCTTAAGCACTGATCCTGAAGGATGTAAGTCTGAAGAGTTTTAGACATTTTGAACATTAATGATCGGTCCGATTTAAACTCTGTCTCCATACAGCCTGACGTCCACCCAGGGAACTGCTGGGCCTTCAAAGGCTCTACGGGCTTTCTGGTGATCCGGCTCTCCATGAGCATCCTCCCCACTGCTTTCACCATGCAGCACATTCCCAAAGCCCTGGCGCCTAGCGGGATGCTGCAAAGTGCCCCCCGAGACTTCAGCGTCTACGTAAGGGCACTGCCACTTCAGTGCATCTGAAATGTGGCTCCTTTTGTGTTGGACTGAAATTGTGTTTTTAGGGTCTGAGAGATGAGAATCAGGAGGGAGGGAAGCTGCTGGGAACTTATACCTACGAGGAGAATGGAGAGGATCTGCAGACTTTCATCATCTCTGTGAGTCCTTGCTTGTCTTCAGCTGCTTTAACAGAAACTGACACCAGAGTTGCTTACAGGCATTCAGTTGTTGAGGGATAAATGTTCGAAAACGAGAGAAATTCAGTAGGGATGTTCCCATCATGTTTTGGGGTTTTTTTTTTTGCTCCCGATTGGATTTTGAGTACCTGCCGATACAGAGTCCCGATCCGATACTTTTCAGAAAAGCATTAAAATGTTAAGAAAAAAAATTAGCAAAGCATTAAAATAAAATAAAAAACGGAGGGGGGTCTCAGGAAAGCATTAAAATAAGAAAATGCATCCTTTAAGTTTCACTTTGATTTATTTAGGAAGTACGCTGATTAAAAACTTGTTTATATTGTGAATATACTTAAAAGTAGCAGCGTTGCTCTTATTTCAAGTTGTTTACTCCCTCAATATGCAGCTGTGAGCATTGTGTTCACGTGACGGAGCAGGCTGGCGGAGCCTTCGGCAGGCAGGGTACCTTTTCTCTGCATAACCTCTGTAGCTCCAGCGCACAGCACCGTGCTGCAGAACTAGAAACCCTGATGTTTTGCAGTCTGTTGAAAATTTCTCTGTTCATTGGCGTACTTTTCTCTGTGGCTGGCTCTGCATTTTTGTCTGACTTCACTGTGAACTGTGACCGTTGGAGTTAAACTGGGGATTAATGGAGACCGGTGATTTGCTTTGTAATGCCCGAAGGGAAAAGCCGACAGTGAAAGTAGATTGTTTTGAAGGCGGCGAATCATGGAGCCGTTTCCTTTCCAGCATGTTGATTGCTCATTATGCACAAATTATAAGTGTCTGTGGCTCTGCCTTTGCTGTCCGGTTTAAAATGCCACCAAGCTCTCCTTAGGAGACACGTTAGCTCTGTGTTAGCAGGTTTGCTATCAGTGGAAATTGGTGTCTTGAGTCCTTGCTTGCCGTAAATTGTATGACATTATTGTGTTTTCGTACAAGAAACGAATATTATTGATGTAGAGGGACTTATTGAAATTAAAACTAAGCCATTTTTATTCAATTTGAAAATCTCTATCTCGGGATTAATTTAAAATGTCATGTTTGTTGTTTTAAGAGGTTAAATCTGATTTATTTCTCCCTATTTCGATCCTGTAAAGAACACAGAACACGTGATCTAGCCCAATTTCCGATCACATGATCGGATCATCCCTAAATTTCAGCTCACGTTGTGTTCCAACATAGTCTGTTTATGGTCAGGTCAACATTAGAGTGTGTATAACTTATAGGTAATCTATGTTATACTATCCTCCTATAGGAGGAGAACGATGAGTCCTTCCAGATCATCGAGGTGCAGGTTCTGTCCAACTGGGGCCACCGGGAGTACACCTGCATGTATCGGTTCAGAGTGCACGGGACACCCAGAGATGTCTGGACATGACAGGAGATCAGTGGAGACGAGTTGTTTCCTGCTGCTGATGTGCCCGAAAAGCTGCTGACTCTGATTTAATGTTCTGCACAGCCGCCATTAGCAGACACTCTGTTTCCTGTGGTAATGGACTCTGTGATGATATTCATCTGTACATAGTTTTATATGGAGGTTTTTCAGGTTGATGCTGCTGGTTTTCATGTTGGATCCATATCGGATCACTGACATGATGTTCACCTGGGAGGCTCGAACCAGTTGCAGCAGAGTCATAAACATGATTCGGATCTACGCTCCGGGAAATGAAGCTCAGAGCAAAGGTCCAATGTCTGAGATTTGAGCCCACCAGAGCTAAACGACCACTTTGTGGCACTCTGTCACAGAATATTGGAAGGTTCTGATGGGTTGGTTGGATCAGCAGGAAGAGGTTCAGATGATCAAACTGCAGCTTCTGTTTGGAGGTACCTTTTTATTTAAGAAAACTTAAACAGGAAGTTAACATCTCCACAATGGGGATTGTCTGAAGTATAGAAATGTGACGGACATTCAGTTGGATGGTTCCTGCTGCAGCATGAAAAACGGCTCTGCACTTCGAAGGTGAAACTTGCGGTTGGTTCTCATGTTTTTAGATCAGAAATTTTTTATGTCGTGTAAATAAAGGTTTTGTGTTTTCTGTGATTTAAAGCTGAATGTAAAATAATAAAGTTGCACATTTTTAAACATTGGGAGTTCTTATTGAAATCATTATATCCTCCTGAGACCCAAGCTTTTTCTGTGTTATGCTATGGTCTGTGTTCACTTCACTTTGTTTTAAACAAATACTTTAAAATATGAACTTTGACCCTGGAAATTGTTCGTTTTTTTCCCTGAAAGAACAAATTTCTCCAGAGCGTTTCTCAATACTTTAAAATGGTCAATATCAATAAGCTTATCAATATATAAAAATGTCATTTTTGGAAGATTAGTTTTCCAAGAAAAACTGCTATGGAAGTTTGTAGGAGGAAGGCAACAACACTTGTAAAGTTGTAGTTTCCTCTAAATTCTTTGAAAATAAAACACTGGCATTTTAGCATATTTATGCATGTTACAACCCGGGTGTCTGGGGGGACCTGGGGTAACGGGGAGGACATGTCACTCCACAGACAAAAGTTAACAAAGGTGTTTTCTTTTCTTTTTCTTTCCCCAAAGGTCAAAACAACTAGATGAACTCAAACAGGCTTTTGTCCCGCAATAAAATTTAAACAAAGAGCTCTTAAACTCTCAAAAATACAGAACAAGTTATCTTATCCTTAAGTTCTTTAAAATATGTTAACAATGATCAAAAGTCTGAATGGGAGACAAATGCTAAAGGAAAGGCAGCTCTGAACGGTTTCTCCACCAGGATGTGCTCCAGAAGCCACCGATTCTAATCCCTCTCAGCTGGGTGCTTCAGGGCGGAGCAAGGAGGAGAGTGGTGCTGCAGAGTTGCTCTTCTTTGCACATGAGGGGATGAAATCAGAGGGAAAGAAACAGCTCCGGCCAAAACAATGTGAAGATAAATGTGTTAACATCATCAAAGTATAAAATGTGCTAAAATAAGAATGAGTTCAAATCAAAGGAAGAAAAATTGATTGTATATAAGAAATTCACTAGAAATATTCTAGAGGGTGGCACTTCATGTTTTGTTTAAACAAATGTCTCCTGTGCCCCAGACACAAGCCCCCCCCCCAGAGTCTGCCTTGGCCTGCATTGGGTGTCTGGTACCGTTCTTTAAGAAGGGGGGGGGGGGGGTACTGTCACATTCTTTCTCATTTCCCCAGTTTCTGTTCGTGTTAATTACTCCAACTTGCCTCTCATTAACCCAATCACTTGAGTTCCCAGTTCGTCATCTAAAACCCTGTCAGTCCTGTGTGTCTCTTCGGTTCATCGTTAGAAACCTTAAAATGTCCTAACCAGCCTGCTTGTGTGACTCACCTGCATTTGGAGCCTGACTTCAGCCCTCAGCTCAGCGCTCACATGACACTGGGTGGCAAGGCTCCAATGCTGGACGAGATCCGCCCAGAGTTCCTTAGACTCTGGATGTTAGGGTTCTGTTGGTTGATGCAGCTCTGCAATGTCGCGTGGACATCGGTGGCTGTTCCACTGGATTGGCAGGCTGGGGTGGTGGTCCCCCTATTTAAAAAGGTGGACAGCAGAGCGTGTTCCAACTAGAGGGGGATCACACTCCTGAGCCTCCCTAGTAAAGTATTCCAGGGTTCTGGATAGGAGGGTCTGGCGGATTGTCGAACCTCAGATTCAGGAGGAGCAATGTGGCCTTTTTTTCCTGGCCGTGGAACACTGGACCAGCTCTGTACCCTTAGGGGGCTCCTGGAGGGTGCGTGGGAGTTCACCCAACCAGTCTACATGTGTTATGTAGATTTGGAGAAAGCGTTCAACCGAGGGAACCTTTGGGGGGCACTTTGGTAGTACGGGGCACCAGGCCCTCTGATATGAGCTGTTAGGTCTCTATGTGACCGGTGCCAGAGCTTGGTCATTGCCGGCTGTAAGTCAGACTCGTTCCCAGTGAGAGTTGGACTCCGCCAAGGCTGCCCTTTGTCACCGATTCTGTTCACACTTTTATGGACAGGATTTCTAGTCACAGCCAATAAGGAAGCCAATTTTAATACATGGTCCCTGCTAAGCATACTCTCCATTGATGACTTACATGATTTGTTTTCACTGTTTAGCGGTTCTGCTTGTGGCAAGCCAATGTAACAATTAATCAACAATTGCACACCAGTTGTCCCTTTTTACATTGCAATATAAAATATATCCTAGTTCATAGTGTGTTCTTACTAGTCATTACAAATAAAAATAACAGCTATTGTGATACTAGTAGAAATTAAACGTATACAGTATTTGATTCACTATTTCATATCGGCTCAATTAAATTAATTTAGTGTAACTGAGTCATTCTTATGGGTTTATTCCTTCAGTCTGGCCAATATGTAACATTAGATAAAACGATGAGCTCTAAATCCTGACTGAAATTCTTCAAAGTGATTATTTAGGGAATAATTCAACTGATTTGAGACTACTTTTAGAAATAGGGGTTGGAGATAGGTCTATAACTGGCCAAAGTTGATCAAAATCAAGTTTATTAAGTAAAAGTTTAATTACAGCAAGGTTATAAGTCGAATGTTAAGACCAGGTTTATTCCCATTTTCTAAAGATAGAATCATTACGGAGGTGTTAATTAAATAAAACGTTCCTCAGACAGTCTGGTTGGGATGGTATCCAGCAGACATGATCATTAAGATGAGGTCTCTAATTCTGTAACCCAGAAAGATCAACAGGACAGAAACTGTCCAGACTCCAATCAGGTTCTACTGCCTTGCTAAAGTCCGGTGAAGATGGGGGTGTGGACAGTGTGAATTTCTCCTATTTACAAACATTTCACAAGACCGTCACTACTGAGGGTTGTGGTGATGCTAGGCTTATCTGGGCTGAGACCCTTTAATTTGTCTACAGAACCGTAGACTGCTGACCTCCTGTTTTCCCATCTTAACCTAGAAGCTGCTTTCTCACTGTAACTGTTGGCTGCGTTTAGTTGCACAAACGATTCATTTGCTTGTTTCTGGAAGGACTTAGTCCGGCTATACCAGCGTTCAACCAGCCAGTCAGTCCACAAAGATCTACTGGTGAAGTTAGTTAGAAACTCAACTGTTTGTTGAGACTCAGGTTAGCTGGTTATCCCATCGTAGACGCACTTAACGTCCCACGCTGATGTTGCAGATCTTGCAGCTTGGGTCTTTCTTGGCATTGAGGGTAGACAGACTCATCAGCTGATGCCCATTGATCTGTGATATCGTGCCAAGAGAAAGATCCACAGGCTCTGTGTAGATCACCTCCAGTATGACATCCTGAGCGTGACGGAAGGACAGAGCTCCGCTGTCTTCCTTAGTGAAAGTCAGGAAGCCGTTGTTGGATCTGTCCAAAACTGGAAGTCTTCCTTTACAAAAGGTGTCTCCTTTGGAGCCGTTGGGGGCCAGCACCAGGATGACGTAATGGTACGATGTGTACATGCAGTAAAAATCTCCGAAGTACATGTTGGTGTTGTGGTTGAAGAGGATGTCTGCTTGGACCTGTAAAAGACAAATTGACATCCTGCTTTTTGAATTAGAACGTTGCTTTGATGCTCTTGTTTTGTTAACAGGAGAGATATGTGATATGGCATTAGTCTGAGTCCACCGTCTGGTTTCCTCACATGGTAATGGGTTAAACGAACTACCGTCAGTGCTAAGATGAGGTGGTTGTGATGATGTTTGCATCCCATGAAAAACACCAAGGGTTTCACAAGGTTCTTACCAGCCCCTTTGTAAAAGAGCCAAAAACAACTTGAACACTGTCCTCTGAATGTAAAGCTCAAAAAGTAAATACATTCATTTTCTAAAGAGTCAAAAAAATAAACTAGACTTCTCAAACTTTTATGGTCAACAGATGAGAAAAGACGGATGTGCTTTCTGGATCTTAGACGTATTAGGTGGTCTGACTGATGTGTTCGGGTACCTGGAAGCGGTACGGTCCATATGGGGAATCCTGTGGAGGTTTTCCTGTGTTGAACTCAGTGTTGCAGCTGAAGAAGATCCCCTCCAGTTTGTTGCTGATAGGTGACCCATGGCTGCCACTGTTGTCTTTCACTGATGGCAGCATCTGGCAGCGCTGAGCGTCTCTGGATGGATATGAGCGGCCGTTCGAACACACACACACACACACACACACACACACACACACACACACACACACACACACACACACACACACACACACACACACACACACACACACACACACACACACACACACACACACACACACACACACACACACACACACACACACACACACACACACACACACACACACACACACACACACACACACACACACACACACACACACACACACACACACACACACACACACACACACACACACACACACGGTTACAGTGCTGTATAGTGTTAAACGCTCCCATGTAGCTGCACTTGAGCAGGACCCACCTGTTAGGTTGGAAGTACTCCTGCTGGTTTCTGTAGAAGACAGTGAAAGGTAACATCCTGCCGGCAATCGCTTCCGCCTTCTGCAAGAGCTGCATCAGCTGGACGGTGGAGTAATCTAGAGACACAGGTTGGTTTATTCACAAATACTCAGTAATTTTTCTTTTGTTCTTTCTGAACATCCATCTATCCATCCATCCATTCATCAATTTTTGTCCGTTTATCTGGAGTCGTGTCGCAGGGGCAGGAGGCTAAGAGGTCAAGACTTCCCTCTCCATCTAAATTGAGAGCTTTGCCTTCTGGCTCAGCTCTCTCTTCACCATGACAGACCGGTACAGCGCCCGCATCACTGTAGACGCAGCACCAATCCACCTTTGGATGTTGCGCTCAATCTTTCATACCAAAATTCCTCCACTTGGGGCAGTAGTTCATCTCTGACCCGAGTAAGGCTCTCTTTTCTAGCTCAAGACCATGGTCTCGGATTTATAGGAGCTGATTTTGATCCCAGTTGCTTCACACTCGGCTGCGAAACGCTCCAGCGAAAGCAGGAGATGTTCGATCCATTTAGTTTTTCATTTTTTAACTCGTGTTCAAGGCACTGGAAAAATGCTGTTCAGAAAATAACCTCCTGAAGTTTGTAGAACCATCCAATTCCCATAGTAATCGTTAGTATTTCAAAAGCTGAACTTAACTTTAGAAACTTTCCAGGCATTCAGTTTAGCTTCTGACCTGCTGTGCAGAACTCTGTGATCTCGCTCCAAGAAGAAACAACGTACTCTCCATCTGGCTGTTTCACCGCGGTCTGAACTGACACCGTGTATTGTGTGCGAGGACTCAGGAACCAGTGACCTCTGACTGTCATCGGCAGAGGCACCGCCTTCGCTACCAGCTTAGTTGGTACATCCTGGAAAACAATCAGATTATTGTGCAGGTTGTTCAATGCATAATAATCTGTAAATGCAAAATGCCCTCAAACGTCGCAGTGACTGATAAATCCTAACAGCACCAGTCATAGTCCAGATTCCAGTCACCCACTTCATGGCACCCACCATGTGTTTGACCTTGTGGGAGCTTCTGTCCTCCTTCTTGTTCAGGTCAATGAAGTAGTGTGTGATCTGATCCCGACCTCCGCTCTCCATGTCCCAGCTGATCTTAAAGGAGTCACATGTGATGTCATTGATCTGGATCCTCTGAGGAACTGGCAGATGGTCCACATCCCCAATCCTGCTGCCTGCAGACTCTGAGCCTGAAAAACCAAGAGTTTCAACCATCAGAACCAGATGACACCGACAGATTTCTCCCCACCGTCCGGCAGGATCCTTGTTGTATCTAATTTTTTTTCCTGGACAACTTCCATTTTAAACTCATCTGAGCAATTTTGATTAGTTGAACATACACAAGAAGTATTTCAGATATGAATACGTTTGAGATTGAATTGTCTACCTCTTGATTATGTACCTAGGTGAGTTTCTTCTCACCATTCTGAAAATCAACATCCCTTCCTCCACTGTGATGGAGGGACATTATAATATGAGAGGATTATTTTTAGAGTCACAGTGAGAGATTAACCGTTAAAGGTCGAACTCGGCTGATCCTGAATCTAACTCTAATTCATTGCAGAGACAATCAGACGGAGCAGAAAACAGCTAACTGGATTCATTTCATCCTTTAAAACAAGTACACTTCAAGATGGGACAATGAAGAGGAAATGGTTAGAAATTTGATTCTGGCAACAAAACAAGCTAATTGAATCACAAGCGCAGAGGCTTGTGTCACCCAGATAAACAGTTCTGTTTTGTATCTGTTAACCACACTCCTCTTCCTCTCCGTCTCCTCATCCCCTCTCCTCTTGTGTCTGAGGACAAAAGGCTTCAGTCAGCAGAGACTGAGAGCTTGAAGACCGAACAAGGAGCCTGTTGAGGAGGCGAGGACCTCTCTGAACTCATCCTCACAAAAAACTACAGGGAGTTCCAAACTTCACAGGCTGGGAGCCACTTTCGCTAAATGTACTGAGGTCAAAGGTGGAATCAGCACTTGTTGGTGTTTCACCTAAAATAACACTTTTAAAGTCAAACAGTTTAACTTCAAAATATTTTGAGTCGGTTTATTTTAGACTAAAAAAAGACAACAAAATAAACCCCCACTAGTTTTTATAATGGTGAATATAAAATAAAGTATTAATAAAATATCTTTAATCCACATTAACACCAGAAAAGACTAATAGAACAAAACGGTAACTTAAATACTTCTGCAGATGAATTATGATTAGTTTAACAGTCAGGTCAGTGATCTAATTTTGAAGCTGTTTTTCTGTCACCATCCTCCTCTTCATCCCTCCATCCCACCAGTAAATAGAGGTGGTGAAGCATCTATTCACTCATCCTGAGAAGGTGATTATTCACAGACACAGAGCTCAGGCTGGAGCTGCGGCTGCCAAACTATAAAGACACCGAAACAAACTGTTGCCTCGTTGAAACCTGAGAAGGTTCCTAATCTGTCAGACAACATCTGAAAGGTTACTGATGTAATTTCTAAAAGCAGAGCTGATCCAGTATCCTTTCTCCTAAAATCAGCTAATCAATACGAACTGGATGAGTTAGATCCTTCTCAGACCGATCCAGGTTCCCCAGATGAAATCTCTCCAGTCATGCTTTCAAGTATTTTGGCCCTATCGGTCTGCTGAAGCTGGACCAACACTCTTTCCTGTAACAGAAATTCTTCCAGAACAGTTTCTCAAATGTTTTCTAGTTAAATTGTGACTTTCAAAATCTGTTGAAAAACAAAACTCCATCTCCATCGTCTCCATTTCCACCTGCTCCATTGATAAGATGGATGTAAATCCCAGCAGCATGACACAAATCAGCTGCAGTAAATCTACTCACAGCAACAAAAGTGCATGGACAGATTTTAAATGAAACTTCAATCTTCTCTTCATGCATGCAAACAACTGCAGGAGGACAGTTAAAAATGCGTCAAACATCTGCACTGATGTTTTCCCTTATTGTTCAGGATACATGTCGGATGTATTCCTAAATGTAAAAAATTTAGTTTTTCCGTCGGAGCAGCTGAGCCCGTCTTCCCTCCAGTCTCCTGACATTGCTGCTTCAGGAATTTGTTTTCATTTGGACTTTGGTTCTGACTATTTGCGGCAACATCTGCAGGCTTACAGGTGCAGCAACAGCCCAGATGTTTGACCTGACTTACGGCAGCAGCTGCATCTTCAGCAGGGTTTTCAACAAGCAGACATAAACAATGTTTAGATTCTGCAGCTGTGGCTCAACAACACTGTGGTTGATGCTGTAGAAAAGTGAGGACATGGTGATGTACAACAAAACTCAACAACCAGTTTTCAAACTTCTGTTCTAAAGTTTAAAAAGTCCTGAGGAAACATTCTGAAGAGTATTGGTGGACCTCACGGGTTCTGCTCATAATGTGAAAAGATACACACTCTGACCTTTGTGGTTGTCCAGCTGCAGACTCTCCAACGCCACATCTGGACTGTCTCGGCTTTTCTGAGGCTCCATCATAGTCCCAAACGTCACGGAGATGATGGCAAAACCAGAAGAAAAAAAATAGCTGCTCTAGTCTGCAGCTTACTTGTACTCTCTCCCTCTCTCTCTCTCTCTCTCTGCTGTGACATCACAGGACAATCAAACACAGAGAGAGAGATAGAGGGAGAAAGTCAGATTTCATCGTATTTCTACTTCCCCGTAAGTTTGATTCACATACAAAACTGACCTTTAAGAGTTTTTTTCTTCGGTAAAACAAATGTAGGATTTCTGTGATATCATAATCCAGTTCTCAGATTAACTTGTAATTAAGTTAACTACAATTTAAGCTTTGACTTGAGTGGTAGCTGTCAGGTAGAAACGCTTCCTGTTTGAAATCTAAGTCACTTCTCCCTCCTGCTGTGAAACAGGAGGAGCAGCTGCTGCAGATGTTCGACTGACAGATCGCTTGCTGCCTCAGATCGACGTTCTTCTGTGGATTAGCGCACATCAGTTGATGGAGGATTACAGGCTGCTTACGTAAGAGGATAAACTGCAGCTCAGAGAAAGTTGCTTCCACACAGCATCTACCAAGAGTTTTTTTTAATCATGAGAAGATTTAACAGTTCACTTCTTCACCACGTTTTATTTTCTCTCACACTTCCCCATCCTCTGTGCCTCATAACGTGGCATCGGGCTGTTTGAAGCCACCCTGTTGATGTGGAAGTCCTACATCTGATGATGTGTCCGTCTAAATTCCAACACAAAAAAATACAGGAGAGCTGCTATTTTTTTCAGATCTTAGTATTTTTATTTCCATTAATTAGGATTAGAAATAATAAAAGAGGACAAATCACATCAGTTTTCTTTTATCACATGAAAACCCTCCTGAATGTCCACATTTCCTCCTCTCGCCTCAGATTGGTTCTGATTCAGCATCACATTGTTGTTTCCAGTTAATTATGGCAGCAAAGACATGCAAAATACCTCTGTACAAACTGGATATCCTATCTTTCCTGGTACAAAAATAAGTTCTAAGTGCTTCTCACACTTTAATACTGTCTCTGCTTCAGCATGTTCATGGCTCAGACGTGTTGTCTGGTCAAAAACACAAACCTTAAAACAACGAAGAAGCATGCTGCTACTTTCAAACAGATTCATCCTCAAAGCTTTAAATCACAAATGATGATGCTGCAACACAATATATTCAATCAAAAGTTTCAAACTTTAGTCTTGTTTGCAGGTGATCACGTCTGCATCCACCCATTTAAAAAGTTTAGTTATCAAGTGTTTTACAAAACAGCAGCTTTTCAAACCAGATGTTTTTTTAAGGTTTTACCTCAGTGACCACGTGCAGATGAAACTGGTGTTGTTTACAATACTGGCACTGGAAAAAACCAACGGGTTTCCCTGTAAAGCTCCGAAGAGGAGGTGAGTTTTAGTCACTTCAGACTTACAAAAAGAAACAAAAACAATGTGCAGATACAGACACTAAACAGACCACAACCAACCAACCAAACACAAGCTTCACACAACTCTAAATGACTTTCAATTCTAACATTTTGCACTTTGAAGAAACAGACCTGGTCAACAAAAGATGAACACAAAGAAGAACTTTAAAAAAAATCTAATGACACAAATAACTGATTTGGAGGGACACCAGCTGTGAGTTACAGAACCCGTAGGCCCCTCCCACTTCCTCTGCTGGGCTTCGGCTAATATTTTAAAGCAGCAGGGATTGGCTTCGATTATCAAATAAAAAAAATATGACAAAAATGACTGTTCTGTGGAAGTGACAACATTGTGTTTTGATTTTATGGGTTTAGTCTATCGTCTGAACTCCGATAAAACCGAGAACTTCGTGTGTTTCAGTTCAAATCTGGATTTTATCAGAACAGGGTGGTTTTTACATTAATGTCTCGAATCAGTAAGTTGTTTTGAAGCTATTTAAGAAGCCACGTTTACAAAAATAAGATTTTTCTTTAAAATTAATTAACATCAGCATGAATTTGAGACAAAAAATGAGATGAAATTAATTTCAGATGTTAAAAAGATGACTTCAGACTTCTTAAAAAACCATGGAACACATTTTACAATTTTTGTTGTGTTTAAATCTTGTTTTAGTTAAATTATTCACTTTTATTTATGAAAACACAACTGGCTGCTGTATAACATCATGCCCAGTTACCACTGAGAGAAAAGGTGATAACTGGTAATTTTTGTAAACATATTGTAGAAAAGGTGGTCAAATTAACTGATGAGACCAACAGCCAATCACAGGCCATCTGAGCAGATAATTCAGGTAATTAAAAAGCAGAAACAGGTTGGATGAAGAAGGGAGGGAAGTGACAGGTGAAACCTTTGGCTTCAGGACATTTGACAGGTCCAAAACATGCTCTGGTGGCAGTTTTCTGTGATCTGATTCAAACTCCAGAGTTAGGACTTTTTTAGATTGAAGTAGAAGATCTCAGATGGTTTATTTTCCTGCCTGTAAAATCAGCAGCTATCAGCATGAAGATGCATTCACGCTCTGCTAGGATAAAAAAGAAGCAGCTGAGAATCAAGCTCCCTCGGGCAACCGATCAGATGTCCATCTGCTCACAGCACCAGAATGAACTCATTCAGATCTAAAAAAAAAGAAGGCATTGAAGTTTAAAAGCAGCCAAAGAAATCTTCCTCTCTGGATGTTCTAGAAAACGCCGTATCCGTCACTGTGGCGAGCTGCTACAGCAAACGCAGGGAAGCCCTCAAAGGTGGTGTAAGCAGTCAGGTCCTGACCCAGGGAAACCGCCTGCTTCAGCTGGGAGGCAACTGCTGATGATGCTGGGCTCGTCAGAGCGTAGCCTGCAGACACACACACACACACACACACACACACACACACACACACACACACACACACACACACACACACAGACACACACACACACACACACACACACACACACACACACACACACACACACACACACACACTTAAACTTTATATTATTTTATAAATGAAGTAAAATTGACATCTTGTGGTAAAATTTGGTCATTGCAGCTGTAGTGTTTATGTCTGCAAATGGAAAGTTACTTTCTGGTCATTTTGTTGGTGAAAATTTGACCACTTGGTGTGTTACACAACCACTTTAAACAACTCTGGAGCTTTTTGCCGGCCATAATCAAATTCCAAATGTCAGCGCTGCAGTATTAGCTCACAGGAGGCACGGCACCCCCACACTCACTGATGATAAACAGTAGTTACGTCCCTCTTTTTTGCTTTGTTTTGAAAGGAGAAAAACTGACAATTTCCGCAGCCAGCTGGATGTAAGATATGTCTCAGTATAACCTTCCTTCCAAAATGACTGAAACATCAGACTCTTTTGGGATTTTCTCACTGTAAAATTCTCACTTTATTCCTACATACTGCACCTTAAAATAAATGCATCTGATCTTTGCTTACTGTCTTTTTTCATATGTGTTTCAGAACATTAGAGGGTTGTTGAGTGAGGAGTTAGTGGGTTTGGGTACGGACCTTCACATACCTGGGAAGGCTACTGAGGCCACAGCAGCTGCACTAGCAATGCTGGCATCAGCAGCACCCTCTGTCTGCAAGCCGAGTATCTGCAGAGTGTGTTCAGCCGCGTGGATCTTAGCTTCTTCCACAGATGTACAGAGTTTAGCAGGAGTGAAGGGATGTCTGCAAAGAGATGCAGCGTCAGCACCTAACTCACTGAGGAGGGTAAAACTATTTCAGTTCACTGTTCAGTTCAGTTCATGTGTGATCTATTTCAAATTATATCAAATTCAGTCCATGTCATGTCAACTTGATTATAATAAGTATTTACATTTCATATCGGTTGAAATATATTATACATATGTATTTAATTAGCAGTTATCATTTTCACATAGTTATTGGTTTGTCTTTACACACACCCACGCACACACACACATACACATACACATACACACACACACACACACACACACACACACACACACACACACACACACACATCTTATATAGTATATTGTGTTATGTTATCTTATAATATATTATATAACACATGGGATCACTCTCTACTCACACATTGGGGTGCTGAGAGGCCAGAGCAGGGATGGTGATCTTATAGAGAAACAGCTGTCTCTGGTCTGGACTGATGGCAGAATGTAACTGATAGACCGGTTGGCCCCAGTTGTTCTTCTGGCACAACTCCTCCAAAACCTAATCCAAAACGAACCAAGCATCACACAAACACTCATCAGTTTCACCCTTCAACAAATACAAAAGCTAGGCGTAATAGCAAAACTGGGATGCAGCACCTTCTAGTGGCTGGTTCCAGTACAAGTTCGATGCTATGTATCTTAGATGTAAACATCAGAGGTCGATTCTCACCTCACTCAAAAATAGAAATATGCCTTGGTCTTGTTTTACCTAGATGAGTTAATTTGATTAGTGCTAGTCAAGGGCGCAGATAGGATTTTCAAACTGGGGGGGACAAAGTTCCAATGTACCCTCCCCCAAACACACACACACACACACACACACACACACACACACACACACACACACACGCACGCACGCACGTACACATACACAAGCAATTGCAAGAGCCTTAACTAGAGCTCAGTCAGTTTGTGTAATTTCATCCAATGATTTACAAAAAAACGAACACTATTATATACGTGTTTGAAGCCATTATGCAATGGAACGCTGGCAACAAATCTCTGCCTGATCAACACTATCCAAGTCAGTCATTTGTTATTCTCCCAATCAATCACTAACCAAAACCTCATGCTTTATGCTAAACATGTTTTATTTAAACATTAACTGATTTTCAGCATACCAGTCTTTACAGAAAACATAAAAAGCCCTATGTAAAAATCTGCACATAAAATATAATAAAAAACGATATTCACTTATCGCTTAGAGCAGTGGTTCCCAAACTTTTCAGTCTCTGACCAACAACATTTAAATTTATGAAGCCTATCACCCCGACTCTCGGTTTCTGAGTCAGTTGAAAAAGCGGCACAGTGAGAACACAATCAACATCAATAACTATATATATTGACCAATATATTTGCTTTCATCAGTTTGCTTTGATTTATAAAAATTAGTCGCTTTCTAATTGCCATTAGAGACATTTACATTTCTGATATTTACATGTTTTTCTCAAGAGGATTTCAAGACCCCACACTTACATGTTTGTGACCCCAAGTGGGGTCCCATCCCCATCTTTGAGAACTACTAAATTAGAGTGCCTTGCATACCCATTAACTATATATATATATATATAAGTATAAGTATAAAAACATATAGTCTACAAGACAGTTTTAAATTCACTCAGGCAAACAAAAAAGCTGTCCAGAAAAAGATTAAGTAAAGGACCCAAAAACCTCTCTCCTTCTTCCAGTCCCCTCTACATAATACTGGGCAGTTCTGTTCAAACTGTCCAGCCCTTTGAGCGCCAGAGTTTTTACAAGAAAATATTAAATTTTGACATGACTATTTCAAAAGGTTGTAGCTTGGATATGGTTAGAGATAAAGCTAAACTATAGAGAGAAAAATCTTCAGTAGGACCCATAGTTTGTGTTGGGAGCAAATCCACTCATCTAATTTGCATATTATGATGTCATCAGGCTGCCGTATTTGAATGCATAATTTTCACAGATGTTACTTCTTATTTTTAAGTTATTTAGAAATTTTCCTTATATTTGGAAAGTTTTAATTTATTAATACATAAATAAAGCTCTTTTTAAATGTTATATTTTACTTTCATTTTTATGATTATGTGGCACACTTTGACTTCCATATAAAACGCATCGCATTTGTCCCTTTTTTTATGGCTTTTTTTTACATTGTCGCTACGTCTGTCACATTTGCTGTGTTATTTACCATCATTTCTACATCCATCATATCCCAAAGAAGGTTAAACAAACATCAAACCCAATGTTTGGAGTTTGTAAGCTCCACACACCTCTCGTGCAGCACCAGCTGTCTGATGCTGCAGCAGTGTCAATCTGTCCGGCTGGATGAGTGAATTTCTTCATCAGAGTCAATAATCGGGTTCATAATCGGAGTCAGTCATGACCAGACAAAGCAATCAGTCAACAAAGACCAGACTGGCCGGCAGTTATAGGTTTTATCCACTTAATATTTGCCCTTCATGTTGCGCGTCTCCACCTCTCCCCGACTGCGAGCCTCTCAGCAGGAGGCGTTTTTCAAGCTCTAAAAACTTCGAAACTTTGCTCAGCCTGAAGGTTACACATCTCCGCTATCTTCTGGTGAAAAGTGGTAACTTCATGAGTGATCATATTTGTAGATTTGTTAAAGTCAGCAATGAAGCTTGTCACAATACTGCAACTTTGGCGCTTATAAGTCCCAACACTGACAACAACGTACTGAAACTAGAACCAACATGCATAAACAGACAGATTGGTCCAGCCTACTTACACTGTTGGTCTTTTTTAAAAATGCAGTAATCGTTGCTTGCCTTTCTCCGCTTCATCCTGCGTTCTAGCAGCAACCACAGTTGCACCTCTGGAGTCGGTATTTGTTTACATCATGCTGCATTCAATGTAATTGGAAAAATGAGCTACAAGCGCTTAACCTCCGATTTTGTTTTCTTTCTTGCCTTAACGGTGTGTGTGTGTGTGTGTGTGTGTGTGTGGGGGGGGGGGGGGATCGGGGTCAATCTAAATCTGGGGGGGACAGATCCCCCCCAATCGCCCCATCTATCTGCGCGTCTGGTGCTAGTATATTTTAATGGTTAAACATTTATGTGTCGCAATATGTTAAGCTGTAATTAGTTATTTGATGCTTAAAAATCACCATGCTTGTGTGCAGGTGTGTAGGTGGGACGTTCAGACCCAAATCCACAGAGTTCAGAGTCTGGCACTAAAAATTCAAAATGGCAGCTCCTGTGAATGAGATATCATGGCTTGACTTTTAAATAGCAGAAGAAGGCAGAGACACTTTGTCCACCTTTGTATCTGTTGGTGGTTTCAGCAGGAATGCACATTCAGTTTCCTCTGTTCCAGCCTCTCCTTTAGTTTGGATGACCTGACCTGTGGTTTCACTTACAGGAATCCTGGTGTTCAGGTGTGTTCCGTTACCTGTGTTGCTGGTTTGATGCCGGGGGCCTTCAGGCTCATGGCAGCTGGGTTCATTGGGGTCAGCTCCATCCCTGGCAGCAGGTCATAAAGCTTCTCTTCAACCTGCTTGTCTGCCTTCAGGCCATAAGAGGCACCACTGGCGCTGCGTCCCACGGTTCCGCCCCCGGCTGCGTAGGCCAGGTAGCCCCGCCCACCCAGCCCTCGTACCCCCGCAGCCCCTACAGGTACAGTCATGTAAATTTCTACAGGAGATTGAAAAGGCAGTAAATCAATCAAATCACTGAAAATCAACCAGGAAGAAGAATTACACACCTAACCAATCAGAGCGAAGAAAGATAAACACGGTGACAGCATCTCTAATCTGCAGGATTATTCATCCAAATGATTTTTTTTTTCATAAAATTTACTGACATTTTGATTTATTTGATTTCTGCTGATGAGAGTTTTCTGATTTTTAAAACACATTTTAAAATATTCAGATGATTAGCAAAGTTCCTACATTGATGGTTTCCGAAGCCCCATCCCTCACTGCCACAGGATGTTTTACAGTCAAATCAATCCAGGTTTTTTAGGAGTAGTTCACTGATTTTACAGATCTGAGTCAATTTTTTAAATCCTGGATCTAAATGCAAAACATCTAACTGCAGCTGAGCTGTGATTGGACAGTCTGTCTTTGTGGGTGGGGCTTAACAAACAATCGCACTCTCACAAATCTGTTAGATCATGTTAAAACACACTGCTGTTTCTCTTGTTGACAGTAGCATGTTTATTGTGACCTCTGAACAGATGTTTGACCTTCATCTTTTTGTCTTCTTGTGATTTGGACAGGTGCCATGGTTACCTCCTTACCTCTGACAGACGGAGTCCTGATCAAACCTCGACCTCCTACATGAGCTTTGGCTGCAGGGAACCGGAACGGACCCGGTATGGCTGCGTATGCCTGAGGGGCGTAAAACACAGGAGCACCGAGATATGCTGCTGTCGGGTCGTACACCTGAAAAGGAGCAGAATGGGTGAAATGCTTCAGCGGACTGAATTAGTCATCGTCTATGTAACTACATCTGGTTCAGGTGAGAAACGTCTGAACACAGATGCTCCACCTCAACAGGATGAAATCCTCTGAGTTTAAACATCTTCAGACATCTCCCTCTTGTTTATGTAGCCCAGTCAAGGATCCAAATTCAACCCTTATTTCTGAAATGTATGGTCAAGAAGCCTAATCAGTGAAAATATGTAGAAATCACGAATGGATCAACTCTGAGGAGAAGAAACATGACATCCATGAGCCCAGAAATCATTAACAAAGAAACCTTTAGATCAGGGGTGTCAAATATGTGGCCCGCGGGCCGGATTTAACCCGCAAGCAGGTTAAATCCGGCCCGCAAGATGGTTGTGTAAACTTTATTTTCATACTTTACAATGTAGAGTTAAAGTAAACTTATCTTTGTGAGCAAGTTTTCTCTGTAATGAGTATAAATAAAACAAAGCTGCGCTCAAGGCTCACACAAGAACTTGAATCACATCCTGAAGTTGGCTGCCACTCAGGATGAGACTTCTGATGTTGATGTGCCGATGAAAGCTAAAAGATGTAAAGTAAATCGAGTTGAATTTACTTAAAGTGCTGCATGAAACTGATCTAGCCTTGTGATCTGTAAGCTCTGAATCACTAAGGAATGTTTTTTTATTGATTTATTAATTTTTATTTATTTCAAATTTTCAAGTACACTTCAGGTGTTGTACTTGTACTATTTTGGATACACTGTCCTCAGGCTCCAGCCTTGTTTTATATTGATTGTATTAAAACAAAGAAAACAATCTGAAGTTGTTTTTAATTTACCGGTCCGGCCCACTTGGGACTAGATTTCACCTCAATGTGGCCCCTGAGCTAAAATGAGTTTGACACCCCTGCTTTAGATATATATCAGTCAGTTGGGAGCTGCTGAGTGGCTTATAAGAGGCTTCCTGTTCTGCCTGCTGTTGGGGGAGCAGCTGATTGTGTACGGTTTCCTCCACTTGGTCAGCTGTGTTTGAACTTTGTGCTGTTAGTAAACTCTAGTGGTTTACTGGTGTAGAATTGCTTCTTAGTAGCTTTTAGACCTATTTGTGATTGCATAGGGAGTTAGATCTCCACTGGTTTAATTCAGGTGTGGTAACTGCTATTGCCCTTTTTCATTTGAAGTCTGGTAAAAAGATGAGCATGAACCTCGTTTAACCAAAATAGCCTAGAAGCACATTGAAACATTGCAGCACCAACTTCACTGTGACCCACATTACCATATCTGGCAGCTTTCGCAATTATGTCATTGTGGTCCTACCTGACTCAGTGTGTAGGGGCTGTAGTCAGTCTGCAGAGCCGAGCCTCCTCTTCCTCCAGTCCCTCGGGTGTATCGAACATAGCTGTCTTTGTCCACCGGTTTGGCCAGAGTCACTTCAATCGGAGATCCATCTACTACCTGCAGGGGGAAGAGGGTAAGGTTTACCTGCACACCATGAAACAGGTGTATTAATAGGTGTGGTGCAACGATGGTAGAGGAGTTAAGTGGATGGTTGCAGGTTCCTCCAACCACCACCAGCTGGCAAGGAGGTTCCACTGCTCAGTCTCTCGTAGTCCTTGGACAAGACACTTCACCCTCCTTGCCTGCTGGTGGTGGTCGGATGGTGAAATGTACGGCCGTCTCACTTCCATCAGTGTGTCCCAGGGCAGCTGTGGCTATGGTGTATGGTGTAGCTAAATGGCCCTAAATAAATACAAACCATTCACCATTCAACCCACTCAGAGAAAGGTATGTTAAATTATTCTGCGACAGGTCGGTCTACTCTAAGAGACGAGTCAGTCGTCCTTGAGACTGGTTTCTGTATTGACTGCACAGCAAAACTAACAGTGTATACGGAGTCAGAAGCATTAGAAAACATTATCAGATTATAATTTACAGGATTATTTTGTTTTGCCACAAGAACTAAATGACTGTTGACCTTCCCATTGAGAGCTTTCATGGCGTTGATGGCATCTTCTCTCTGACCAAAATGTACAAATGCGTAGTCTCTGATCTTCTTCACTCGCTCCACCGCTCCTGTAAAACACACACACACACACACACACACACACACACACACACGCACGCACGCACACACACACACACACACACACACACACACACACACACACACACACACACACGTCTCAGATTTCTTAAGAAACAAAACTTCTGATCATCTATTTTCAGCTTCATCTTCTATTTAATCTTTTGATGCGTACAAGAAGAGAAAATATTAGAAATATCCTGGAATGTCTGAGATATTTATGTAAATTATCTTTGAAGACATAATGCTAAATGTGTCCATCCTAATTTTCTGAGATATTCTCATGCGGACAACAATACAGTATTTTTCAGTCGCTAACAAGCGTTTGTCCAAACAGTTGTCACCTTTTCAAAACTCTAAATACAAGTAGCACAGCATCAGTGTTTGGTGGCCATACAATTCACACGTTTCATGTCGTTTTCACACTATATGCAGTCAGTCAACAGATTTCCATAATGCTTACATTGTCTTAACAGAGAAGCTATTCCTCTCAACGAATCTATGGATTGTTTTTGTAGTAGATGGTTGGGCTAGAAGGGGTTTGTGGTAGCGAATGCTCAGGAGTGGCCATTTGAGTAAACTGCTTATACTGTAGCTGCTACTTTGTCGGTGAAGAATGAGGCAAAGGTGTCAGCTGATAGATTGTTGGTAGGAGGTGGAGAAGGAGGGTTGAGCAGAGGTTTGAATGTTGAAAATAGTTTCTGAGAGTCAGTAGAGCTGAGAATTTTGTCAGTGTAGAAAGCTTTCTTTGCATCAGTGATGCTGGCAGAGAATGAGGACAGTAATTCATGAAATTTCTTTTTTTTTTATCCACGTGTCCGGCTGTAAAGCTATCAGAACTGATTTCTAAGTGCTGTAAACAAGCCTTACACTTTTACTCTCGCAGGTGGAGTGTTATAGACTCAGTTTTCAGTTGTTTTAATCCCAACGGACACAGGGACAGAAATGAAAGATAAGGTGTGTGTGTGTGTGTGTGTGTGGGGGGGGGGGGGGGGGGGTCATAAAAACAACCAAAAAAGGATGTGCAAGAATTTTAGAGAGAGAGAGAGAGAGAGAGAGAGAGAGAGAGGAAAAAGGGGGACACAGACAAAAAAAACAAAACAAAAAAAAAAACTACAGAACCAAAATACTACTGTGTAAATGACATGAGGATGTATAAAAGTAAAACTTTTGGCTGAAAAACACACAGTAATAATTCATCGTGCATTTAGAGCCAACCACAGCCTTAGGCTATGTGTCAAAAACACCTTGTTAGAGCACCATGTGAGCACCTGTGTGTGTACACGTGTGCACTTGTCTATGTAAGCTTTCTCTACAGGAGTGACCAACAGTGATGATGATACATTTAAGGAATGTCTGACATGCATGTTTTGTCATATTTTACCTGGTTTCAGGCTGTTGAACTCCTTCTCTATGGTTTCTTCTGTCGTCTGCAGCATCAGATTCCTCACATACAGAATCTTGACAGTTGCCATGGTGTCCTCATCCACCTCCACCTCAGGCTCTGCCCAGTCCACGGCGATGGGATGGCCCCACAGCTGGATCCGACCTGAGACAGTGCAGGGGTGATTGAACTGTGAGTTATTAAAGACAGAAATTGTGGTGAATCTGATCTGTTTTACATGTTTATTCATCATCATCATCATTATCATCATCATCATCATATATGTAAAGCACTTTCCTACAACCAATAAAGGATCAAAGTGCTGTACACTGCATAATGTAAAAAAACAGAAGAACCTTATCGAAGTCCGAAAAAGCATCAAACCCAAAAGAGTGAAAATGAAAAAAAAAAAAACGTTTTTTTTTTGTGTGAAAACCATCTCAACCTGTTTTAATCAGAGCCAGTCTGAGAATGAACATGTAACAACTGATTGAGGGTAACACAGTCTGATTATTTTTATGATGGTGTGTTTATTTTAAGATATCTATCTAATGCAAAGAACTGATCACAGCTGCATGTGTTCACAGGAGAACCACGGCTTCATCCTAATGAAGTGGATCACAGGCACACAAATGTAAGTAGATCCATGTTTTTGAGACACAAAAGAAAGAATATTCACTTCATATTTGGTTTATTGTTCAACCATAAAAACTGAGTCTGAAAGAAGACTGAACAGAAATATAAAAATCTGGTGAGCACAACGAGTTCTTAGATTGTGGTTCCTACCTGGCAGCAGTTTGCGTCGGGCCATGGCAGCAGCTCGGTGACTTTCGTACTCCACGAAGGCGAAGCCTCGGTTCTTTGATTTATCTGCAGCACTGGGGTAGACGATAACATCTACAACCCCTTCAGTGACCTTCCTCATCTCTGTCAGAATCTCCTCACGCTTCTTGGTTTTAGGAATCCCCCCCACAAACAGACGACAGTTGTCGACGCTGGCGCAAACACCAAGGAGGCGTCCATTCCTGCACAACAACAGGAATGTTAGAGGTCAAGTCATGTGACGGTCGATGAGGTTATGTGGAGGCGATTCAGATGTTTGTAGATGGTTTTCAGGTTTTAGGTGCTGTTATGAAAACTCCCAAGTTTTTAAATGATTTTGAAGTTTTAGATATAATTTCAGAACATCTTGAGGTGTTTTTCTTTTCTTTCACATTTTTAGATGGTTTAAACATTTGAAGTGGTTGACCAGTAAAATATTTGGTACATTGTTGGTTTTTCAGTGGTTGTCAGAGTCCATCCAGCTGGGATGTTTACAGTGTAGCATAGTTAATCTACATAACTAGGATTTAACACTGTTTGCTATGCAGCTTTGCTAAATCCTGAGAAAGATCAAACAATTTGGCTTATGAACTTATATTATACATAGATATCCACGGATATTTATATAATCGATAGAAGTTCATACACCAACTGGCTTGGTCTATATTTAATCCAAAGATTAATATGTAATTTAAGAGATTTAAATTAAAAGCAAAAGTGTATTTATTAGTTAAGAATTTATTACTAACAATTTAAAGATGACAATTTAAAAGACAATTCATAAATGACAATTTATAAAAGCTTTGATATTAAAACCTGGTTTTAAAGCAACCTGTGTCTGGATGAAAACTAAAATGAAATGCGTGTGTTTGGATGTGTGAATGTAGTCTCAGAAGGTTTCTATCAGAGAGAGAAAAATGCATTCTGGGTGAAAGAGTTTGTTTTGCAGCTAACTAAATTATTTCTTAAAGAAACAGGCATACGGACGTAATCTGTGTTCTACCTCACCGTTCAGACGACCCTCTGTTTTGATCCGGAGGTCAAGGGAGGATGCTCATTAGCCTCGGGGTACTCGGTCCGGTAGACGAGACCAGTGGTACCGACTCTCTGGTCCTAGAGTTGCCGCAGGTACACAGGTGGATGGTTTTACGTCTTAAATTAACTCTGATGGAGTTTTACGTCAGCTGGTGGCAGATGGCGTTTCTTGTTGAAGCAATTCTATCAGCGTGACAGAACAGCTTAGTAGAGGTTTCGAGCGACCGACCCGATACTCTGGACTCTCGTCGCCACGGAGAGGTTTTGATGAGCTCAAGAACTGAACTTGAACTGAGGAGTTTTGGTTTTACATACCTCAGGACACACCCTCTCAGAGATAGAAAGCTTTGGTGTTATGGAGCAAAGACATGTGAGAGCAGTTACCTTTAACCTGATTTCAGTGTCCTGCATGATGTGTATAAGTGCACATGACCTTCTGTCACTGATCAAACATTACTGATTATCATTAATAATAATTATTATTAACCAAAGAATTATAATTCATTTCAGTAATTAAATACATTTATAATGAACCATGATGATTATTTATGAACCTTGTAATAGGACAGTGAAGAGTTTATTAAAAATAATTATTTTAAATCTTGAAGTGTCCTTCATCTTGTGGATGGAACAGAGTCAGATAAAAGGCAGTCAGATCAAAGATGGTTTACAGCAGACTTCGTGTCTCCTGTGATGGATAATCTGTAAATAGAAGTACAGCCAGGACAGCTCGACCCAACTGAGGAAGTGTGACCTTTGAGTCACAAATGAGGCCATTCATGTCGCTACAGACCCCCCATGGTCAATGGCACGGTGGTCGCAGAAACCACCTGACGTTGAACATTCAGAAGGCATGAAGGACTCCTTTGAAGAAAGGCTGATGCAATGTTCCAGAACAGGGGCGGCGTTAGGCCCGGCTACTTGGGCTGAAGCCCCGGATGTTTCATGGAAAGCCCCGGATCTAAATCGCGGAAGTAACATGCAGTACCAAAGTCCAACAGAGAGGGAGCAGCTGGCAGTAGTTTGTATACAGCCTGCCTGAGCCTCCACCACTGAAGAAGAAGCCCTTCAGCAGCCGGCTTCTTCTACACTCTCTGCCTGAAACGCATGAGTGAAGATGGACATAAGGACGTTTTTTAGACCAAAAGTACGGTGACAGAACCCCAGCTTTGATGAGACTGGTGCTGACTCAGGTTTGTGAGTCTTATTTGAAAATATTTGTTGTGCTGCTGGTTTGCCTAAAGTTAGCTTACTATCAGGTAAAGTTGTTGGAGAAAGAACTGGAATATTTACTATCATCTCACACTAAACACTAACAGGAACAATACTCTGCCCTGAATATGCTTAATATGTAGCTTCAGATTAAAAATTATGTGGTACAAGACATATATGATGTTGACTAGTGCGTGTCACGTGTGCACGCGTGTGTGTGCGTGTGTTAAGCCTCGGATGTTCTTCAGTCCTTAATCCGCCCCTGTTCCAGATGAAGGCAGAAGGAGTGAGGAAGCATTCCCCCACGTGGCCGGCGTGGGGGATGTTTTGTATTGTTAACAACTGATTTTTGATTGTTTTCTTGTTATTAGAAGTTTTCTGGAAGTCCGTAACAGTTTGTTCTGGGCAGATGTAAACTTGAAGGTGAAACATCATTTTCACACTGTTATGGAAATTTAATGTTTATTAATTCTTGATCAGTGATTCAATCAACTGAATGTAAAATGTATTGCTCTATGCCTCTTTCCATGCCCACTTATTTGGACACACCCACACAAGCCACACACACACACACACACACACACATTCTTGACCACACACACACACACACACACACACACACACACACACACACACACACACACACACACACACACACACACACACACACTCTCTCTCTCTCTCTCTCTCTCTCTCTCTCTCTCTCTCTCTCTCTCTCTCTCTCTCTTTCTCTCTCTCTCTCTCTCTCTCTTTCACACTTTCATTCCTTTCTTATCTCTTGGTATAAATAAACTCTGTGACCAGATGTTCGGGGCATTTTGCCTCGTGCATTGTGCCACAGTTATAACTGTTTAACTTGTCTGATCATTGTCTCCTTTTTCTCTTCGACTACAGGAAATGGGTTATTGATAAACATATTGATAAAATCCATGACACACACTATGGCCATGGTGAACATGTAGACATTTACATTAGAAAGGACCCCTGCTCACCTGATCTCATAGTTGTTCAGCTGTTTCATGGCTGTTTTGGCTTCTTGTTTGTTGCTGAAGGTGACAAAAGCGTAGCCTCTGTTGTTTCCATTAAAGTCCATCATCATTCTCACCTCAAAGATTTGACCAAACTGAAAAGAAGAGGAAAAAAAAATCATTACAACAGGAGCCTTTCATCACAAAACAATTTAGTCCTCCATCATCACCTTCTCACATAGAGGAACCAGCTCGTCTTCAAACAGATCTCTGGGAAGTTTGCCTACAAAGATCTCACTGCCCCTCTCAGGTGGGGGCCCATCCCAGCTGGGTGGAGGGCCACCGTACCGTCTCTGGCCATTCTCCTGAAACAGAACCATCAGATTGAATGAAGGTTCTGGACATGTAGCCTGTTGTTGTGTTCTCAGGTCAGCCCCAGTTATTCATTTGTCACCTATGTCAGCTAGACCTGTTCTCACCTGTTTCAGCTGGTACCCAGTCCGTTGGATCAGCGCTCGCAGTGCCACTTCCTTCTGGGTCCCCAGCAGCCCGTCCCCTCCTGGTTTCTGATTGGAGTCCATTGGATGTGATTAACAGCAGAATGTGAATCAGGGAAATTAAAGGTGCTTGCTGAAAACAAGAACCAACATGTTGGTGTCATTCATCACTGGATTCTCAAAGATTCTGATCTCAGCTTAAAGTTAAAATAACCACATGACCAGACCCAGCCCACCACCAGCTCCCTCTCCCACTCAACCATTTTATCCTCTCAGAGGGGGCTGGTGTCTGACTCCAGCAAACATCAGGTAAGACATGGAGGACAACCTTGATAGGTCTCCAGTTCATAAAAGGGACACACAGAGATGCACCAATAGGGACAATTTAGAGACTATTTATAAAACTAACATGCATGTTTTTGGTCCGTGGGAGGAAACAGGAGCATGCAGAGGAAACCCACACATGCATGAGAACATGCTATCTCCATGTAGAAAGGTTACAGCCAGGATTCAGACCGGCAACTTTCTTGGTGAGGCAACAGTGCTACTAACTGTGCCACCATGCAGTCCACCCAGATGACAGACAGATTAAATAACCTTCTGTGGGAAACATTTCAAGGAGCTTGTGTTTGATCGTTTGTTTTATTTCAGCATGAACACCAACAACAACCCGGATCTTTGTGTAACATTAAAGGATTGAAGCACTGAAGGACTTTAAATATTGGGAACATCTGGGCAGCAGTTTGTCCCCACATTGAAACACTTTGTCCTCACAGTTCTGCTGGTTTTGGCCTGTTTTCCTGCTTTGGACGCTGTGAGATATGTGTTCAGGTCAAGGTCTGTTCAGTAATCATTAACACAAACTGAGGACAGACTAACTGTCTAGGTTCACCTGAAATCATCATCAGCTTGAATCTGTTCAACAAACATGTTTGAATCTACTCCTAAGTGTCGACGTCAGGTAAATACAAAAACATCTCAACGATCGAAACATGCTTTTTAAAAGAAACAAACAGCTGACGTGATGTAGCGGATGTAAAATAGTTAAGTTTAGACTTTGATGCTGTTTATTTACTCATCAGGGATCTGGATTTGAACCAGAGAGAACGGGGTCAAAGGTTGGGATGATTACTGTACAGCTTTTCTTCAAAGAGTGTGAGCTAGTCTAAGTGGAAACATCATACTAACGAATGATTTACTTATAGAAAATTATGTTAGAATATCAATTAATTTTGAACCGTGAGTTTGTGTGGCACTTGTTGAATCAATCAGAGAAACAATCTCTTTGCTTTGTTTGGTTAAACAGAAAAACAAGTTTTTGTCGGAGCTTTGCAATGATCCAAGTTCTCAGGAGGACTTTGTTTTGTTAACAGACAGATAAAATGACTTTATCATCTAATCCACATCAGTGAAAATTAAACTATTACTTTCTGGGCTCTTTAACATAATCAAAGTGTAGAACCTTATGTTACACACCTAACGTTGTGAAAGATGTTTAAAAGAATATTCTGCCAAAAGGCCCAATAAATGTTTAGGCTTTATTATAATATTTTACATTCATGTATAATTTCTATAAATAAAATTCAAATCAATTCTCAATAATGCAACTTCTTTCTTTATTTCTTTTTTACAGTTCCTGGTTTACATATTATATTAAAGTACGTTCCTGTGAGTGCAACCCTTGAAAAACATGATTTTAGAAAAACTGGTTTATTGTTTAATTTCTAATTCATATGTGATAAAATGTGATTTAATTATTTGTGGAATTTAAATCCCCCTCCCAACATGGCCGACCTGATGACATTATTGCAGGCCAAGATAGTCTGCATGGGGTTTAAGTATTTAGATCTATTCTTCAAACCATCTCTTCCAGAGAAGATATAACAGAAAAACCATTAGTGCTGAGGTATAAAAGTAACGTGTTGGTGAATGTGAGGTCTAAGTTACACAAAACAAATCTGTAGGTTGTTTGAAAGAACAACAACCTTTTTAATACAAATCATTTAGATTTTAAAATTTCAAATTAAACATTGTGAAAACCTCCAGATTTGGATAACTGAAATTTGAATTAAAGTTTTTTTAATAGAGATGATTAAATTACTTTTACCCATAGATCTGAACCTGTTCAGAATCCTTTTAAACAGAAATGTAATCTTATCAACTGATTAAGTCTTATTGTTCACATTTAAAGAAGAAATATATAGAGACAAACGTAACCTGTTTACTCAGTTTGGAGCTTTCCGCTCCAGCAGGCACCAGAGAAGAAGAAAGGGCGAACAACACTGATGCTAAACGCTCTCTCTCCATCTTTGCCTCTTCTTTTAAAGTTCAGGTTTAAAGTGAAAATCAGAAAAACTCACCTGTGCAATTTCAGAGATCACCTCCGTCTGATCAGAGCTGTGTCATTCTGAATGTGTGTCCATGCGTCGTTAGAAACCTGTGTGTGTGAGTGTGTGTGTGCGTGCGTGCACGTGCACGTGTGTGTGTGTGTGTGTGATCACATCATATCAAACTCCAAAGGTTCTCTGTCCTGGTGTTAGCTTTACGAGCTGCTGGACGTTAATATTTAACCTGCTGCTATCTTTGTGTGTGTGTGTGTGTGTGTGTGTGTGTGTGTGTGTGTGTGTGTGTGTGTGTGTGTGTGTGTGTGTGTGTGTGTGTGTGTGTGTGTGTGTGTGTGTCAGAAGGCCTTTGACCAACAGTATCTGGATCAGAGGCCTTCTCAACCTCACACACAGTCACATGTTCTGGTTTGTGACACTTTCTCAGGACTCTGAGCATATTTCTGATCAGATCCGGATATTGGTTTTAACACTCGTCAGTACTGAAAGCTGAACTTCATAAAACCATTTGATGGACATAATCTGAATAAAAAAAAACTAAATCCATCATCATTTAATTCTAATCCTAATTTAGACCACGCCATGTTTTTCTTCTCCACAGTTGGTTCTGCATCTCACAACACTTTTGAAGTTAAAGTTATTTTGTTTATCTTCATCTCCTTTTCTGACACCAGGACATTTACAAACATCCTGAACCCCTGGTGTGAACCCCCACCTCACCTTCTTCAGGTTCTGCTCCTGTTCTGGTTCATAAGGAGGTTTTTTAATTGTTCGTAGTACTAGTAGCTCTGTGATTGTGCTGTTTATTTGTTCTATTGTCAGTGGTTTATGAAGACCCCCTTTCCTGTCAGGATGTTGTTTAGGTGAAGTTGGTTTACCTGAATAGCAGAGACAATTCACTCTTATTTTCCCTGAGTCATGTCTGCAGGACTTCCTGTCTGGTTGACAGTTCTATAGGTATCCTCTCAGGCAACATCCAGGGATTAAAAACCCACAACCAGCAGCAGGTTAAAGCACAATAAAATATTTTGTTTTTCTCCTAAACACAAGCTGGATGTTATTAGGTGGGTGTTTTTGCTTCCTCGATGCTTGTGGTGTGAATGTGTGTGTGTATGGGAGAATGACTGATTGTGTTGTAAAGCACCTTGGGGGGTTCCAGGACTCTGGAAGGCGCTATATCAAATACAGGCCATTTATCACTTGTACTTGAGCTGCTTGGCTGTTGTGAGTTTTCCGTTTCAAAACAACAGCTCAAACAAAGTTCATACTGTTAAAATTTAGCTTGAGAAACATTTATTTCTTTGGTTTCATTTTAAATTTTAACATAAAAATGTTGCTTTAATCCACCTTTGACCTTTAAAATGAAAATGAGTACTATCATTCTTCACACATTCAATGATACACAATGCTGACTAATGCAGATTCTGCAGCCTTGTATTTATAGAGTTGATTTGATTTATTAAAAATGTCTGCTGCTCAAAAATAGCATAATCATAGTTGCCATCCATAAACAAGTGCCCCACCTGGGCCACCCCATTTTAAACAGCCTGGACACACCACTGTTGCCAGTGAGTGATTTTATTCATAACACTATATTAAACTACTGCATTGTTTTTGCAAATTGGTGTTAAAACAGGACACTTGATGACAGGAATTTCCAACAAATACAAAAATAGTTTGCCACAGTATGATTCTTGCTGTTTTATTTTATTTTTTGTGATGTGCACATTTTTCCTTTTTATTTACCTGAACAGATCCGTTACGCTTTTGGACAGTTTATTTCTCATTCCCTGCTTATTTCTCATTACATGGCCACACAGTATTTTTCTTTTTTATTTCTTAAAATGTGCAAAATGTGTAAAAATAGTTAGCATTTTTCAAAGTTTAAAATTTTGAGATGTTTGAATCTATTAAGTATTTCTGTGTTGTTTTCTTGTTTACTCTTTATTATCTTCTTTTCTGCCCCTATAATTACTGTATTTGTTGCTGTGACTCCGAGGAACAATAAATTCTCTTCTATTCTTCTCTCCTTAAAATAATTGTTCGTACTTTCACCAATTTACCAGCAGAGAGCGTCAAATGACGATTTTAAAAAGTGGAGTTTTTATTGTCTTTCCGTTTGAGAATGAAGATGCTCCTACATCCATCTGCTGTTGGTGAATTATTCCTCTCACTTCAGTAAAACGTCAGTTTATTTAATTTTCATTCTGTGAAAAAAGTTCTGAGATGAGTCTGAAGCTGCAGATTGACACTAGAAAACCATCCGATAGGCTCTAATAACCCAAAATCTGAATGGCACCAGGCTTGTTCACACGTCTGAAACGCGATCAACTATTTAAATCTAGTTTCAGACTCAGTTCTGGTTCAGAAAGGATGGAGTGGTCCAGAATGAAACAACCCGTCATCCCGCAGCTTTCTCCTGCTCAGACTGAATTACATCAATCTGATGTGTTTTACAGTGGGGCAAAAAAGCATTTAGTCAGCCACCGATTGTGCAAGTTCTCCCACTTAAAATGATGACAGAGGTCAGTAATTTTCATCATAGGTACACTTCAACCGTGAGAGACAGAATGGAAAAAAAAATCCATGAATTCACATGGTAGGATTTTTAAAGAATTTATTTGTAAATCAGGGTGGAAAATAAGTATTTGGTCAATAACAAAAATTCAACTCAATACTTTGTAACATAACCTTTGTTGGCATTAACAGAGGTCAAACGATAGGTCTTTACCAAGTTTGCACACACAGTAGCTGGTATTTTGGCCCATTCCTCTATGCAGATCTTCGAGAGCAGTGATGTTTTGGGGCTGTCGCCGAGCAACACGGACTTTCAACTCCCTCCACAGATTTTCTATGGGGTTGAGGTCTGAAGACTGGCTAGGCCACTCCAGGACTTTCAAATGCTTCTTACGGAGCCACTCCTTTGTTGCCCAGGCGGTGTGTTTGGGATCATTGTCGTGTTGGAAGACCCAGTCACATTTAATCTTCAAAGCTCTCACTGATGGAAGGAGGTTTTGGCTCAGAATCTCACGATACATGGCCCCATTCATTCTGTCCTTAACATGAATCAGTCGTCCTGTCCCCTTAGCAGAAAAAAGCCCCAAAGCATGATGTTCCCACCCCCATGCTTCACAGTAGGTATGGGGTTCTTGGGATGCAACTCAGTATTCTTCTTCCTCCAAACACAACGAGTTGAGTTTATACCAAAAAGTTCTACTTTGGTTTCATCTGACCACATGACATTCTCCCAATCCTCTGCTGTATCATCCATGTGCTCTCTGGCAAACTTCAGACGGGCCTGGACATGCACTGGCTTCAGCAGCGGAACACGTCTGGCACTGCAGGATTTGATTCCCTGCCGTTGTAGTGTGTTACTGATGGTGACCTTTGTTACTGTGGTCCCAGCTCTCTGCAGGTCATTCACCAGGTCCCCCGTGTGGTTCTGGGATTCTTGCTCACCATTCTCATGATCATTTTGACCCCACGGGATGAGATCTTGCGTGGAGCCCCAGATCGAGGGAGATTATCAGTGGTCTTGCATGTCTTCCATTTTCTGATAATTGCTCCCACAGTTGTTTTTTCACACCAAGCTGCTTGCCTATTGTAGATTCACTCTTCCCCGTCTGGTGCAGGTCTACAATTCTTTTCCTGGTGTCCTTTGAAAGCTCTTTGGTCTTGGCCATAGTGGAGTTTGGAGTCTGACTGTTTGAGGCTGTGGACAGGTGTCTTTTATACAGATAATGAGTTCAAACAGGTGCCATTAATACAGGTAATGAGTGGAGGACAGAAAAGCTTCTTAAAGAAGATGTTACAGGTCTGTGACAGCCAGAGATTTTCCTTGTTTGAAGTGACCAAATACTTATTTTCCACCCTGATTTACAAATAAATTCTTTAAAAATCCTGCCATGTGAATTCATGGATTTTTTTCACATTCTGTCTCTCACAGTTGAAGTGTACCTATGATGTAAGTTACTGACCTCTGTCATCTTAAGTGGGAGAAGTTGCACAATCTGTGGCTGACTAAATACTTTTTTGCCCCACTGTATGTGAAACACAGGATTTCTTTGATGAGAAATAAAAAATATTCGAAACATGCAAATCTGTCCATTGCCATGAGAAGGTAAAAACTGACTGAAAAGGATTTAGCATTTATTGCTGCTGTCAAAAACAAATAAAGTATTGTTTCAGACCTGAGTCAGTGGTTTATGATTAGTGAATCTTCTAAAGTCCTTTAGCTGAGGGAGTTCTCCTCCAACCTTTACCCAGGCAAAACGGACATGATATCGGCTACTTTCAGTTTTTTTCCTTCTGTTTTTAAATTCTTAGACTCTGAAGCTGAGGAAAAATGTTAGGACCGTGAACGGACTCTCGCCCGGGCAGGTGAGGAGGAAGAGGAGGAGGAGAATGAAGGAGAGGAGGCAACACAAGTTCTCTCCTCCTCTTAGCTCCACTCCGAAGTTAAAGACTTCAGTAAAGTTAGCAAGATATTCACAGATTCTACTTTTGCGGCTCAATACCTCCTGAAACAGGGGTATTTGGAAACATAACATACCTCTTTGGTATCGTGGCAAGGTAGTGAACAAGTTACAACCTCGTTTCTTTAAAAAATAAAACACCGTCCTCAGCTCCCGACGAGCTAAATTGTGCTCTATGAGACCATGAACCTGCCGCGCTCAGGGACCGTGTGAGAATAGACTAACCAGAAACATCTCTTGACAAAATATTAAAGAACACCACCTTGGTACTGCAGTGTCACCAGATTCTTAAAATATAACACTGCACACATGTTGTTCATCCTGCAGTGGTTATGGTAATCCAGTAACACATGTTTTTTTTGTATTTTAATTTTAAAAAATGTTAATTTTGATATCTGCTCAATTTTAAAATGTATTGACACCAAAATCACACAGCACGTTATTATTGGATACAGTTATTTTTTATACTTTATAATTATCTATATTTTCTACATTGAAAATGGTAGTGACACCAAAGTAATGCAGAATAACTAACATTATCTACAGTCTGCACCTTTTATTTATCTATTTATTTATTTATTTATTTGCACTTCTCTGATTTTGGTGATTTCTTTCCAACTAACAGATTTCAATAGCTCCTACACTGTAAACTCTGTTGACACAAAATCGTGTGTGCTGGTAAATACTTACCTGGTCTACATACTGCAACCTTTACTTTGAGCAAAAAATACTTCTCTGATTTTTTGTGAATTTTCTAAGTTTTCTAATTTAAATTGTTCCTACACTGTAAACTCTGTTGATACAAAATCTTGCATGTTGGTCAATACTTATCTGGTCTATACTACAAACTTGAATTTTAGGAAAAAAAACTTCTCTCATTTTTTGTGAATTTTTTAATTTTTCTAATTTCAATAGATCCTACACTGTAAACTCTGTTGGCCCAAAATCATGTGTGCTGGTCAATACTTTGCTGCTCTATGTTCTACCATGTATTTATTTTTTTAAATAAATCAGTAAGCAATGTCTTTGTAATTTTTTTCATTTTGTTATTCCAACTGCTCCTATGGACTGCTCTGTATAGTGGTGTCATGGCTCTTGATTTCTTACAGTAAGGTGCAGATGATTTTAACCAAATGGCACACAAATTTGAAATAAACACAGTACAATGAAGGTGGCCAGCTACACTATTGTATGAGATGCTGTACCTGGTGTCAGTGCTATACAAGGCATGCCAATTGTCCACAGACAATTTCTGTATCATTTATGCATGAAACTGCTGCGCATGCTGGAAAAGGCAAAACACAAACAGAAGATTTATGCTAATAAGGCTGTCGTGCCACAACGTTCATACTGTGAAACGCAATGCCATGCACTAAATAACAGCTAGGACTAATTTCAGTAATTTTGACTGTGTGATGCGTGTCAAGTACATCCGTGCAAAGTGAAGGGATCTCTGTGAAGAATGCTAATAACGCATAATGTATGCTTAAATCTGAAAGAATAACAGAATGGACTGAAACAAAAAGAAAAATTAATTAAGATGTCATGATTACTAATGGAAAATGGATAATTACAAGAAATGGCTAACAAGATAACCAACACAGATAAGACAGAAACACTATCAACCAAACCACAATTTTAGATTTTATTAATGCACAAACCAAATTGCACTAGATCATGTTTGTAAACACATACATAGAGCAGCTAAGTATTAACATGCATAATTTTGTGTCAACAGAGTTTACAGTATATGAGTTATTTAAAAAGTTTTAATATCACCAAACATGGATGTAATTTTCACTTTAAAGGGGGGGGGGGGCATGGGGGAGGGGGTATTTTTACAGTATGCTCTAATGGGAAACAGGCTTCAACACAAACGGTTGTTTTCTGCTTGGTCCTAGAGCTCAACCAGTGTCACTTTAATATAACGTAATATTGCTTTTGGATGGTAAAAAGTGCAGGGGTCAAAACTTGACTTTGGAAAAAGTGTGTGTGTGGGGGGGGGGGCATGCCCCCCCTGTCCCCCCAAAATTACATCCATGTTACCAAAAGTAGAGGGGAAACAGTAAAGAAAAGTGTAGTATTTTCTCTAAAAACATAAAAAGTGTACTATGATCAGCATCAAATTTCTTATTTTCTGTGTGAATTTGGTGTCACTATTTTCAAATGGAGGAGCTTTTCCGATTTATGTTATTTGAAGTGTCACACTAAATCTAAACTGTATACCTGGATTAAACTAAATAGTGTAGTGTGATCAGCGTGTGTGCAGTGTTGTATTGTGTGAAATTGGTCACACTGCAGTGTGTAATTGTGGACTTTTTCACATAGTTTATCATCACACGTTTCTGGTGTGATTATTTGCTGATGGTCCCTCAACGCTCGTTTTGCTCTGTCGGCCCATAGAGATCAATGAAACGCGTCGGGAGCAGAGCACGACAGAAAACGGATATATATATATATATATATATATATATATATATATATATATATTTTTTTTTTTTAAGAAACGAAGTTGTAGCTTGTTCTCTACCTTGCCACGATACCAAAGAGGTATCTTATGTTTCTAAATACCCCTGTGTTCAGGAGGTATTGAGCCGCAAAAGTCGAATCTGTGAATATCTTGCCAACTTTACTGAAGTCCGTTAAAGCTTCAGCTACAGCTCCGGTTTAAACCAATTACACTAATGAAGGTGATTAAAGTCCCGGACTCACCGGACTCATCTCAGCGGGACTCCGTTTTTCCGCCGTTTATCTCCGCAGCATCCATTCCCCCCCTCCATCCATCCCTTCCTCTATATCCACTCCTCCATCCATTCCTTCCTCCCTCCACCCGTGCCATGCTCAGGTTCGGAGGAGAAACTCCTCTCTGAGGAGGGTTGTCGTCAGAAACACGAAAAAACTCGCTCCCAGTCGGATTTCCTCTCGTGTCTTCTCTCGGTGGTGATCTGTGAGCGTCGGTCCATCTGGATATTTTTTATTAATCTTTCGGGGCAATATGGATTCAGGTTTATTTATAGGTGCACCTTCACAAGCCGGACGTTTTAAAACTTCATGCATCGTCTGCTCCGTGGTCCTCATCCTTAACTCTCTAAACTTTCATTCAGTCACTTTTCCATCAGTCATCATTTATCATTCATTAGTTTTTCCTCCGGACCAGATGTCGGATGTTTCAGATTTTTCATGCTGAGCTTGTTCCTGATCTGGATTTACATCTGGACCCCGAGGAGCATGCTTTTATCTGTTCGTGACATTTTCTGTTTTAATGACGTTTTTAATCTGCTGGATTCTGACTCTTTCCCCTGAGAGAGTGAGCCCTGCTGAGGAGTGAAGAAGGGTTTAAACCTCTCAGCAGAATTACAAACCATTAAGATTCAACCACTTTGGGTTTCAAATAGACTATTACGTCTTGATGAAACTCTTTATTTATTAGAAATGATTCAGGATGTCTTGAAGAACCTTCAACAAATTTGAGACGTCAGAATCCAGTCTGAGGCTCAGAACGCTTCTTTGTGGGGCTCCTAAAAGTCTGTGGAAGAAGATCCTGAAGATCAGCAGGAACCTAAAGAGAGCCATAACAGGACTGTGTGCAGGTCCAAATAACATCATCAAGGTGCTTGAAGGAAACCAAACCCTGAAGGTCCTGAAGACCTCTCAGAGATCCTGGTACTGCAGCTGCCCTGTTGGGACCCAGACCCCTGAGGTGCCGATGGGGACCCTGAGGGACCTTCAGTATGCCCTTCAAGAGAAGATTGAGGAGTTGCGGCAGCGTGACGCTCTTATTGATGAGCTGGAACTGGAACTGGACCAGAAGGATGAGTTGATCCAGCGTCTGCAGAATGAGTTGGACAAGTACCGCTCTGTGATCCGGCCAGCCACAGCTCAGCAGGTCCAGGCCCAGCAGCAGAGTCTCGTTCTGCAGCCGGACCAGCACCGTAGCAAGAGGCAGGCCATCTCTGCTGAACCCACGGCATGTGACATCAGTGACCTGTGCCACGTCACGCTGCCTTTCTATCCCAAGAGCACACAGTATGTAAAGTTCTTATGATCCTAAGTTTCTGCATTAGGTGGGTTTCTGCCAGGTCCACCCAGCAGAACAGAAGCTGCTTCAATCTGAACTCAAGGCAGGTGGATGATGAGCATCCTCAGATCCACATCAGCTTATTCTCTAAAACCAGCGCAAAATCAAGTAAAACACAAGATTCCAACAGGACTTAAACTGTCCAGTTCTGGTCGGGTTAAAATCTGTGTGGAAGGAAACAGAATAAATGTGTTTGTTTGAGCTCCGAGTTGCTCGTTAACACAAATGAGTCCTAATGAAGCAGCTCTGTTCTGCATTAATGAAGCCTTTTCTGCTCTGTTTTAGGCTGATTACTGATCAGCAGGAGATAATTCACACACACACACACACACACACACACACACACACACACACACACACACACACACACACACACACACACACACACAACTCATCAGGATTCATTTTACAGATGACCACACACTATTATGTCAGTAATAACATAAGTTATCATATAGATGAGTGTGTGTGTGTGTGTGTGTGTGTGTGTGTGTGTGTGTGTGTGTGTGTGTGTGTGTGTGTGTGTGTGTGTGTATGTGTGTGTGTGAATAAAGAAAAACCAATATATAAAAAAGTGTGTGTGAGACTCAGATTACAGCTAACTCTAGTTTCTTCTCAGACAGGCTTGTTTCTGGGCTCCATCATCTCAGATGTGACTTCTCATCTAAAACCATCCGTTGGTTGGGTTTTTGCAGCTTCACATGCACTCCTCTCTGTTCACTAGCATGTTGTGTTTCTGGTTTTTAATCTACTCTCCTCCCACACCAACTGGGTACGATCTCCCATCCACCCTCAGAGTCCTGCAACCTCCTGCACGCGTTTTATTTTAAAATTTTAAATATTTCAGAGGAGAGAGAGAGTGTGTGTGTGTGTGTGGGGGCTGTGAACGCCCACCAGCTCTCCTGCTGTCTGCGGAGATGCTGCACAGCAGACGAATTAATGATCAGCTGAAAGTGTGACAGATCTGCTTTTGAGGGAGGATTTTAGTGAACACACACATCAACACACTCGGCTCCGTGACGGAGACATGAAACAGTTCTCACACATCAGATCATCTGTTGTTTGGCTCCTCCTTTATCTCAGTGTTTCTCTCGTCTTCCTCTCCATCTTTCATTGTATCTGCCTTTCTGCTCTCTTCCTATCTCTGTGACTAATACAAAAATAAAACCAGGGTCTTCATCATCCTCCAATCACGTGCCCTGATCCAGTTCCCTCCTGAGTTTTGTTTAGGCACAGATATTAAAACTGGGCTGAAATGTTTCTTCCTCTGCAGGAAAATATAATCCACCTCTGACCTCTGAGCTTGTTTCCTCAGAACTGTTGAAGAAAACTGAACCTGAAAGATCTGGTCTTCTGCTTCTTCAGAGCTGAATTACCTCCCAGAGTTTTCACTGGAGCGTAATGAGAAATATTGTTTTACTTGGAAAATAAAAATCTTTCAGACCTCTGAGAAGATTTCCGCTGCTAAAGCCACCTGGATCTCAGCGATGAAATAAACTAAATAAAACTGAAGCAATCCCAAGATTAAATTCTCCAACATGTATTATAATCAACAGCACCATTCCAGAGAATTTAATAAGGTCAAACTTTGTTCAGGAGAGGATGCTTTTACGTCTAAAACGTACAGATATCATATTGGTTGAGGCTCTGCCTCTTTCACACGTGAAGACTCAATATAACAAATGACATGTATAGGACTGGATATGGCAGGTTTTTGATGAAAGTATAACCCTAATAATGTATATAATCCTAATCCTAACATTTGGGTGCAGAGACTAAGTCTGGCATTTGTTTAAAATAGCCTTTTCATGTTGTTCAACCTTTTTCTTTTTTTTCTTTTCCTGTCCTGTCTGGCTGTGAAGCAAACAGAATTAATGTCTGAATGCTGGTGACAAGCCTTACAGATTTTACTTTCAGGTGGAGCATCAAAGCATCTGCTTTTAATGTCACGCCCGATACTTAAAACTTTATTGTTGTTGTGTTTTGAATGCCTTCTATTTTCAACCGGACACGGAGACAGAGGTGAAAGAGAAAGGAAGAGACAAAAGGTGGGGGTGGTGTGTGTGTGTGTGTGTGCGTGTGTGTGTGTGGTGGTGGGGGGGGGGGGGCACGAAAATAAACAATCAGTGATGAACAAGAGTCTGCTTCTACACCTGCAGAAAAGGGATACACAACAATACAAAAGGAGCAAGCTATCACTGCTTCAACTTGATGAAGAAATATAAAATCAACATTGTTTTACTGAACAATCACACGATAATAAATCACAGTGCATTTAGTGCCAACCACAGCCTTAAGACATGTGTTGAACGTGCCCAAGTCCATACTTATGAGAGCACCATGTGAGCACCTGTGTGCGTACACACGCTTGTATATGGAAGGTTTCTCTATGAGAGCGTCCAATAGAGAGTGTGAGGGGCCACAGATCGGTCCCCCCAAAGATGCATAGGAGATGGAGGGAGCTCCAAGTCCCAGAGATCCAGGAGCTTCCCCAGAGCACAGGGACCCCAAGGAGACCGCGACCAGAAAAGCCCCTGCCCCCCTCGAGAGGCGCAGAGGATTGCCCCAGGAGGCCACAACCAGCAGCCGGCAGAGTCCCGGGAGATATCAGCGGCAAGCCCACAGGCCTGCCCGCAGCCTCCCACCCTCCAGCCGGCCGAGCCCGGGACCCAGCAACCAGGGACCCAGGGGCGACCACCCCCGCCAGAGACCCAGCAGAGCCCAGGGACCCAGATCCCACCAGGCAGCCACCGGGATTGATCAGGCAGACGCCAAAAATCTTAAACCCCCTGACCCAGGAGCCACGAACACTCAGGCAGACCAAGGCACCACACTCCACACCAGGTGTGGCAGGGGGAGGGGAGACGAAGATGTACAGTGTCATGGATTTTATCAATATTTTTATCAATAACCCATTTCCTATAGTCGGAGAGAAAAAGGAGACAATGAACAACAAGTCAAACAGTTATAACTGTGGCAAGATGCACGAGGCAAACAGACTTTATTTATAGAGAGATGGGAGTGGAGAGAGAGTGAGAGAGAGAGAGAGAGAGAGAGAGAGAGAATGTGTCTGTGTGTTGAAAGTCAAGAATGTGTGTGTGTGTCTGAATAAGTGAGCATGCAGAGAGGCATAGAGCAATACATTTACATTCATTTGATTGAGTCCATGATCAAGAATTAATAAACATAAATTTTCTATAACATATAGTATCAAAAGAAGTCCCAGGAGAAGAGAGGAGTCAAAGGCCCCACAGACACAGTCACACACTCCCTTCCTCATGCTCACACATGCACATACAACCAAAGACTTACAAAAATGCACACTGGACACCCACTCATGCTCCCCATGCACACCCCATTCACTCTGGTCCCGGTACCGCTGCACATGGGGTACAACCATTACTGGTTCCCAGAGTTTGACCCTTTCTGCTGGGGTGCTGATGAGCAGGCTCCCCCACCCAACGCTGAGCAAAGCAACCCACCACCCCAGACTCCAACCGGACGGCCAGATCTCCCTCCTAGCCTCCAGCCCCGGGAAGCCAAGCGACAACAGAGGTGTGCTAAGATCACTAGTCGTGCGAGTTGATGAGGTGTATTCCATGGCTGTGGTGAGCGGGCAGTGCGGGCATCGTCTGGCCTATGCCAGCTGATGCCACCACACTACCCCACTTGCACCTACAGCCCTCAGTGTCTAAGTGCAGTTTAAAATTGGAAGTGGGCACCGGCACTCGGGATGAGGCTGAAAAATCCCCCTGCCAAATGCCGTTGAATGTGTTCACTCCCAAGGCCCTAAGTGTGTGTTTGCGTGGGATGTCATTGGTGAAAGTGTTTAAGGTGCAAATAAAATTGGGGGGCAGGTTGCCACAGGAATGCGAATACCTGCAACCCCTGACTCGTCCACCCCCCAAGGTCCTATGTGCATGATTGTGTGATGATGTGAGGGAGCAGGAGGAGAAAAATGTGTGGGGATGGGGAGGAATGGCTGGTTGGTCTTTATTATTGAATTTTTTCATGATATTCCGATTTTCCAAGAGATTGCAGCTGCATCCTGACATGATCTGAGGGAGTGAGGACAGGCCTGGGTCATAGTGTCATTGTGGAAAATCATGACAACAATCTACCAATGTAAATGTCACATTGAATCCAGGAAAAAACAAGAAAAATGAACAAGACCTAACACATTAAATAATATTCAAAAGACTAATTTCTTAAAATTTTAAACATTCGATTGGTAATGATAATATAACAATTATTAACTTTCATATTAAATTTATCAAGCAATTCTATAATAATACAACCATAATTGTACCAAATAAAAATCCCACTTGACACTTAAGTATGTAAATAATTCATGAGCAGGCAGAAACCCCACAAAGATTTAAGACTGCAGATTGTTTTGGAAAATGCTAATCTTGCTAAAGAGATGCAGCTATACTACAAACTTAGAGATGTGTGTATAACATACGATACAGTGGGCCTTATGGGGTTAAGGAGTCCTCAGAAAGGCTTTTACATGCGATCCAGTCTCACTGTGACAATTCTGTGGGTTTTAATTCTGTAATTTGGGGGGTTTAGATTCTGATCCTGTGACTTCAGACGGTTTTTACATCTCAGCAGAATCTAGAAACCCGATCGACAGCTGGTGGTGGAGGATATGTCGTCTTTCCTCCTTTTGCTTCTTTCACTTTGTCGCTTTCAGTCCATATAAATTAAAATCTGTTTCACAGACTCAGCAGGAAGGAAACCTTCATCTTTGCTGTGAGATTCTCCTCCTCCTCTTCCTCCTCCTCTCTGGTTGTGATGGAGCCTCAGCTGCTCTTCATTTGTCTCTTTGAGGAGGAAGAAGCTTCTGGTCTGCTTGTGAGACAAAGCTCTGTCCAGATGTTTAAAGGCAGAGTTCACACGTGACACCCGCTGAGGAGATTATCTGTAAACATGAGCAGATAATGAGAAATTCTTCAGCTCCTAATCAATTAATCATGGACTTAATGTGTGAGTTCCTTTGAAACTCTTACGGATTATTATTTTTTATTCATGACATCACTATTTTTTCTTTCATAATTATGCAATAACATTTTTATTGAATTGCAATGATTTTTAGCTGCTATCTGTCCCTCTGGGCTCGTCTGTGACACTCACTTCTCTCCTCCTGCACTTGGATCAGATCGTTTGACAACGTCTGTCAGATTTTTATCAGTTTGGACTCGATATTGTTGCAGTCTCCTGCTGGAATGAACGCTAATGAACCGTCTGTCTGCTCTTCATCACCCGACTGCCATCGATCACACACTCCGTCAGTGTTTACACACTCAAACAGACGATCAAACCAGCAGAGGAAACATCCTCCTCCAGACGCTCGTCTCAAACTAAATCATAAAAACTATCTGAGATCAGAAGCTGAATGTGGACTTGCAGACAGTCATTTCAGTTTGCTTTAAAGTGGATTAAACCACTCTGAGAGAAACATAAAACAAAGTTCCTCAGATCTTGTCTGAATGTTTTTCTCAAATTTATCGCAGTCTTAAGTTATTCATCATCCTTCAGCACCCATCTCCATTCTCATAAGTGGCCTCTCTGGTTTCTAAAACCCTTTTCAGACTGACATTCTGGAATATGTGTGGACAATTCAATCCGTTTTTTAACCGGAACTGTGTTTTCAGACACACCACTTTTGTACCGGAACTTGTCCTGTCGGCTGCCTTCACACAGCAGGGAAAAGTTCCAGATGTCGGGGGGTACTTGCGTCATTTACCCAAACAAAGCCATTCAGTCAAACATGGCAGACGAAGAGATAGAATTCCTCTCACTGATCAGACTTATGTTAAGCATAATTCTGCGCACACGAAGATGCATAAGAGACCTGGATGATGAAGCTCAATGGTTAAAGGAATCACTGAAGCGGTGTGAAGCGCTCTGTCGTACATCTAGACAGTACCGTAGTAGGCGAGCTGCCATGGATCGCCGCATGCTACAGGAGCGAGCTATCTAGGTGCGCACAGCGGCCCCCGGTCCCCTCCTCCTCCCCCTCCTCCCTGTCCGGACCTCGACCTCACCAGTCTGAAGCAGCCACCCTGTCCGTAACAAGTCCGGACCTGTTACTAGGGGCTTCGTCCGGTTTAATTACGGAAAACGTTATCCGGATGTTTGTATTCAGACACAAAAGTCTTACGGACAGAGTCCGGAACATTTCCGTTTTTCATGGCCTGTCTGAAGGGGGCTTAAGGGTCGTCTCTTGGTTTTATTCTAAATTTTCCGGTCTGATTGTCTTTACCTCCTTGTCTTCTCAGGTCCAAGGAACTGATAAAGGATGCCATCCTAGACA